AGTTGACCTCATGAATTTAAAATGTCTATTTTGGAAAACAGTCAGTAGATGAAAGGTCACTCCAGTAATAAGTATTTCACTGTGATGGCTTTAGTACTGGTGTGTTGTATGTTACTGATGAAAAGGAATTTGAGTAGTGCATATTACGGCGTATTCAGAGGAAGTCATAACAGCAAACGATCAACTGGTGAAGGTTCAAGACGGGGAAATATGAAGTACTAAAGTAGTCAGATTATAATGCAGTTTGAGGAAGAACATGAATGATCCTTGAGAAAAGGACAGAAGGTTCTTAGTAAGGTTGTTGTGTTTTTCCGATACCGACTATAGTTCTTCTAATAAACGGCCTTTCATAGTGCTTACCAGTAATGCTCTTATCAAGTAATCTGGCTACCTCAGGACCAGATGGCCCTCATTGTTCAAGGATGTACCCTCATCAGTAGCATATATTACGCCGTCATAATAAAGTCTTTCCATGAATAACTTATGGAATGTACCATTGCAGTGATAGAAACGTTGCTACTCCACAAAATAAGCAAACCATACATATGTAAATTCATTGCAGATAGTTTTCTATGATTAGGAGTTGTGCTTGCAGTTTCTTTTTAATCTGCATAATTTCAGCCAATAATCTTTCCTGGTGTATTCGTTTTGTGTTAGTGTTGTATCCTGTAAACAGGGAGTACAACTTGAAATTTCTAGGATTAAAATGATTTTATGATGTTTTTTAACCTCTGATACTTGTTATTAGATGCACCAGCAAGACTGAAACCGAAGTACAAGGCTTCTGGGTCACTGATTCCAAATATCTGACACTAAGGGAAAAGGGCACCGCATACTCATATCACTTATTTTAATGATTCTATTGCAGACTTAGTTTATATATTTTAATTTGTACATGGATTTCGGCAGCTTCCTCACTTACCAACCAGTGACAGACTCATGGATATAATCGAGCTTTATGGACTGTTAGCGGTGGTCCGCTGAGTAGTTTAGTGGCCAATTCAGTCCAAGTTTCCCATGGAACATGAGTTTTCACACACTCGGAGACATAACTTGGTAATGAGTACCAGTAAACACAGAACCTAGATTAGGCAGGACGAACTGTCAACCTTCTCCTAATGCCTAACACGAAGGAATAAATTAATCTTTCACTATTCCTTGACTTCGACTGTAATTGTTTACTGAAAACCACGTTACATGTGAATGACAAACATTTTTACAAAATTAAGATCTCACACTGCTGATTTCATCTGATAATTTTTACGGTCACCAGTCAACAGCAGCAGCATCTAACAGAAATAATCGAAACCAAAGAAATTGATTCTGATATTGGGTGATGAAATGGAAATCTGAACCACGACAGGATTTAAACCAGAGACCTTCAGGTTTCCAGTCCAATGCACTTCCAACTAAGCTATAAGATCCGGCTGCTGACCACATGTTAATTTTACTTCAATCACCAAGGGTTTTGTCCGACTACCATGTAAATTCATGATGGGTTACTACCGCTTGATCTTGTTCATCTTTTCATTTCACCCTCAATCATCACTCAATAAGAATACCAGTCTGTTGAACCATGGCTAGTCAGACTGGTAATAAATTGATTTTACAAACTAAAAAGTGCATATAATATATATTCATGAGATCACACCAGTTCATCACATCAATAGTAATAATAATAATAATAATAATAATAATAATAATAATAATAATAATAATATCACCATCATCATCAGTAACTATTGTGATGTAAAGCAAGTAAACTGCATACTATCATACGTCCGGGTCATATTATTCCGTCTAAATATTTGTAATAACCTTATATCACTACAGATGATATTAATAGAGTATATGTGTTGTTTTCTTAACCTCACATTAATTCAGTGCATGTTTATCTGCTTATTTTCGCTACTAAACTTTCTGCGTTATTTAGCTAAACGACGATGCTACTGAACATTGGACAGTATATGGCAGCTGGTGATGGATAGTGGCTAGCAGTAGAAACCAGGACGAGCGTCTTGTTAGCTAGATGAACCTGAATTCTGGTGGATTCCCCTGTTGCCCACTATACATCATTAGTATGAAACTTAAGTGTACTGACAATACTGAGGCACTCATACAACAGCCCACATGCCAAAAGTGGACGATCAGGTCGGTCAGTTCAACAATGGTGAACTACAAGCTGTAACAACTATATACAGCAGTAGTACTGTATGTATCCGACAACAACTGTCATCATCTAATAATGACTGCTAAACAGACAACCAGATGAAATAGCCATTGTAGAATATCACACAAAATGTATCGGTGCTAGATGTATTACTGTCTAACAGTATAAAGAGAAGAATGATATGATATGATATATGAGAAATGCATAAAGATTACCAAAATATTCAGAAATCTGAAGACAACACATGTACCAATGTGCTGATCAATCAGGTTAAAATGACTCACGAATCTGGAAATGATGGGAAACTGCTTCATAACTCTGGATGAAGATGATTCACTGCTTTCTGAGCACTAACTTCGATAGACATTCAATGCTAATGATGTCATCAAGCCTCATGATGAAATATCTTCAAAGGTCAGAGAACGCTGAACCATAGTGACTCTTTTTGAATACAATAAATCGATTAAACAATACTGAAAGGTAGGTAGGTTAAGTCTTGTAGGAGTAAATTTTATCGAGATCTAACTTTGTGTTCACTTTCTGCTGTAGTAAAGGTGAAAGAAAATTCAGAGTACTCCTACCGTGGTGTATCAGTATAGAAAAGTTAGTGATCTTTATTTACGATACTAGAAGCTTGAAAGTTGTGGTATGTACGATGTATTAAAAACCAACGATTAGGGTAGAGCTTAGAAATAAGTTGGTTTGAAAAGTTAGTGAAAATGAAGCAGTTACATCTACTTTATGAAATCTTGTTATAAGTAATGAAAAGCTGTTACAAACACACCAGTCGATTAACTAAGTTTAATTATTGTGTTATTTAGTCTGTAAACAATTTATTGATATCATGAAAATTTTCACTACGAATTGAAATCAACTAGAAAATTAGACTTATCAAAAATGAATGAGCACTAGTCTAGCTGTTTCAGCAATGTTCAGCTATGACCTTAGGGCCATATAGTCAGTCTTGTGGTTATAAGTTTGAAATCCAACTGTGTGAGCTTCAGTTGGGCATGCGAGCATGTTACTGAGTCTCAAAGTAGAACGGAATGACTATCTAACACTTGTTGGTTTTCAGTAGTTGGTCCTGTAGCTAGTCGCAGTTCATGATGAAAACCTCCTTGAAATCTTATGCGTTATCTCGAATCAAACACTTAATTTCGTGTGAACAAGTAGAGTTTAAAAGATACACTTCTCTTGTTACAACCTATCAATCAGACTAATATACACCTTGAATGTTCAGTTGTCTTTCAATAATGAAACATACAGACCTAAAGATGCACAACTATGCATTTATCGTTGGGCACTTTACATGCAGACTTGTTTATGTCAAAGCTAGAAAACACCCGTGAACAGGATGATCATCCAATTCGAACTTCATAAGAGATAAGTAGATCATGCTTCTCTCATCTCCAATGATACAGATAACTTAGATATTTTTTGCCACCTAAAACCAAGTCCACATCAGAGAAATAAATCGATTCTAAGATATCCTGTTTAGGTGTAAAGATAAGTAAACAAAACAGTGGAACAGTTAAAACGTCTATTCACATGGAAAGGACAACCAAGGCATTTTCACAGTTGGGTGCCTTTAGATACCAAACGAAATCTGATTCGTTCTTTGTGTTATGGAATCTGCATCATTTGTAACCCTGATACTTTGAAAGATGAACTTAATCTTCTCAAAAGTGTTTTGGCCAAAAACTGATATCTTGAGCATTTCATTGCGAAAACTATATAATCAATCATTCTACTTCTACGGTTCCTAAAATACCTCCACTCTTAAATTTGTAGTTCAGTGGAGATTTATCAGAAAAAATATTAAGAAACCGTCTGGTGTGTTTATTGAGAAAGACTTCCTATGCTGTCGAACTCAGACTAACCTTACATTGATTGGTCACTGGAGGGTAACCAACTTCACGTTGCCCAGTCTTAAATGCTGATCTAGTTATATTCATAATTCTGCTGTGTGATCACTAAGCTAGGAGAACCACCATCGCTATGGACTGAAACAGATAACCTGAATAGGTTAGTGGTAATGTCTCTGAATACAACACTCGATTCCACAGGTTCGAATTTTTAGTGTAACATCAGTTCCGTTAAGGCTGCACGAGTGGCGAAGAGTAAGAAACCTGGGTCAAGCAGGGCTTCCTGCCGATTGCTTTCCTCTAGCTGACATCAGACTAACTTTTTTATTTATTTACCTAAAAGGTTCCAGCATGCATACAAACAAGCCAGCTACCTTGCTCATCTCCGTATGTGTTTGTCACCTCACCTGGTCCTGTGGAGTAAGTTATATTGGCTGTACTCAGCGATTGCATTCTAAACGTATTTTCAAACATATACCAGCCTGGTTCCACAAAGGAGAAGACCTTACAGAACCATTCTCGAACACTTGATCAAATCTGACCGCCCGATAAGTGAACAAAACAACCTCAGTGTCATTTATGGAGTTTGTGCAAATATTGTGAAAAGTGTACGCCTGAGACTTCTTTAAACAGCAGGAACTATAGCAATTCCTATTTTGAGACCTGAAATCTGTATTCAAAAGAAGTTTATTGAGTCAAACAAATTGCAACAGATATGAAGTGTAAAAACATTTCACGTCAAATGTGTTTTCTTTCACTCACTCACTAGCATATTACGTCTTCCCATATATCATATTCTTTCACCCTTAAAATTCTGATTTCCTATTGGATTCATTATTTCCTTCAACCATATTACATCATTTAATTTAATAGTGTTTTAGTACTGGCAAGTCTTTTTCGCATTACTATTTTGGAAATTACGTAATTCACTTTCCAATCTTCTAAGTTGTAATCAAAACTGAATTCTGTTAAAAATGGTATTTTATGAAACATCTCTTTTTTGTTACAACGTAAGTGTAATTATCTAAGTACAATTATATACCTGCTTGAGAATGACAACGCCGCAAAGAGTGACTTCAACCCAATGACTATTGTTTTGAAAGTACTGAAGAACACTTTTGATATTCACTCGGTCACCCATCAACTCTTTACTTTATTAGTGGGATTTATAAAAAAAAAACAAGCTGCAAAGAACAACGCCCATGACAGGAAAAGGTTGAAATTTATATACAATGAAATGATAATTGGTATGTACAATATGAAGTTAACATAATATAACTGTAAAGATATGCTTAAAAACCGGTAATAAAAGAAACCTTTAGATGAATGGAGGAAGTAAAAAAAAACTCTCATGAAAATGAAGATAAAATCTCATCCAGGTAGACTAAGAATTACAGAAAAATTGAAGTTAATGGCGTTACAGCGTATAATAAATAGGTAAGGAAGCTGAGAAATGCAACTGACGATAGAATACATGAAAGCATAAAATTACATATATTTTTTTGTCTGATAAATAATAATAATTCTTATATACATTTATTTCCTTTGTTCCCTTCTCAATGACCAACATCATCATCCTCATCTTCATCACTGATGAAAAAGGAAACACGATTGATATTGTCACCATGTCGGTGTTGATCATAAGATAAAGAATGACCTTGGGAAGTTATTTCAGAATTATCTGGATTATATCGTGCATACTGAAGTGCATCATCATCATCTTCATTATCATCACCTCCTCTTCTTCCATCATCTTCCTCATCATCATCGAGATTCTATAAAAAGAAAACATGGAAACAAAATGAAAAAATAAGTCAATCAACTATCTATCTACCAACATAATAAATGCTGGTTAGCTGTTTCAATCTACTTCACCATTTTTGGAGACTAAACCTTAAAATTAATCAAAACTATTTTTCAGAATGGATGGATGATAGCTGGGGAGCACTGTAATCATGAGTTTCTTAAAATATTATTATCTGTTTAGCGCTCATTATTTGAATCCATATGATTCCCAGTGATTTTTACAGCTCCGATTGGAATTTTAACCTGAAATCTATTGCATCAAAGTGTAGAGCATTACACACAAAGCTATTCACTCACGATATCCATCTACTATTTGTGTTATACAAGTTGTTAGTAGTAGAATTAAAAGAGAGGCATCAATATTGCCTTACATATGAAATTGTATTATTATTTTAATTATACAACGAAATGCCAAATGAAGTAAATACTTACAGATGACACTAAAGTAACATCATTATCAGTGCATAATTCACCACCTTGACCAGATAAACAGCTATCATCGTCTGAATCAGTCAATTGTAAATCTTTTGCGACTAGATCATCGTTTAGGTCTAACTGAGGACAATCCAGATGACCAGTACTTGGAACAATTGATTCCGGCATTTCTGAATTACCTACAGAAAACTGTATAATAATAATAATAATAATTAAAAAAGAAATAATTAATGAGTAGAAATGAAATAAAAATAACTTTTTGTTCAGAATCACTAACTAGCAAGACAGAAATAGATGTAGGCAGAAGAAATAAAATCCTGATTAATTCTACCTTAACATATACGGAACTATATGGTGGTCTATTGCTGAAAACCAAACACACTCAACAAATAACTGAAGGTGACCCAATCATCTCATCCACCAATATTGTAATCTGTTTGGTGGTTACCAGTGGGATCCAAAACGCGCGTTTCGTCAACTGAATGTACTTGCAATGGATACTGGGTTCGAATCCTAGAGGGATGCAGGTACATCTAGCCAATAAGTCCCAAAAATAGGACGAGGTGAGCGTCCTGGATTTCACTTCTAGCCACCAAGCAGGTTATTACATAATGAGTAATCGGACAGGGTCGAGGCATTCGCATAGGAGCTCATCTGTCAACAGAAGTCGAATAATTCAACTCTGTATAGTAGTGGGAAATTACAAGTATCAAACAATATCCAGTACTTCATATAAGAATAGAAAGTGTAAAAAGCAAACGGAAAATATTTAGACATCATGACCTTTGATATCGCGTGAATCTGGAAAACACCGATCCCTTAAAAGCTATTATTGATTTATAGACATATATATAGTAAATGTTTTTGAAATGAATGGTGAAGTAGACCAAACCAGATAATTCATGCACTGAAAGTGTACAATTGGGGGAGGGGGTGGGGGTGGATATTTAACCTCAGTCAGCTGTAAGTCATTAAGAGGTGAAAGAGAATATCTACTTTCTCCTATAAGTGGTGAATTGTTCGGAAATATGGGACCAAAGATTTAAGGTCATGATTTCTAAAACAACAGGAAATCAATTATAGCCTTAGAGACCAATAGCAGATAAGTGTAAACACAAACAACCAATATTTTTTTATTATACAGAACAGACAGTCTTAGCAAACAACTAGGGACCATGAAAAAAAAAAAAATAAATTATCGGATGATGAACATAATAAAATATTAGAGAAATCAAAAATAATGATGAATCGGTTAGTCTACAGAAAATGTTGTAGTGGATAAGCACATGAATAAATGATACCAAATAGATAAATACAAACAAATCTTACTTAAAAGAAATAAAAATGAAAGTAATGATAACAAAAACACAATATGACCTTGACCTTGATGGAACACTTAAGTTTGTTTACCGTCACTGTTATCATTTCGTTACTACTGTATGTGTCTTTTGAATTTAATAATAAGATATCGGTGGATTAAAGAAGTTTGTATAACGAGAAATATTTAGATATTCATATTTCATTTTAGTGATTTACACTAGTGACTATACACACATATGTATCTGTAAATTATTGTCAACGAAAACAGTTCCATGAAGGAGTTGGTGTTAGCCTAATGGTTTTACCGATGATAAAGTGCTCTATATAACCAATAAAACTTTCTCAACAGTTATCATATTGGGTCTCAATTCCGAGTATTTATAGAAATTTAAGGTTGGTTAATCAGTTGAAGATCTCTAGTCGTCATTTGAATCCTTAGTTCTTTCAGTCAGTTAGTTAAAAATAATGTAGAAAAGTGACATAATTACTTCGACTTATCATAATTCATATCAGTTCAGTATGAAATTAATCATCAGAAAGACGAAATACCAAACGTTATAAGGGCAAACAATAGTTTTGGAGGAAAAGAGTAGAAGGACAAAAACCTAAGCAAGATTTTAGAGGAAGAAGTAAAACATACAAGCGCATCTACATCTTTTGTAGCTGCTTTTTAATAGTAAAATCAAAACTCTTCCATCTTTCATTTCATTTGTCATGTAGCACTTGATCAATGAAGAACCTTACACTTCTCTACACTGCTCAGACCAACAACCACCTAATTAACAGACTAGTGCCATGTCTTAGTACAACCATTCTTCGACTTATCTTACTTCTTTGCAAGCTAATATTGTACACTCCAGGATGAGTAGTAATCATATAAGCGCAATATCTGTACCAGAAGTTTCAGTTGGTGAAAGCTAACGAAACTATCCATTCATTCATTGAGGTATTCTATTGTAAAACTTTGACAGTGTATAACCGGTAGCTCCATCAATGCCTACATTAGTGATAGAACATTTCTAATCTTTGTATGACTTCAATTAAAGATTAGAATTTGAGCATTATGATACAGTATAAATTCTATAATAGTTCTTTCATAGTCAAATAATAGTGCATAGCTATGCAGTTAATTTTATCTTTGATATATATTCGAATATTTTGTTTGTCAGAGGAAAAAAGTTCAATGCTTCCTTCTCTATTACGCATGTAAAAATTTCTTCAATAACCAAAATTTTTCAAGCTAATGTAACTTCATAAGTATGTTCAGGATTCAACATGTATGTCAATCAATTAATAAAGGTATTCAGAATTTTGTTGCCATCTTTATGCACAAGAAAGTTGAAAAAAAAATCATAGAAAACCAACAAGCATTGGATAATTATTTGATACTTAGTTTGAAAATCTATAAAAGTAAACATTCTTGCTAGCCCGTGATAATATTGATAAGAGGAACAATACAATACAGTGAAAAAATTTAGCATATCTAGAAGGGAATAAAAATGCATACAGTTACTATGTAATGTTCACCTAATAACAATTATTGAGTAATTATACTGGGTAATGATCGAAAGTCTGCCAAACTACAGCTATCTCAGATAGTCAAGTGATAATTGTTGAGTAACACAACCACAAAACTGTGAACTTAGTTAATCTGGTGAAGGTATGTAAGTTTACAGTTTCAAGTTGGCATTCATTATGGACTAGTATCAATTGCAGAAATACTGAGAACTTTGAAGCACTGGACAGCTGTTTCATCCTAGTATGGTACTCCCAAGTAGTCCAGAGCTATGACTTTGCCAGGTATTGGGCCCATGACCTTCAGGTTCCACGACCAGTACGTTACTATTAAACCATTAGGCTGTAATCCAATGGTCCAAATAAGTTACTTTCCAGTGTTCATTAGCAACATGCTTCGAGATGAGATTTCTCGAGGTTCTAATGAGGAAGTCATGACTGGTTAGGGAAACCGATCAGGATGTGAGGACGGGGACTTAATGATAACATTGAATGAAGGTGGCACTACGTCGTGAACTGACAGGAGTAAGAAAATTTCGACCATCGGATCGCGACACAATGGCTTCATAGTGATTTCCTTGCTCCTAGACCTGTGACATCTAGACTTGTTCCCTGGTGTTGTTCGTGTAGGCGCTGCGTACCACATCTATCCAGTGTTTCCCGGTTCTCAACAGTCATTTCACACTGATATAAGTCCATGATGAATAATACCAACTTGAAATGAATAAACAAAACCTCTAAAAACTCCCATACTCAATTTGACAAAAACAAATAAACAGACAAACAGAAAGAGAAACTGTACTAAAAGAATACGAAAAGACAAAGATATTTTTTCTAATTCACTTCTAAAAGTAGATTTTCTGTTCAAGACAAAAAAGAAAGATCTAAACCAAGCTAAACCACCTGGAAATAGATATACATGTCAAGTGTAAGAATAACAAGAGCTCTGCGTGCAAAAGTACTAAATGAAAGTTTTTTTTAGAAGTTGTGAGCTTGATTATGAAAACGTAGTCTGTAAGAATACTGTGATATGATCTTATCATTAATATACGAGTGGAAATATATATTCATTGTCTGAACGCTAGGGTCTTTGTTTCTCTGTCTGTCTGCATAAGGTTGTAAGGAAAGAAAATTCAATTAAGGCTATAAGAAGATAAAACAAATAAAATGTCTGGGAGTTTTACTTACTACTTATAAAAGATATAAATAACCAGATTTTAGTTTTGTACCACTGTGACAGATGAATTTTAGCGTCAAGTGCAATCAAATCATTCTGGAAGTGAATTTAATCGTAATTACAATGTACTAAGAGAACCAAAAGATGATTTGACTGAAAATCTCGCTGTATAGGCAAAGCTTCTTCAGCAGAATATTTGAATATACGGATACATTGAACAATGAGTGAGTTTAGCCAAGTGATCTATACTACTTATAAGTAGCAATCATATAATAAAAAAAATTAGAACATTTAGTATTTGGAATTGGGACATGATGGGCAGTGATGGTCACTCACGGTAGATAACCCTATAATTATTAGTAGTCGAACGTTCCTCTCAGCTTACGACTCCCTCATTTAGCGTGTTCGCATTATGAATCTGAATATTCGATCTTAACTTATGGCTTATACATCTGTGAAATCTCACCCAGCTAAACGGAAGATGTTCGACGACTATGAGTTCAGTCATTGTATTCTCCCTAGATTTCAACTCATATAGTTGGAACAGGATTTAGAGAATTATGACAATCCATATTTGAGAATGATGGAATTCCTCATTCAGTAGGTGAGACTATCTTGAAACATCGACTCAGGTGAACTACACAAATGACACGTTGTTTCTTCAACTTCGTCTACCTCGGAACTGGTTTGGAAGAGGTGGGAGTGTCAATTTATCACTTGGAACAGATAAATAGAGATGTGAATATAGATAATCACACTGAAGTACATCACTTCAGTCTGCCAGACTTTACAGCAGCATGCAAAGAAAAACTGGATAAAAAGATTGATATTACAGTAGGCAAAAGTGTATAGGTGGAAAGAGAATTGAAAACATTCGAAGATATCAAAGAGTGAATAAATCTGTACCATTGTGACTAAAATCCAGCATTGTCACAGGTTAACCACATTTTGGATATCATTATGTGTCACGGTGTTATCCCAGTATAAGAACATGTAAAGACCACTTCAGTCGATAATGATTCGCTACTTAGTCGACTGAATCGTCAATCTACGCCTACCTGTTGTATTGCCACCAAACACGAGCAGTGTTGTGAAAATACTCGTGACTGATAACTTGTAGCCTTCTCATGTCTCTTACTTTGAATAGCAATATCTCACAACTATACAATAGTGTGCTACCAGCTTATAACTCCTTCTGATTCCCATTTTGAATAACATGTGACTACGATGTCGCCAGTTCAAAAATGCTTTGGACTTAGTGATGACAATTACTTGCGGATCAAGATTGAAATGAGTCGAATAATGTTCATGATAGTAGCTCTAAGATGGTGTTATGCAGAAAACTGTGTTGCTCATTCATCGTTCTACACCATCGAAAATCAATAGGTTTTTTTAAGTTAACAATTCAGTAGAAGTCATCTAAAAGCTTTTATTCAACGAATCGATACTCGGATAATATCAGTTGAAAATACACTGACTAAGCTGCTACTCCATGCCATGCTGTATAAAATCGGTTATTTAAAACAGAATGATGTATCATTAAAATAGCTTCATCATAATACTTGTGAATCTATCTCATTATTTTCGAGTATCTGGTTTGTCAATGGAATATATGGGGAATTCATTTACTAGCTAATGAGAAAAGACTATTTTAGCATAGAAATTCAATGGTCTTCACATGCGAACAAGACAATTATTCATTCAACAAAAAGAAACAAGATGACTAGTAAATGTTTGCAAAAAAATTACGACTTACTCTAGTTTCTTCATCAATATAGGTAGGACAGTTATCTTCTTGATTACGATACTCCAACATGTCGTCATCATCATCATCATCATCATCTATTCCATCATTCAAATTAACTGCCCTCGTGAACTGATTCCAATGACTCATTTGTTGTGAGTTCCCATTCGAGTGTAAGTGGTCATGATTAGAATCGAATGAATTATCCATATTATCACCAACACCACCACCATCATCATTGTTATAAGGTTGAAGATTATCATCTACTGTATGATCACTTAACGAGGAACTAGGCTCACTTAGATTTTGTACAATTTGTCTTGTCTCATCATCTACAACAATAGTTCGACTAACATCTTGACTATTCCAATCAAATGAATTCTCATAAAGTATATTGCGTTCAGTGTAATCTATGCATATGTGAAATAAATGCAAATAAGGGAATAGTGATTAAACGTTGAAAGGAAGATTTCTAGTTATAAAATATTTTTTGTTTAACTATCTAAGATAACCGTGGTTTCTTAGGCTCGTATTATTGATACTGGATGATGAAAATCTTAATCACGAAAGGATTCGAACCAGTGATCTGGATTTTCAATATACTTTCAATCATCATCTTCTAGTATCTATAAAATATTCAACAATGAATTAATGCTTTTTAGCCATAGATTTTAGGATAATGGAAACACTAATATAAGTATGAAATGTTGACACTATGATGGAATGTAATTTTACACTAGATTTATTTATTTCGTACACCACAAAAGAATACATTTTTATTTACTGAAGGATGTCTTGAGCATAAATTATTGCTCATAATCAGTTAGAACTGGTTCGTTCATGAGACAAACATGATATGGAAAGATTTTTATAATTATCCACCTATTTAATAAAGTTGAGATTCATTACTCTAAGCTTTTCACTTGTTCAGATTACTTTGCTGTTGCTTGATATATTAAAAGCCCATTTGGTAACACCCTGAGTAGATAGGAATTAGAAACTCAGGTCAGAGATATGAGCACAGTCATAAGAACAAGGTTCAGGATTTACTAATCAGCAAAAACAAAACAAACTTAAACACTAAACAATAAAAATATGTCCTATAGATAAGAATATCATACTGTTTATTACTGTCTGGCAACTAAGTCTTGTAAATAAAACATTTTTCTCACGAAAACAATCATCTCAACATTCTCTTTTGAAGAATGTCTCGATTAATGTATACACATAACTCACATTCCCCAATGCTCTACGTATAAAAACAAACAAACAAACACATGATTCACTCAAGTTCATTTTAAAACAATCATACAGAAGTGTTATTTGAACAACTCAAATGTGTAGTGTATCCATTACATTTCCAAGAATATGAGGCAACAACTAATTAAAAGTTCCTATTTCAATTGTTAACACAAAATCTTTCATGTAACTACTATCAATTCTTGAAAAGTGTGAATTTTTCTCACAGATGATCTCATTGAATCATCCAACAAAGTAATGATGGATTGATCCCATTTAGCTGAATATTCACAATGAATATACACAACTAGACCACCGTGAAAGTCAATCTCACTCTTATATGCTAACCAAATCAATAATTCTGTAATGTGTCTGGTTATACATGTTAGCGTAAAAAAGAAAATTCCACTTGATAGTAGTGCATAAAAGTGACAGACCTCGTGATTTACTTCATTTTTCAGACTATTAAATTGATGTGCTCATAGTCAATGCTTTTTTTTCTTTTCTTTAAAATCAACAGAACTGAATAGAATACCACAAAAAAATTGTTACGTTCCAAAAACTAGTTTATCAACACGTAGAAACTTTGCTATTATGATTCTGCTTATATAAACAGTTCAGCTATTTAACAATAATAAGTAATATGATCATTATTTTAGATATATATGATGGGTAATTTGGAGCATCTCTGACTGTGGGGCGTAATGAAACACGACTGAAGAGAGTCTGACAGTATGAGTTTACTTAATTTTACAGGTAGGTCTTACTAATGAGTTTAAAGTTTCCCACTGTCAACTACAAAACCCTAAAAAGATATACTAAAATTATTATTAGTCCCTCGGGTTCCTAGTGGAACATAGGGCTTCAGTAGCACGTCTCCAGTGACCTCTGTTCTCTGAGATCTTTTGAACCTGGTTCCACGACAGCCCACAAGCTCTCATTTCCTCCTCACACCATCTCCTCCATGTCACCCTCGACTCGGAAGTCCAACTCGTCGCTTCCCATGGGGATTCCACTCGAGGGCCTGACGCGTCATGTCTCCAGTCGGCCTTCTCAGTGCATGCCCAACCCATCTCCACTTCCCCTGCATATTTGTTGGGTGATAGGTTCTTGGTTGGTTCGTTCCCAGAGTTCCTTGTTGCTTATTATTTCTGGCCATCTGATCTTCAGTAACGGGACAGCGTGGGCAGTTGTTGATGAATGTCTGTAGTTTATTGGAAATCCCTTTCGTGACGCGCCGAGTCTCTCAACCATACAGAAGCACTGACTTGACGTTGGTGTTGAAAATTCGGATCTTGTTCACGCTTTGTGCTGAGTGCAGAAGATCTCTACACTGGTTTCAGGCTAATCAACACCTGTCTTGCTTTTCCGATTCTGACTGGCTTTGACATCCTCGTCTGTCCCGCCACCTGTAGTTGAAACAGTGCTTCCTAGATAGGTGAAGGAGGTTACTTCCTTTAAGTTTCTCCCGTTTATGGTGACTGGAGTTTGTTGTTGTTGGTGGTGCGGTATCTTCATCACCTCTGTCTTCTCTATATTCACTTGAATTCCCGTCTTCGCTGCCTCTTCTGTCAACTTGCTAGTTTTCGCCTGTAGATCTTCAAGTTTGTGTGACATATACTAAGATATTGCACACTAATGATACAGCTTAGGTGTGTACATTTCAACAACCACATTTCAGCAGCCGGTTACTTAATTTTCCATCTCACTTATGGCATCAAGTTTTTTTTACTTTTGTTTGTTTGTCATTTTATTGTTCTCTGATCACAATCTATATTCACGCACATTTTTAGAATGTTTACAACCTATTGCGACGCTTTTATAAAATAGGATGAAGAAAAAGCATCACAGTAGATGGGAGGGTGCTTTTAAGCGAATAACTTTATCTCAAATGACATATTCACAGAACTTGTCGCCCCAATACTCTACGGTTCCCTGTCGATAATATGTGATGATTTTGATTTTTGTGACCACAGCTTTCTCACAACCTCTGGTGGTCAAAAACTTGTTAACTCCACAATACATCACGATGGAACACTAGACTTGATGTTTGTCAGTGGTACTTATACATATAAAACTCAAAAGAGAGACTCACTGCTCAGCTCATTGCATTATAAGTGTTTGCTCAAAATATATGGCATACTACATAAAACAGACTTCACATATCGGTATAAAAAAAGAGTATATAGAAACTATTCATAAAGCAACATAAACTAAGATAAATCCTACAAGGTACAGACTGAAATATATTTGACAGCCATGTTTTGAACGACACTGTTCATGGTGTGGCATGCTATCTCAAGTCTCTCTTGGATATCTGTTGCCACAATGAAAAACGTTTTCTACGCTTCGATCGTATATCTTCTCCTCAGCTTAAGAAGAGAAAAGGAAAGGCTACGTATGGTGAGCGGTGATGCTGGTGCTCGTCGATTTAACGTTTTAATTAGGTTGGAAATTAAATGTCTCAGTCTACAATATAACCAAAAACTTTAGTCATGTAAGGGCTCTTCCAGCATGTGGAAACCTTTTAAAGACCTCACTGCTAGTAAACACCTTAGTTGAGAAGCATGTGTTGATGTCTATGCTTTAAATAAGTCGTTTGTATGCCAGCAAAACTGTCCCATCCCACTACGTCCACTTAGTTCCATTGAAGAATGTTATCCAACCTCATCGCTTACTGTCAATAGTGTTTCTTAAAGTGCCGTTCTTTCCCTCTGCCTTTCTTATTTCTTTCTATATGACTGAAGATCAGATGGCCAGAATAATAAGAATAAGCAACAAGGAACTCTGGGAACGAACCAACCAAGAACCTATCACCCAACAAATATGCAGGAGGAAGTGGAGATGGATTGGGCATGCACTGAGAAGGCCGACTGAGGACATCACGCGTCAGGCCCTTACACTGCTTTCTGAGTGATTAGGAAAGGCTTTACGAATCTCTTCCATTTTAATCCGTTTCGGTTCATCAGTACTACGTAGGAACAGACGCAGGATAAATACTTGTAAAAAATCTCTGACAAAATTATTTGTACGTTTTGAATTCGGTCCAGGTACCTCCATGAGCGGCACCTCTTGTCCTACAGTGAAGGCATTCGGTATACGGCGTATACTTATCCCATTACGATTACGAATTAATAGAAAATCAGTATTGACAACAGTGTGCGGATAAATTGGAGCACGATACATACTATTTTCAACGGTCTGAAGATAAATTGGTAAAACAATGAACAAAAAATCATTATAGTTGGCATACACAACTCAGAGACGACAGCATGTTTAAAAACGTGTAATGTGGACGAAAAAATGTCAGTAAGCGATCATTTAAATTTATGTGACATAGATCACATGAGAGTCAATGTTACCATTCACCTGCCTGCAAAACAGCATTGGTTATATATAATCTTGAAAGAAATGTCAGTTATATCAGGTGTGCCTTCTTAGACTATTCTTCAGTATTTGATCCTGTCCACAGATATCCTATGCTGGACAAGCTAGCTGGGACATATACTGAGTCATGGACAATCAACTGGCTGTATTCTTATCCCCTTGAGAGAAAACAGTATACTATTCACAAAAAGAGCGCTCCACCTCATTGTTTACTCAGGCTGGCGTTCCTTCTTTTTCCCCCTGCCTTTCCTAATTCTTTCTATATGACTTACCATCTGCAGCTAGTATCAATTTTATCAAATGTGCTGATGAACTGACAGTCTCAATACTCATCTCCTCTTAAACAGATTGCCCCCAATTCAACGATTTCCTATCTACTCTTAGACCATCGTCCTCCATGAATGGTCTTTTGCTTAATTCTTCACAATGTCAGACTATAAACTTTAGTTTCAGACGCAAACATAACCTATGTAAACCACTTAAGTCTTACGCTTCCTGTTCACTTGATGGTTGTGCACCACAGAATGCTACAAGTAAGATTTATCTCAGGGGGCGTTTTTCTTCCCACCTTCACTAGTCTCCTCATATCTTACTAATTTCTGAAAGAATCTCCCACCTAACTTACCATTTTAGGAAGCTGAGAGTATCTCGTATAACACAAACTCTTCTCCTGTCTTCTATAAATTCCTGCATCTTGCCTATTATTCTCCATTCTTCCTCTTTATTCTTTCCACGCTTACTGAAAAACGACTACGTTGTATTGCGTAGAACTTTGAAGATTGTCAGCAGAACTAGGAGTGTACCTTCAAATCTTCTAATTTGAAACTGTTATAGACAAACATCGTAACTCATGTAAACATCTAACAGGAGTTATTTTATCAGATGACCAGCATCGTCTTCACTGAAGGCTCTCTATGTGTGAGTCGTCAGATAAGACCAGGGGCAAGTATATAAGACTTTATACACGTACTACTAAATATAGAAGCTCTACAATACCGTGTTTAGCTCGTATCCTGTGGGAGTAAGAAAGTGTTAGAAATGAACTAACTCATCAACTTTTATGTTTTTACAGCAAGCTGGTTGATGAGTACACCATTTACCGTTATTTATATGCTAGGAACCTAATTGCTAATGTGACTGTTCATCAAAGTTCACTCTGGATTTTCAAGGAAGTTGTAAATGAATTAAATACATTTATCTTTTATTTCATTCTTTTAGGTATACATGTAAACTATTTCTGTCCAATCGATGCTATAGGATATGCTGAAAATTCTGTACAATATTTGCAAAATATCATTTAGAATAATGTTATTATTATTATTACGCATATGGAACAAGCGATTTGCCAAACAAACGAATATATTTCTAAATAAACTGACCAAAGTTTATTCATCAAGTGAAGCCGAAAAATTCCCTAGTGAAAAAAGAAACCTTACGAGATATAGAAGAGACTAAAATATCATCTGTAAGTCAGATTAAGAAAGTAATTTATTTGTAAAATAAACTGAAAAAAAACAATATAATGGCTAAAGCTTTTTAGTAGGAAGAATTATTTATTTATTTGAAGTTCAACTACTTGTGAGTAACAAGCATAGTCTTAATGAATTTCTCTTTCAAGTTCAATTGCTTCAAGCAATGATGCCACTTTTAAATCTGGGCACCTCTAACCATCTCCCAGTCTGGACCTACTACAGCTAAGACTTTATGACGAGGCAGATGGTGAGAAGGTATACTACAGCCATCTGAGTCGATGAAGCTTCACAACCTCATCAACTAACCGACTCCGAAAGAGTGGCTAAAAAGAGCCAGTGGATATCAGCAGCTTCTTCCGAACTAATGGATGCACGTGAACGCATCCCTGGAGGCTCTGAGTACAATGAGGAGCGAGCACAACTTAAAAGTAGATTGAGAAAAAGTCTACGCCACGACCTCGGACAGTGGTGGGCAGCCAAGGCTAAAAAGATGGAAAAGACAGCGGCGATTGGTAACAGCAGACAGTTATTTAGACTTATTAACGAAACTGAAGGGGAGAGGTCAACAATAGTTAGTGAGACCATAGCGAAGAAGGAGGGATCTGCGATTTACACGCAGGAGAGATGACTAGAAAGGTGGGCAGTACACTTCGAGGAATAGTCTGACTGGCCTCTAACCACCACTACGTTGCCCGCTATCCAGTCGCATCCTGAATGGAACATTGAGATAGGCCCCCCCCCCCCCAACACTTGCAGAAGTCGAGAAAGCTGTAGGTAACCTGAAACGAGGACGGGCAGCAGGACCAGGCGGACTAACTCCAGAGGTATACAAGGATGGTGGTAAGGTGCTCTTAGTCAGGTTAACGAAAGTGTTAACCAGTATATGGGAATCAAATACGATTCCCTCTGACTGGTCTAAATTACTGATTATGCCAGTCTTCAAAAAAGGCGAGAAGTCCTCTTGTGATAACCACAGAGGAATCAGCCTGAGAAAAATAGTGTCCAAGATCCTAGGTTCTATAATTCTCCAATGTCTGAGTGGAGCTCGGGAACAGAAAGCCGAAGAAAAGCAGGCACGCTTTAGACCCGGTCGCGGGTATATCGACCAAATATTCACGCTGCGCCAGGTCCTGGAACATAGGCACGCTTACAGACGCTCGACAAAAGCTGTATTTCCAAACCTGAAGGGGACACTCGACTCCGTTGATCCAGAAGTCTTATGGCAATGTCTCTCACTGAAAGGCGTGACGAGTATGTACATTACCTTATTGAACGTTCACCACTCGAACGCTTGTGGGGATGTTAGAGCCTATGGTGAGAGGTCCAGGGAGCTATACCCGTCGAGTGGTGTCCTTCAAGAGTGTCCACTATCTCCATTTTTATTCAATTTTATCATAGATATTCTTATGGAGATCTCCCTCTCGTCACCTGACTACATAGAGGTTGACCCAATCGCAGAATTTTCGTAAGACCTAAAATATGCAGATGATATAGTCCTTTTAGGTGAAGATGCTGACAATATGCAGAGTCTTCTGAACACTGAGTGGCAATTTAAGAATGTTCAGGATGCGTTTCTTACCACCTAAATGCAAATTGTTGCTCCAGGATTGGTCTTCAACAGTGCCTCGGCTAACAATAGAGAGCATAGTGGTTGAGTGTGTTGACCACTTCACTTACCTGGGAAGTAGGATCAGCCCTGGTAGGTCAGTGGCCGATGAAATCTCTGTGCGGATACAAAAGGCTCGGTTAGCTTTTGTCAACTTACGCCACCTGTGGCGCCGCCATGATATCCAACTGTTTATTAAGGGTCACGTGTACTTCCCAGCAGTCTGGTCTGTTCTACTGTATGGCTGTGAAACATGACCACTGAAGGTGGAAGACATGAGCAGGCTGGCTTCAGGTGTTTGACCACCATTGCCTTCGTAGTATAGGCCGTATTCCGTGGTGTCACCATGTGAGTAACACAGAAGTCAGGTACAGAGTTTTATGGAGGGAGAAAAGGTAAATCATTTGACGAGGTTATGAATCTTCTTCGACTGAAATGGCTGGTTGGGACACGTGTCACGTATGGCTAGTCGCCGATTGCCCCGTCATACAATGTTGGTCGAAGTAGGTTCAGGCTGGAAAAAGGCTCGAGGTGGAAGAACTAAAACATGTATGAAGTCTTTGACCGTTGGTTTAGGCCATGTGGGGCAATGCAGATTAGCCGGTTGGGGGTCCACGGGACAAGAAAAACCAGTGGTTGGAGGCTGTAGGTGATATGGCTGAGAACCGATGTCAGTGGCGCAGATGTATACACATATTATCCTCATCTTAACGACACTATATCGAACCTCACCATTTTCTCATTCTTCCTTTGTCTCTTTTCGTATTTTATATCTCTTTTGGCTGAGTTTTCTTTTCTTCATCTTCCACTTCACTGCCTTTTTACTTGGTGTGGTGATATGAGGTGTGGCAACTCGGACCGTTACGCAGTAATGCCTGGTCCTATGTTGATAGATGATGATGACTAAGCTTCCTATTCTTCATCATTCTCAAAACCTGACTTCTACATTACTGACGTGGTGACACCACGAAACACTGCCATCTACGCTACGAAGGCAACGGTGGTCGAACACCCGAAGCATTATGATATCCTCTACCTTTAGTGGCCATTCAACATCAGTCAGTAGAGATTCACAAACTCATGTACTAACTTACTTTCTCTGCCTAGTGTTTCGAGGTTCAACCTCAGCACTGCTCAAGCGATTATTCTAGCGCATATGAGATATGCCTCAAAGATACAGTAGTCGATGCCTACAAATTACGACTATGCACTGTTCTACACCAACACTAACTAAGAAAATGGACAATTAATGAGCTAAACCTGTTTATCACTGCAGCAGCAGAAATACACGCTGTTAATATCTCGAAAGAATAATTTTTAACTCGCGAAAGAAAACTTTCTTCATTTAGACATTGAGAACCATATTCTTTAGCTGTTCAATGATTCTTGGCAACCCTAAGCTTCCGCACCTGACTACCTTCATGTGCTTTTATCAATTGACCTGTTCCTATGGAACCAGGTGCGTAAGTCGTTCAATGTGGGTTTCTTTCCAAAAGGGTTAGAGAACATTACTCCACCTGACTGCAAGGAGGTGCAAGTTGGCTCATCAGAAGTGGTGCAGTAGTTGAGCATTTTGTCAACATTGGTAACAGCATCAGAACTGATTCAGAATTCAAAGACAACTACAAGAAAAAAATAAAATTTCCAAAAATGGCACATTTTCGCCTTTTCTGTACCGTAGAAGCTCTTATCATATGCATAGAGAGACCAAAATTATAGGAGCAAAAAGAAATTTGTTCGACAGTTGTTGCTACCTTAAACTTAGTTGATGGTTATCAACGATAACGCCCATTTCCCCCCTCTCTCTCTATCTTATTCACATTTTTATTATATTTTATAACATACGACAATAATCTAACAGTCTTCATTTTGTTTTCATGCTAACCGTCATCATGCTTCGTACTATGCAACTTTATATTCTATGCAGTTAATTATGATGGTCTGTGTACTCTTCTGTGATTATTCTTCGCCTTACATTATACTTATGACTTTTGATCTTCATTAAACTTGATCCTTGTAACTAGGTTTGGTAAAATAATGCTTGCAACAAAAACGTATAAGATTGAAAGCGTACAGTTCTGTAGAGAATGAAGTCACTGGATGGCGTTTTGAACACAATTTAATTGTTCATAATCACATCATTAAGATTGTGATCGCAGTAATTTATGTTCAAAACGTTGTCTAGTAAATAGTGCTGTATCAGTGATGTGTCATATCAAACATACTAATCCAGTATGAAATCGAACTCTACCACAATGGTGCAAGTTTCACAGATTACGAATACATGACGATTATTAACTGCCATAATCAAATCAGTGTTGAATAATCAAGGGGATTTATATTTATGAACCTATGACAGACAACAAAAACATGGTAGGCAAAGGCGATGCAACTTACTTGAACCTTCTGTATGATCTGAATCTGGTGCTTTGCATACAGACTGATCATCACCTAGCGGTAAGTTGGATTTCAATGTGTAAACTTCATTACTTTCTTCGCCTGTTGTCGCCCATTGTTTTGAAGCATTAGTGTTCAATCTAACTGAAGATTTACCAACATAGTTATCACTAATTTCGTCGTCGTCGTCATCATCATCATCATCATCATACTCTAGGTCAACACCGTACCAAGCTCCACTTGACCGTTGACGTAATGATCTACCACATCCCAAGGTATCATCAGGCCATTTATTTATTGTCTTATCAGTAGTCGTTTGACCATCAGAACTAGTAAAACTTGTATCATGTAATACTTCTTTATCAGGATTTACAGATGATGATAACGATTTATGCGGTTTTTTCTTCCCTTCTTTACTTTCAGATAATGTAGACTTTGTTGATAGTGGTTTACGCTTTAAAACCTTTGATAGTTGAATTTTTGAACTGCTAGCTTTCTGTTGTTCACCTTCTAACATTACAGACTGTGAATTATTTGGACCACTTTGAGATGGAAATGATTCAGCATATGATTCACTTCCAAGTTGGCTAAAAGGGAAATTTTAAAAAAAAATATAACTCGTAAATAATGCTGATGATGAAGATATTGGAATCTACAGATACTGCCAAAAACAAACTTGTTTACTGAAGCTTTTATTCTTTCATATATAAGAAATAATGATAAAAACACAACTTAGATAACCACGTAGACGTTTATGTGGTAATAGACCATCCGTGTGAATGTTATTTGATAATATTTACTTGTCAAAACCTTGTCAAGTCGAACAAGGTTTGAATTCTTGACCTACTAGTCAAAAGTCAAGGCTCTAATGCAACTTTATCAAGCATTCTTTGTCTATGTATGTGAATGAGATACATAACTCACACTGTTATGCTTATGAGTTACTAGATTTTGAAGTCAATCTTAGAATAAATCTAATAAACATAAGGATCATTTTCGCCTTTAACTGGTATGAAATGGAAGGGAAAAAAATACTGCAAACTAGCTTTGGACAATAAATAGTTGATCATAGTTCAGAAATCAGTGATTCTATGCATCTCCAACTTCTATAAGGTTTTCAATGATTCTTCAACTGATTTAGTTTTTTATTTATTTATGAGACTAACCTAAGATTAGTCAGATCCCATCGTTAATACTACTAACTTGTTTCACAGATAGAAGGTTGCTATGACCGGTAATGCAACCTAGGAGTCCACAAGCGACACGAACATAACGCGCAAAGAATCTACCCTAATCACTGATCAGAACGTCAACCACCACATCAATATCACCGACACGCGAAGGCCCTAAGAGAAGATGGACCGTTGACAGAGGGCTTTTACTGTCTCAGCAACAGTCAGAACAGTTGAGAGCGATTTTGAATATATACACTCTAAACGACCTTGACAAACACTAAATTTACTGATAAGTTAAAACAGTTAACAACCACTGAAAGTTCAGCCATCAGAAGAAGTGAGAAAAACAATGGCTAGCAACAGCGCCAAAAAGGCACGAAAACAGCAATAATAAAGTTATTTTAACGTTATAGGTAAATACCCGGTAAGAGTTAGGCAAAATGAGGCGTATATAACGACAGTTTCAGTGAAAAATTGTAATCTTTTTGATGAACGAAATCAAGAAGGGTGAGGATAAAGACACTCGTTGATGACATTACATAACACTTACGGTATATCATGAATATTATGAAGTTGCAGATCTTTTCTTCCTTAGATTTGATCAAATGTGAATTTCTATAAGGTTTACGTAGGTTGCATAGCTAATATGAGATCACGGCAAAATAGGTTGCTCGATACAAGATAGTGTCATCTAACCCAACCTGAACTCTACACCTTCTCACACAATTCATACTAACAGTAAGAAACTTCGTGTCACTTTTTAGTCTGGCTTTCTTTAATCTTTATTCGGAGCTAACCATACTTCAACCAACATTGCGCACCAGAGTATGTGATGACTAGGTGTGCGTAAAACAAGTGATTCGGTGAAATTTTACAACCTTATTAACTGACATACCTTTTAAACATCAGACAATGACCTTCTACATTGATAACGTAGTGGTTCTATAATAAGGTACCGATGTTGAGAAGCCAACGGTGGATGAACATTTGAAAGCTTCCCATGTTCCTTACCTTTAATGGTCACGTTTCATGGCCATAGAGTAGAATGGAGTGAACTGCTGTACAGTACACTCGATCCTCAGTAGGCAATTACATACCACGTCAGCACTACAGATGGAGTAAGTTGGCAAAAGTCAGTCAGGCTTTTCGTATCTATCACACCTAGAACCAGATCTGCAACCTGTCTGATATTTTCAGCTTTCGTGTTGCTGAGCCCCAGTTAGACTTAGGATAGTTATGAGACCTAAAATTTTAGACAGCATATGTTTGTCTCAGTGATTTGTATATGGTTATCATGAAAAGATTTTTCTTCTATCTTTTAAATTAGGATAGTTAGCGATTTAGACCAGTCGGAGGGATCATATCCCACACACCAGCTAAAACTTTAGTTAATCCAAACCATCTTAGGTATTCGCTGCTCATCACTGCTCACAGTCACTACGTAATCTCTTTGAAAGCCTACATTTGAGCTGCCTTCGCTTCTCACTGTCATCTGAGCATGTAGAAATGAGTCCCCATGCATCCACATTATCTGAGATGAACCTGCTAAGGTTCAGTGACTCTTTTCCTGTTTTTCTGGAGATCATTTACGGTCTTCAGCGCTATTTTTTATAGGAGACTGAAGGTGGTGTTAGGCTCCTTCAGAAAGAGTAGCATTAGCATGTTCAAATAACTACCTAATCAGTTTTGGCCTTACCGATCTGCACTCGGGAATCTGTATTCTTGCTATTTCCACTTAGATGCAGAAATGTTTGCAATCAACGCAACGTTCGATCATTGTTGTAGAAAAGGCGGCAACCTTTCACCAACTTTCTCCAGTGGTGTTTTACAGTCATATGACCTACCTGTGTTTAACACTGGATTGAGGTTGGTGGATCTCACGTCGGACAATGACTCATTTTTATTTGGAGTTCATGCTAAGGAGAAATAGACGTGTCTGAACACGGTTGCAGCAGGTGATTGCCATTATCCTTTCTTTCAGCTAGGATTCCGTAAATGCCAATTAAACACCTTTTTAATGATGGGTAGTGGCTGTCAGTGGAAACTAGAACGAGCGTTACACCCTATTTGGGACAACAAAATTAAATGCCTTTTTACCCGACTCAGTCTACTCACTTGCGCACTGAAACCATCTTGTAGGACAGCCACATGTGAACGTTTGGCTTTCAGTAGGAGGTTGGACACTTTTCAATAGAACTCATCTTTCCCTTCATCCGAACTGCAGTCAGTGGTTGCGCAAATGGAGATTACCAGGAAACACTAACACGTGTCACCATTGCTTTTATCCTTTGCTGCACCATTCAGTAGAACAGTGCACAAACAATAACAGCATAGACCCGAATAGTCAATCAATTCTTTACATGGTGCAGGATAAACGCTACAACTGAGCAGTTGGGGGTAAAAAATGGATTTCCAGTTATTACAGGTCTGGATGCAATAAGTCAACTACACATATTAGGTTAGACCAATACTCTTCAAGTTATTGGTAAAAACATAAAAGTGACTCAGGATGATGTAGACCTCCATCATAATCTGCATAGTACTACTATTTCTAGCAGATTGATAAACAGATGGAAAAAGTGGAGGAACAAAATAGAAATAAATACACGGCAACTTTAATTTGAATACCCCACCTGCGTATATTTGCTTCAATAGTATCCAATGTCTCTTTATCTTGTTCTAGACGTGTACGAGCTGCTTGTAACATTTTTTGTGCAATATCTGTTAGTGGACTTTCATGTCCATTGAATGTAATACAATTGGATAGAATTAATTCAGTTTGTACAAAGAATTCTTCACGTGAATGAAATCTATTCTCTTTGACTAACTTTTCAAGTGTTGATAAATCCATTGGATTACTGATAATTTTATAATAATCCTAAATATAATTGAAATAATGAATCAGAAAAAAGAATTGCAGTCATGATCATTCATTGGATACATATATATAAGTGACATTATTATGCAAATAAGATTTTTCATCACAAAAATACACAGTAAGCATAAGAGACTATCTCAGAGACGACTCATAGATAAACATCTTTTTTATGTGAGTAAGCTGGCGGAAATAAGTGTTGTACATACCCGACCACCAACCTCACCTGGTCAACTAGTTCACTAGTTACTAACCGATCCTAGCCCCGGATAAAGAGGGAAGGTTGGGCATAGGGCTGGCAACCCTATCCCGGAAAACCAATTCAATCGCTAAGGAAACTTTAACGAACAAAGAAAACATAAAAACAGAAATAAACTTATTCCTCGCTGGAATCGGGGAGACGAAAAGACGCCGGTTGGTGAAAGCCTTCGGAAAGCCAGCTGGCCGATGTCTCTTCCCTTCTCTCGGTGAGAACGAAAGTAAACATGAGGACATGGAATGTCCGCACCATGTTTGAACCTAGCAAGGCTGTCCAGACTGCAAAATACATCAGAAGGTATGGCATAGAAGTGCTAAGAATCTGCCGAAGCAAATGGAATGGAAGTGAACTTGCCAAACTTTTAACTGGAGAGGAGTCAATAATCTACTCTGATACTGTCACCAAGACGACACCACGAACACGCTGAGAGAGTCGCTATCATGATGTCCCCAAGAGCATAAAAGGCTCTCATACAGTGGGAACCAATCTCCTCATACAGGATCATGACAGCAAGGTTCAACTCAAAATGAAGGAAAGTCATAATCATTCAATGCTACGCATCTACAAATAATGCGGATCAAGAGAATGAAGAGAAATTCTATAGACAACTGCAATCAGTACTAGACAAGACCCCACCCCAGTTGGTGATATCAAAATTCTAATAGGTGACATTAATACCAAACTGGGAACAGACAACACAAGAAGAGAACTCATCATGGGTCGAGAAGCACTCAGCAAAATGAACGAGAATGGAGAACTGTTTGCAGAATTCCGAGCATTCAACGATTCAGTGATTGGAGGCTAGGCAGTGTGTACAAACACAAGGATATCCACAAAGCAACATGGGTTTCACCAGACACTAAGACACACTAAAAATCAGATCAAATTCATTTCAACCTCAAGAAAGTAGAGACACAGCCTACTGGACACAGGATAAGATCAAAAAGGGGAGCGGATGTAGGTTCATACCACTATCTAGTGCAAGGAACCTTCAACATCAAGTTGAAAGCTTTCACAGAAGTTGGTGATAGGCCACAGTTCAAGTTCAACACCCAGAAACTGAAAGACAAAACTTCAAAAAACATCACGTCAGCCATAAGGGAAAAATAAAGGACATTGCGCAATATCCCTGAAGGGTCGGGTGTGGAAGAACACTGGAACTCTTTGAAAGAGACATGGAAGGAAACCTGCATATCCGTGTTAGGAAGGAAGAGGAAAGAAGACAGGGAATGGATTTCGACGGACACATGGATGCTGAAAGAGCAGGGAGAGTAAGATGGTGAAGCAGAAGATGAACTAGTGCAATGCAGTGCAGCGATGAACAACGACAAGAGGAACTGAACACAACTTATAAAATACTACACTGGAGAAAGAAGTGAAGAAGAGTGCACGCAAAGACAGAAGATACTTCTACGACACACTGGCAAGTGAAGCAGAACAGGCTGCAAACTGGTGAGAGAGACCTGACAACACTGTATCAAATAACCAGGTTACTGTCTATCTGGAAGGAGATCAACACAGACGAAACCAATTAAAAATAGTGAAGGAAGGCTAGTTACCAAAGAAGAGAAACAAAGGGAACGATGGGTTGACCAGTTCCATAAACTCTTGAATCGACCACCACCTGCACTTCGTCCAGAAATACAGCCTGCAGCCGAGCCACAGAACTACAAGTGAACACAAATCCTACGACCAAAGTCGAAGTCCTGAGCGCCATAAAGCTACTGAGATGTGAGAAAGCAGCACGACCAGATGGAATCCCGCCAGAAGCACTGAGAACAGACGCAAAACAACAGCGGACATGCACACACCACCATTGCAGAAGGTTTGTAAGGAAAGAAGAAAAGGTACCTGTCAATTGACTAGAAGAAGAGCTACCTTGTCAAACTCACGACGAAGGGAGACCTCAGTCTTTGCAAGAACTGGCGAGGGATCAAGCTCCTATCCATCCAGAGCAAAACATTATGCCGCATCATCCTGGAAAGACTAAAGGATGCACTGGATTCAAAATTAAGACTGGAACAGGCAGGCTGCATTCAGGAAGTACAAATCATGTGCGGATCAAATTGCAACGCTAAGAATCATCATAGAACAGAGAATAGAATAGCAGTCAACTCTCTACATCAACTGCATCGATTTTGAAAAGGCTTTCGACAGCGTCGACCGAGAAGTAATTTGGTAGGCAGCTGCTTCAACACTACGAAATACCATGAACGATTATCAACCTCATTCAACAGTTAGGTGACGACGCTACATGCCAAATGATTCACAATGGAAAGCTCGGTGATGCCTTTGAAGTGAAGACAAGAAATAGACAAGGCTGACTGACACCTACTATCACCGATGATCTTCATGATTGTGGTCAACTGGATCATGCAACAAACTATGAGGAACGAGAAGAGGTGCATACACTGCCTCATCAATGAAAACACCTCAGGAGAAGATTTGGATTTCACCGATGACTTGTATCTAATGTCGCACAAACTCGAAGATCTTCAGACAAAAACTAACAAGTTGACAGAAGAGGCAGCGAATACGGGATTTCCTTCAAGTGAACGTAGGGAAAACAGAGGTGATGAAGACACCCAACGAACAACAGCATCAACAACAAGCATCAGTCAGCTTCAACGGGAGAAACCTAAAGGAAGTAGTCTCTTTCACTTACCTACTTACCTACCTACCTACCTACCTAGGCAGCATCGTTCCAATCACAGGTGGCACAGATGAGGACATCAAAGCCAGGATCAGAAAAGCAAGACAGACTTTCATTAATCTGAAATCAGTGTGCAGATCTACTGCACTCAGCAGAAAGCGTGAACAACATCCGGATTCTCAACACTAATTCAGTCAAGTCAGTGCTGATATATGGTTCAGAAACATGGCGTGTCACGAAAAGTATTCCCAACAGACTACACACATTCATCAATAGCTGCCACCTACGCTCACTCGATACTGAAGATCAGATCAGATCAGATGGCCAGAAAGAATAAGCAACAAGGAACTCACTCTGGCAACGAACCAACCAACAACCTATCACCCAACAAATACTCAGAAGAAAGTGGAGATGGATTGGGCATGCACTGACAAGGCCGACTCGGGACATCATGCATCAAGTCCCCGGTTGGAATCCAAAGGGGAAATCACGAGTTGGGCGTCCGAGACGGGGGTGACATGGAGATCATGTGAGGAAGAGTAGTGGAGCCAGGTTGAAAAGACTGCAGAGAACAGAGTGCAATGGAGGCGTGCTACTGAAGCCCTATGTTCCACTAGGAACCCAAGGGATAAATAATAATAATACCTAACCGCCATTAATTGCCTAAAAATCTTATGCTAACTGAAGTGAGGATACGATAGAACAATATTAGTCTGGGAAAAGCGTTACACACGTTCACTCACCGTCTGCCTCGTCACACAATGTTAGCTGAGGTAGGTTTAGACTAGAAAAAGGGTCGGGGCTGCCAGACTAAAGCATAGCATTAGTGCACGAAGTCTTCGTACGTTAGTCTTAGCCATGTAACGAAAAGTAAGCTTCCCGTTTGGAGTTTATGTGACAGGAGAAACCAGTGGTTGGATACTCTAGGTACCACGGCTCGGAATCGAACTCAGTAGCGCGGATATATCCACACATTATTCTTTTCTTAATCGTCACAGTGAATTCAGTATTTTCTCATTCCTCCTTCCTCTCTTTTACTGCTTTCGACAAACCCTTCTTTATTTCTTCCTCTTCCATCTTGTTACCTTATTACCAGACGTGCTGACATGAGGTGTGGCAACTTAGACCGTTACGCAGTAATGTCTGGTCCTATGCTGATATTGATGATGATCCCTGATCCCTAAGTCAGTCATCAGATAGCAAACTAGATAATAACTTAGTCCTACACCGATCTAACAATGGAGTGTTATCAAAAGTATAGGTGATTCGATATGAAATTGCTTATTATTTCACGATCGTCAGCTATCATGTCGTTTTTTCGGGCGTGAAGCATCGAAAACTCGTCTTGTCTAGTGGATGTAATACACATTATTAACGATTGCTACCAAAGTGTTCGAGATGCGAGGGACTTTCTTTAGGATCATCACGTCAAATCGAATCAAAATGCACTCAGCAACCTTGTGCACATTCTTGTAGTAGGCAATGATGCACACCTATTGTGTGAGGGTTAATGATACTATCTGAGTGTCCAAACTTTAGTAGGCGGAGGGGTGTTTGAACCCGAGATTAATTAGTTAAAGTCACTTTCCTCAACCATTGAGCTGTGGATCCACAGTCACCAGCTCACGTTCGAGAGTTGGTCACCAGGTAATAATTATACCAGGGAATTAGTCAATGGCTCTCATAACACTAATGTAGTAAATGGTGCATATATATATACGAGTGCGAGCGTGACTAAATTCTGAGGTCCATTCTAATTCCCTCTTAAATTTTTCGTTATTTTCTTGACTTGCCAGTCTTGCCTATTACTCTTCGCCTGACATAAACATTGCTCACATAGCGATTTCACTACACACAAGCAGTGTTACGAAGACACCTGAGGTCAAAACCCTATGATCATTTCATATATCCTACTTTTAACGTCCATGTCTCGCAACCGTATAATAGGACAGAACGGACTGCAGCGCAGTATACTTGTCCTTTGATAGGCAGTCGGATATCTCGCTAGCTGGCGCCACAAGTGACGCATCTTGGTAAATGTCAGATAGGCACTGTGTATTTGAGCTGAGATCTCGTCACGCTGATATAACTCCCCAAGTAAGTGAAGTGAATAGGAGCAGACACAGGATTCATGCTAAGATAAACGATATAAGTGTATGTAAATCAAACAAAGTAATAAACATTAGGCCTCATGAATCAACAAAGGCATTATTATACATTATGATGAACGTAACTGTGCCAGTCAACTTCTACAAACCCGATTATAAATACGTAGGATCAGTCTACTAATAGAGATTATTTTAAAAATTCTTGATGACTGATTATTAATAGAGTAAGAGATGCTTTGAATATCATTCGTTTTTAGTTTGTGATTTGTTGAGCCCTCTAGCAACTCAATAAACTCGTTGGTTCTTGTTACTACCGCCCCCCTGTTTCAACTATCAATCGCGATTTTCGAAACATGGGAGCTTATGGTAGTATTTGATGATCATATCACAACAGCATAGCTTCAGTTCACTACAGTTACCTGTAGTTTCTGACGAAAATACCACATCATATTGGAGAATGAGAGAGTGTTTGGGTTGGCTGTCGAGAATTCGAAGTAAACTGTGTCGTGTTGTGAATTTGTAGAGCTATCCAGATAGTAGACAAGAGGTTACGTTACACATCTTAGGTGTCGAATGATGCATCACACTAGCACAGGATATTCCACAGGTCACAAAGAAATATTTAATCTTTCAGGACAATCAAAGATGACTTGAATTGAAGTATATTATCATCATTTAACATACATAATAAACGAAGTGTACATGTTAATCAAGCATGCTAAGAGGATAAAAAAAAAAGGGCAAAAGAGATATACAATAAACTTACAGGATATCGCCTTTTATCAACTGGTATATGAAATGGTCTACTATGCTCAACTCCACGCATAGCTTCAATAGCTTGTTGTAATAGATAACTTAAACCGACAAGATCATCTTCATCCAACAAAGGATTAACTAGTGATTCCAATCTCATTAGTTTTAATTCTTTATGACAAAATTGTTCCATTACATGTGAACACATTTTCATGGCTGTTTCAGTATATGCACTATAACGACCTAGATAGGGATATGTATATATTAGTGAGAAGAAAGTCAAATTGTCATTATAATTTTAGAAAAATGCACAACTAGTTAAGATTAGAGAGTATTGCGATGATTGTCTCATCTTGATTAATAATGACTAGTGTTAATCCCTCCAAAAAGCCAAGTAACGCTGAGTCGTTTGTTGAGAACCTTGATAATATAGCCTAGAAACTGATCATTTGAATGATGTTTGCACAAAACTTCTGTTTATTCTTTTCTTGACTATTCTCGTTTACCTTTAGTGGTCTTTCGTACCTCTTTTTATACATTAAGGTTTATACTACTTGGTATTATTGAGTAGTATAATTCACGTTTTCCTACGATATTACTTAATCCATGGTTTGACTGTTTATTCTACTTAATTGCATCTTGTTCATCATTTAACTTCTCTAGATATTAGTACCTTTCCCAGTTCATGATGGTGTTAGGATTCCTTTCGTTGCTCCTTGATATTCTATTTTACCTTGTACACTTGCTTATCTTACGTTTTTACCTTATTATCACTGTCTTTTATATTCCCTTCTGATTTGCTCCAGACATACAACCTTGCTGTGTTTTACTGTTGACATGCTTTCTGTAAGGCGCTTTGATAGCAATAAACCAACAGATATCTCACAATTCAAGGTTTTTTATCTACTACTCACTACTGTTTAATAGTGCAGAACCGTATTTCAGATAAATATTGTGTTTTGGATTTTACGCGTAATTTAATCACAACCTCGTAATATACAACTATGCATGAATGTAGACTCATCCTAAAGTATCAGTTTCGATTTATGAGCTGAAAAAATTTCTCTTGAAACTATCCGCAAGAGGCTATATTTATGTAATGTATCATAATAACCAAATGTTTAATGAAAAGTTTACACATAATCGTTTTTATTTTGGTAATATTTCGAGCAAAATTACTGCCCGGGATCAAACCGACAGTTGGAATATTTTAGCAATATTTATTGTCTTCATATAACAGGAAAATATCATTTGAATATTCTTACTCAATTCGAAGATCTGTAGTTCAAGAGTTAAATTCGAAGAATTCAAAGACAAAAGTCTACACAAGAAAAAAATTTCTACTAATTTACGATGAAAAGTAAAACAGTAGAATACATGTCAAACATCGGTCGTTTCGGCTACATCATAATATAAACGTCCACGATTTCTCATATAATAACGCAGTCTAGACATGTAACTTATTATTAACAATCAATATACACATATGTAATAATACACGAATAATATAACTAAAACCAGTACATGTTTATATACCAGAAATACGAACCAAACTTGAGGTACGAGTTTAGGACACCATCCGGCCACCCAGATTGAAATAGGTGAAGTGGGGCTCGAGTCTGGGATCAATTTTTGGGAAGTTAAACTCTTACCCCAATGGTTCACATACACTAATTGGCCAAGAGTGGGGTAACCGATGTAGAAGTCTAATCCTTATAGGCCGGCACTAACTGAAGTCTATCGATCTAGTTTGAAATAACGGTCAACAGGCTAGATAATGCTACACTAAGGTGCAATTCACATCGGCGTTCAATGTTGGGAGACAATCTCCAGGCAGGATCGAACCCAAGCTTCGCCTTTGTTAGCACCCATAACCAAAGCGCACCCACAACCATTAGGAAAATGGTGTTCCCCTCAGTGATTCAACTGACTTCCAACATTTAACACTAAAACACGGTGAAGTGTAGCCGTTGGATTATTTGGGCTAATGACCACACTACAAATAAATAAATGCAAATATATATAAATATTTCAGTCCTGCGAAGAGTCATTTGTAGTCAGACTAGCTTGATCGTTCGGCACTAAGCGACGCATGTTAGAATCACCGAGGAAAAACACTAGAAAACGTCCCCGTTTTAGATATATCATGTTGATGAATACCGATAAAGATAAAACTTATTGTCACGGTTTCATGACGATTTCTTCCCTACATCTAACATATATAAGAATATATAGACCTCAAGAAGTGATTTATTTCCCTTACAACATAAGTCTTGCAGAATAATGTACACTGCAGGAATACTATGATAACCAGAAGTTTGACGTACAGTAAGTAGCGAGCACTAGTATACTACGACAGAAATGAATAACAGGTTACCTAGCCTATGTATCGAGACGACAGACATTGGAAAATATAAATGATACACACACACACATACACATACGTACCATTGAACTTAGATGAATTATTATAGATTAATCGTATATCTGACAAGAATTCTTCACGTGTAGCATAACTATTTTCGTTGATTTTCATACGAATCTGTGATAAATCCATTGGAGTTTCAATTTGTGAATAATAATTTGGAAAATCTTTCTCTTTTACTGGATGCATAAATATTTTATAACCTGGAATCTGTGTAAGTCCCTACAGGGGATAAATTCAATGGAAAATATAAATAATAAATAAATAAAAATGAGAGAAGTTGAGAAATATAAAGTATGTGTAAATTAAATTAAAAAGGGAAAAGTTAACAACTTGTAAAGATTATTCTTATTTACTGGAGGAAAAAGTTGACAGATAGATGGATTGATAGATCAGACATAAAGAAAGAGAATCATCACGGACAGTGATGATAACTATAGGGGCCTATCTTGCTCTTATTTTGACTGTACTTGACGATTTCTATAATCCAAAAATGTGGATTTCTTGTTATCGTACCAAACTACCCTATAGTGTATGTATATAGTCTGTCGTTACTGCTTTAAACCGCCAACATTCTCCTATCGAGTTACTACATGCTTTATTACTTTTATTCACCAAATCCTTTCTCAAAGGGTTTATGAATATGTCTTTTGGTAGATTGACTCACTGTTTCATTCTGTGTTCGCTTCCTTTACTTACTGATGGGTTATAAGAGACTGAATAAGCAGTCGTTTATCACTAATTTTTTAGATTGGTTAGTGTTTCTCAACCCCCGTAAAATCTGTTATCCAGCGATTGTATCAGATAGCCTTAACCTGCATGTGTGATTAGTGGTTTTTTTGGTTCAATTAACTGCCTTCCAGACAGTAGGATCAAATTATACTTCATCTAGTATGATTTGGATAGGCGGCAAATAGTACTGTCTAATGCTTAAAACTGGTATTTCGAAGTGGATAATATTCCCTTCAATCCAGATAAAAATAACTTGCGATTAAAATTCGGGTCTACACTATAACATCAGTTGAGTTACTTCACTGAAGGAAGATAATTGCACGAAGTATTTGACTGTAGACATACTCTGACAAGGGTATTCCTCGAATCAGGATAGGGTTGTACAAGAGCTTCAAAAGGAGATGTACCGAAGACAGTAGCTATTACGGCGGTTGAGAACTATGACACGAAAAATCCCAGTGCATAAGATGTATGCATCTAAAAATTTATCAACTTAGTTGTAGACATATCGCATATTTTGCATACAAGTAAATAATGCAAAACAGACTATAATACCTTGTAAATTCCTTCAAAAATATGATTTAAAGCAACACGAGGATCAATACGACGCCTATTTCCACGATGTTTAATACTTGTTGGAAAATCATCATCATTTATACCCATACTGGACCGCCGACTTCTTCCTCCACGACCTGTACCCATTAATCCACGTCGATTTGAATTTGCAGATTGAACAACTGCAGCTGCAGCATCCAAACGATCTAATAACTGACGTCGTATTTTCAATTTTAGGTTACGACGATTTTGTTCTTTAATGTATTTTGTCAAACCAGAGTGAAGTTTTAGTTTAGTTCCTTCGACCTGAAAAGGGACAAAAAGTAAAACAATGTGAAAGAGAAGAGGAGTTTTTCCATGAATGAAAATCGACCCATCTGTAAAGATATCGGTTGGTTCCAAGTGATCATATCTGTGAAATAGATTGTACCAGATAGTTACATCCCCGTGCTATTAAGATGATTATAATTTCCCATTCTAAATACTTCTATTTGTAGTCGCTTATTGATCTCGGGAGATGATTTTCAAACAGTAGGTAACAAGTTCGAACACCGCTTTACTGAGCATGCTGAGCCACCACCTACTTCGATGCGCCGTACTCGGAGCAGCTGGATTAGGTTAAAAGAGGATGTGGAAAGGAGTGACCAGGTCAAGACATGACACCAACCGATGAAGTATGTCACTGTTGGTCTGAGCCGTGTTGGGAGATGTAGACCTCCTGGCTTAGGTTCCCGAAACGGAAGGAATCAGTCGCTGAGAACTCTTGGTGACATGACTGAAAATCGGTCACAATGGTGCTGATGTATTTACTACTTGAAATCTGCAAAAGCTTGAATATTCACACTAACCTTCGTCTACTTTGATATCAGTCTTTTTTTTATCCACTTATGTGCGAGGTTCTACGTTGATTTTGTCTCTCTGTCTATCAGACAATAGGAATAGTTCATAGCCTAATGCACGAGTGTGCATAAAGTTGCTGAGTGCACCCCGATTTTTTGAGTCGATAAATAATCAGCTTGATACACGACCTAATTTCCAAATCAATAACCGATTTTTGTAATAAACTAAATAACTGATAATCGTAGGCTGAATCATGTTTTTCTTTTTTGATCAAGTTAACATATGGAATGCTATCATAGTTATAATTCACTGATCAATAGACAGACTGTATTTTGGTTATGCTGAGTAAATGTTACACATGAATGGGAGAACAGACAAATATTTTAGTTTGACTTTATTAGCAACGAACCATGGTTATCAGTGGAATGCAAGAGATATATTTGGTCCTATGTTAGACTTGTTAGACCAAGGTAGTTTCAAGATATAAATAGAACCATATATTGCTTCATTAATACTTGTAATTTCTCGTTGTTATACTCAGCCGAACTGCTCGACCTCTGTTAGCAGATGGGCTCCTATGCAGATACCTCGATACTACCGGATATTCATGTTGCTGTATTCATCTTGGTGACTGGCAGTAGAATCCAGAACGCGCGTCTAGTCCTATTTATGACTCGTCAATTGGATGTACCTACACTGAAGCGAGTGATATTGTTCCCACTGACACTCGAACCCAGTACCCATCGCTTCAAACGCCAAAGCTCTCGTGCTCAGGTGGTCTAGTGGGTAAGGCTTTAGTGTTTGAAGTGATGAGTGTTGGGTTCAAGTTTGAATGGGAACAACATCACTCACTGGGGCACGGGTACATCCAATCGACGAGTCCCAAATAAGACTAAACGCGCGTCCTGAATTCCACTACTGGTCATCAGATAGACTACAATAGAAGCATGTATTGATTTCAGGTCGGTATTCATCACAGATTGATATAAGTTGGAACAACACTGGACAGCTGTTTCGTTCTAGTATGGAAATCCTGATGAGGAGTCCAATACTAGGACGAAACAGTTGCCTAGTGCTCCCAGTTATCCAGTCTAATAAATCATTTCAAATGAAACTGCATCCTACCACAATGCCCAAGTTTTACTCATATTAAATAAAACGTAGAGATGCTTAATTAACATTACTATTGAACTCTAAAACATTTAAACTGATACACACATATTTTGCTGTGATAGTTAACACATTTTAACACTTCTTATTTAGCATCCAGTTTCTGTATGAATCATTTTCAATTTACTAAAATGTTAATTGTTTTCTATGGAAATAGAGATATGTCCTGTTTTAAGGGTTTATACACAACACAATGTACCATGCATGAGATGATCATACAAGATAAGTTATAGTTTCAACAAGGGTAATTAATTTCAGGAAAATGAAAATGAGACAATGAGTGTTGGTTGATCTCTATAGTATGAAGTACACTTACAAAAAGGTTACATATTTCCAAACAATCATAATAACATGGTACCCCCCCCTATAATCCACGTAGATATGGAGTGGGATGAGAAGTCCTGGCTGAACAGCTAGTGTGAATACAATTAAGCGGTAGTAACACATCACGAATTCACATGACAGTCAGATAAAAACCTTGGTGATAGAAGTATAATTAAAACCTGATCATCGGCTGGGTCTCATAGTTCGTTCGGTTGGTAACCCACAGGCCGCTGGTTCGAGTCCTGCTGCGGCACAGATTTTCATTTCACTTTCAATCATCATAGAATCATAGTATCAACTACTAAACAATAAAACTAGAAGATATCGTAACGAATAAAACTGCAACCTAACAGGTAGGGATAGGAACCTGCTGCTCACCTAGTGATCATCGTAGCCTACTTGAATGACCATTTTTAATTTTAGCTATGATCTACGCATAGTTATTCGTGTATAAATAGTTGTGTGTTTCACCATATAATACAGTCATACAGATAAACTCAGACAGTTGCTTGGGAGTTGATTGAGAAGGGTCAGTTAACTAGACATCAACTAAATATTATCTACACCATCCAATAATCATTTATGTGCAATCATTTTGGACGATAAAAAGTTATTGGAGGAGTCGCTTATTCAGAAGAACAAAGCTTTTTATTTATAAAAAAATAAACTACTGACTTGCTAGTTAGTTAGTTAGTTAGTTTCCCAAGTCAGATTGACTACATTGTCAACAATAACAGTTATACTGAACGCAAAAATAATTAGAGCAGCGCATACAATGTAATTCATTTTGAAAGGGAACTACGAACTACTAAGTCTTTTGAACAACCGCATGCATGTTCATACACTAAACAATGATCCATGCCTATTTCATGAGAGCCAATGAAACTACTTCACCACCTAAACCTCGGTAGATGGTAATGTAATGTAATTGAATCCGGTACATATGGTCATGTACTAGGCTTTGAGCCATACTTATTACATTACTGGGTTGCTAAAGTAGGTAGAGAGCGATTCGAACCCATAACTAATCGTTTGCAAGTCAACTACTATGACCGGACAAGTCACAGTCTGAAACGTCGAACTGTATTTATCAATAATGTCAGATGATTCTGGAAAAAAATATTACTTGAGAAATGTTGATCAACCATCAGTTTATGCAGAGGAAATTTCAAATGTGAGTAAACAAAATTCGAAAATGTTTCACAGGTACGCAATCAAGCATAAATAATAGAAAACACTAACCGTCATATCATTTTCTCCTAAAGCCCCATGCACTGATGACTCATCTAAGTCATCTGAATCTTTACTGAGATTTAGATCATCAAGCTTATCTGCATCATCCCCATAGTTAGCTTTCTCTTCTTCTTCTTGTTCTGCTAACAATTCACAGATTGGTCGTGAAGCCAAGGCTTGAGCTGCGGCTACAGCATCTGGTTCTAACTGTCGACCACTATAACCCTCTAAGAAACTCATATCTCTATCATTCGACTTGAAATTTCCTAAGTCCGTAGTAGTTAAATCACCTGAACGAGACATATTACGAATAGCTGCTTGTGATCGAAGATGAGCACGATCTACAGCTGCTCTTCTGACTCCCTCATTATGAAGGGATGAAGATGTGTTGGTACGTCCATACATTGGGCATTCCTTGTTAGTACGCATATGACCTAATTATTTAATAAGAGGAAATTTAGTAAGAAAATGATCACAGAGTATGACTTAATACTTTAAACACATATCACTTTGAATGTAAAATAAATACAAATAGGAAAAAAACACAATTAATATTCTGCTTACACTAAAATCCTAGACAGTGTGTATCCCTTTACAAATGTCAATTAGTCACCACAGAGTGATGCATCAAAATCTATCTAGGACGAAATACAGTGCAATCACATTCATCTTGCCAATTAAAAAGCTGTTCAGTGTATCGTATTTACCCTTTGGGGATTTGTAGACGGTTAACAGAAAATGATAAAACTGGGTTTCCCACAAGTTGAAACTAACCGTAAGTTAGCCAGATTTTAAAATCAGTTGATAAAGAACCGCATACTACAAGGAGGGTGGTGTTAACCAAAAAGCACTACTGATAGCTATTATAGTTAGTAGGTGGTAATTACGTTGGCTTTATTAACCTTGTCCTCGTTTACATATGAGATCCCATTCGAAAGCTGCTACCTTGACGTCGTGGTCGGGTTTTTATATCACAATGACCCAAAGGGCTATGGCAGGCTGGAAAGTTTTTCCTCTCGAGGAACTACCATGCGAGAAAGGTCTGCTGAATAGCGACAGGACAAAAGGTAGTTATCGTTATGATATATATCGACACACTATGATAGGGGTTCGACGGTGAGGTCATAATAACCCTCCTCGACGTATCCTCGTGGTAGATATATGTAGCTATGTCTAAGTGAACTCTTGAACAATAACCATAGGCTTCACTCATGAGGGTCATTCGGTTTCTCGAAAACAGAAAGAAGCAGCGAAAAAGATTACGGTTTATTGTCAAGTCGAACATGTACAAAAAGTAACGGTTTATATACATTTTTAATAGGCCTTGATATGTGATACATTTTTCTAGAAAGTATTTTAGCCAATCTAAGACTCATACATATGATCATTTTTTTTTTTTGCGAACGTTCGGCATGCCATCGTTGGCTGTGAAGGCTTTCGAGATAAGTTAAGGCTTCTTTGAGGGATCTAGGGGATATTGTCACACTCGATTACATTCCTTTTTCAAGTACCTAAAGGAGAACTAGTCTTGTGCGGTGTGGGGAGCTAGGAAGTGTCAACCACCCTTACAACTCTGTCAGTACTCAAGTTCCTTCAGGTCTTTCCATCAATGACTCTCTAGTGGAGCTTACAGTACCTAGATGGTACAGTCCTGTTAGGTCAAGACTTTGAGAAGATAAAGTCTTTTGGATACATTGAAAGCGAAAAAGGAAAAAATTGTGTGACCACAGAGCCCATGGAACAGATGCTTGAGGCTTGTCACACAAAGCCTTTTGAGAACTGCTGTTCTGATACCAGATAGGAAAAACCAATGGCGCTGGCAGAGCAAGATGGAAGGGCTGGGAAAGTGTGTTACTTTTAAAATCGACTTTTTCTACCTCTCCTCCACCCTCTGCGAGGGAGGCAGCACCAGTATAGCAGTAGTATGACTTTACCTTCGGACCCCTATTATAGTGTCTCAATGTACACCACAACGGTAATTGCTTTTTGTCTTGTCACATTTCAACAGACCTTTATGGTATGGTAGGATCTTGAGGAAATAAGCGTTGGGTGACTGTGATATGCAATCTCGAGCATCACGTCAAGGTAGCAGCTATCCAGTTGTGAGTTAGAAAGTTCCGAATCTAATGTTAACGGCAGCGGGTTTAGGCTGAAAAGTTCAAAGGCAGTTAATTTAAAACAGGGCATCAGTTCATGAAGTTTCTGAATGTTGGTTTGAATCAAGCAGGGAAATGCAAGCCTTACCTCCATCTCACATATCAAATCGAATTCCTTTGTTTGCTTTAACCCATTTTCTAATCGTATGACCTTTGGTTATACTATTTCTACCTTCATATCTTTCATCTTGTTCTTATTAAATTTCGATGCACTGATGCGAGATGTAGTAACTTGAACTGTTGTATGATAATTTCAGGTCCAAATTGACACTGACTGATTGACAAAGTCTGAATGCTACGCATCAAGAACTTATTTGTTACATGTAACAGTGGTGGCTATGCTAAGTAAGTATCTTCTTGAATAATCCTGAGTTTTACGAGATGATTGCATAGTTTTAATCCAAGAGTAGGGAAAATACAAGGATATACACCTAGTAGGATGAAAGGTAAGTCTTTCACTATGAAATAAACCAGACTATGTCATGAAACAACTAAAAAAAAATACAAACTCAAGATATAACATTACAATATTCTAACCTGTTTGACCACATGCACCACAACGCATTTTAATAAGTGCTTCTGTCAGTGTTTTATGACGTCTATGTCGATTTGCTTTGTTTGATAAGCCCAACGACTTCATACCTGGCATACCGCCTCCGCTGCCAACACCACCACGTTCTCGCATTACCTGTTGCTGCTTACGCAGACGACGTAGTTGATCCTTTTATATAAGAAAAAAAGTATTGCACAAAAATGAAACAATGAAAGTTATGGAAAATAAAAAAGAAACAAATCTTATTTATCTATATGAGACTGAATGCATTTTATGAAGAGAAGCATTAAGTGGAAGTGAACCGTCATGTAGGTTTCAGTTGATATTTTATTTCCTTTGATTTTCAATTTATTGCTGTTTATAATCACTACCTTGAGAAATAAATAAGTACTTTTCAGCGTTCCACGCCCTGAAGGTATGGAGATGAAACATGGACTGGTAAACACCAGACAAATCTTGTATGTTTGAGCTGAGATTTCGTCAGCAGCCAACTCATTCGGGCTGATGTGACTCTCTACGCTAGTGTAGCGGTTGACATATTCCACCACTTCACTCTGTCCATAAATTAGAAGTCAGCGAAGAAAGATCATGAAGCGTTGTTTTATATTCGACAAGCGTGAAACGCGTGCCAAACATACGCAGAACTCTGCAACGAGTTCAGAGACTGGTGCATTTCTTCAGTCCATTCTCCTTGCAGGAAAGTGTCATCTGCGTACTAAAAGTCAACCAGATACCGCTTTGTAAGTCAATCCCTGCAAATTCCCATGTACCTAGCGTTATGCTTATTGGCGTATCTGTAACAAACTTAAACAGGAATGGTGAAATTCATATAGAAGTAAAACTTTGGCACTCTGGTAGATTGTAATCCCACTTTAGTCTGTTTATCAGAACAGTCACATAGGGAAACAGTATTATTTACCGGATAATGTTTCGGACACAATTTATTGTCCATATTCATATCAACTCCGCAACTTTCAGACATGATTTATATAGTTTTATTCCTCCCTCCTTCTTGTGATGAGTACTAGTATTTTCCATATACTTGCTTGTATTTGGTATTGAATCGGTAAACAAAGATTAGGTTATCAATCTCTTGTTCTACCCAACTAGGTTACTTTTTAATACCATCGTTCTATCCCACCCTATTGTGGTTGTGTGATATGGCAGGCACAGCTATAGTAGAGCTTTCATCTGAATTCCTTATCTTACTAAGACCAACTAATCTTGATTTAGGTAGGTTTCTGTTATTCTAATTGACCTTGGTCGAATGCTTTGACCTATGTGTTTAACCTCGCAATCGTTGCAAAAAATTGGGTAAACTAAACCATTTTGCTTAATTGGATCAGTAGGATACTTCAACCTACAAAGCTTGTATCTAGGCTAGTTTGTTGAGTTAAATGACGCTCAAATCCCAGCCTTATTGAGAATTCTGTGTAACGCTTCTGACATGCCTTCTTTGTATGTGAAGACAGTAGAGGTTTTGAATTCTCTTTTAAACCTGTTACCATTATCAGAACTATTATTAACACCTGTGTTACTATTACTATTGTTCATATTCTTCTTTCCATCTCTTAGGAATTTATTGACAAAATTAGGCGGGTAGTTATTGAGATGCAAGGTATTCTTGATGTGTTTAGTTTATTATCGCAGATTTTCTGGTCTACTAGTAAGTTTTTTGCTCTAACGCATAGGCATTTCAGTAAGCCTATTTTAATTGAGATGAAAGGAGATGATTTGAAGTTAAAGTTGCGATTTGAATGGGTTTTCTTGTAGACATTAGTTTCTAGACTTCCATTTTGTTTTCGTTTAATCTTGCAATCCAACATCGCTAGCTCGCCTTTATCTCTTTCTAAGTTATAGGTGACAGAAGGCACTCTTGTCAGATACCACTGATTATTAATAATTCAGATGAAAACCTCTTATGAGCCTTTAAGGGGTTGTATGATGGTGGGTTGATGCTCTCTGAGCTTTGATATTTTTGTTGACAAAGTATCAAAGCTAAGAGAATACCAAACCATTATCATTGGTACTATTATTTTTAGTCAGAGCCTGTCACAACGTCTTTCAGTTGGCAAACAGAATATTGCCTTCAAGCCAAGAGATATGGCAAGTGTCACGCATAAGTGAATATGTCTGTGTTTCAGAACCTATTGAAGAATAAAGATCTGATAGATGCACCCTTGTTTACATCTAAAACCTCCCTGGCTTTCTCGAGCTCCAGTTAGACGTCAGATAACTATGGACCCCAGGATCTTGGACACAATATTAGCCAAACTGGAATGATCAGTGATATAAGCCAGTCGGATGGGACTACCTCTGATTCCCATACGCCACCTAGTACCTCGGCTACTCAGTAATTTTCTAACTCTATGCTAAAAAGTCTGATGGAGATACATTAGGTCCTGCTGTTCTATATCATTTCAGGTTCAAAACAGCCTTCTCAACTTCGACGACAGTTGGAAGATTAACATTTACGTCCCATTCACATCCAGGTTGGACGCTTGGCAGCTGAAGCGTTGCTGTAGGTCAGATGAACTTTATTTGAAAGTGTCTTGCCCAACGTTATAGTCGTTTGTCCTGAGAAATAATCGGCGTCCCATCCTTTTCGGTGATCACTTCACTTATCATCATCCTATTCTTGCTAGTAACCTTAATAAACCTGATTGACTGTTGGGTATTATTTAATACTGACGTCTTCTCCATCTTTTTCGCTTTCACTACCCGCCACTGCTCGCTGTCGTTATGAAGATTCTTGGTCAATTTATGTCTAAGCTGTTTTTGCTCCTCATTATAGTCACAACCAGCTCCAGTGAGTCCTCTAGCATCCATCAGTTTGGAATAGATTGTGAAAATCCACTGACCTTCGCTCATAGTTTACTAACAGAAGGTCTAGTGCAAGATAAACCGTAGGAATCACGCCAACGAAAATAGTGAAAGCTGATGCCCTTTTCTTCTTCTTAGGCATTAATACTACTTATTGGTTAAGCATCTAGACATCTATTTTCATATATTATATTATGGACTTGAATCCGACGGTAAGAATGTGAAAATCTTAGGTAGAAGAAACGGAAAGAATGTCGTATAAAATTTGCGTGTATAAGACATGGTATAACTAGCAACCACTGGACGTACTGAAAAAGGAAAGGTAGCTGGCGACTTCCAGGTAAAACGAAACATGCGTCCTAGACTGCACCGCTAGCCGTCAAATAGACTCCAGTAAAAAAAATATGAGAACAGTCATCAAACAATCCTATGAGTTGCTTGGAGCGAATGTCCACATAGTGGTAATACATTACTGGAAACAACAAATTACACTCAAAGTCATCAAGACTAAATGCTAATCTAATCAGGGGGAGATTATCGTAGCTGCTTCTCTTTTATAAGCTAATATTGCTGCTGTTGATGTTGTCCAGGATGAAAACGGAAGCTTCATCATCAAACTATTCAGCTTGATAAACACAACAGTACTAGAATCATTTTGACTCGTGAATACTCCAACCTTAATTTATGATGTAGCACGACTTTCCTAATTCACAGACTTCATATGATATAAGGTATTATACTTTCGCGGCCAACCAAAGATTACATTCAAAAAAATCATTGATAAATTGGATGATTATCGTGCTAAATCAAGATATAAATTACGTTATAAAGTTTCAGTGATGACAATCCAGTTCACCCAGAACATGTATACCAGTAAAGTTGAAAACAATGGATTTCAACAGAGAAACTAATGGTGGATGCCTTTGATGAGAAGTCTAAAATCAGAGTAGAACATCTGCTCAATATTCTCTAATTTTCTTAAGTGGTTTCTCGACTAATTTCACTTTGGAACGGAAAGCAATTGACCACAGAGCCTAATTAAAGACAAAGTGTTCAAGAAAGTAAATAAAACAAATTACATCAAAGAATAACATATTAACTTGAAGCGTTACAATACCTGTAATCTTCTTTTTTCTTTCCTTTGCTGTTCACGGAAGTGGTCATCTGAATCAACAAAATTGTGAATAAAGTCATCATCACGAGTTTGACGAATTTTCAAGTAAATCTCAACAACAGGAGACCATGGAACAAGTTCTGTTCGTGTATATTGATGCCCATCTTCTGAATATGTACGCATAATACGCAACATTTTCTTATTTGCACCATGCCATGGTGGTGTTAAATCTAGTATTGTACCAGCTGCATTAGCACTAGCATCATAGACTGTACTACCGCTTCCACCGACAACAGGTCCAGTTTCATTACATTCTACACCGGATAGTGGAACATCATTCTCTTTCAATTGTAATTGATGTGTTTTACGTGCACGTTTGGATGCTTGCAGTGAATCCTAGACAAGTAAAGGCAATTAAAACAAAATTAAAATCTGTTCATGCAGTATTTTCATTCTAAAACAGTTTAACTAGCAAGTAATAATAAATAAGCAAACAATTGAATCAAACCGTTAAATTTCCGACTGTGGATTTTGAATAGGTTGAAAAACAAAAATAAGGTTTGTAGCTAATGTATTTAATTATTTCTTACAGGCAGACAGGATTACTGTTGATATGCATTTCAACTCTTTCGCTGATATGATCTCGATTGAGTTAGAGACTACCATCAGTCAATTTCCACTGTTTCAGTTTTTAAACACTCTTTGGTGATTAAATCATTAAATAATGTTAGAAGTCGGACAGATAGAACCTTCGACACAATTGCATTCAGCTCGTTGCCACACTTCACATTAATATACAAAGAACAAGTGGATAGGAAAAGACTGATATCATCAAAGTAGATAAATTAGTGTGAGAGAATAAAAAATTTGAAGATATAGGCTTTAGAAGACTTCCAAGAGTGAATACATCTGCGCTGTTGTGACTGATTCTCAGCCATGTCACCAAGGGTTCTCGACCACTGATTCCTAATCGTCTTAAAGACTCCAATCAGGGACTCTGCACCTCCTTACACGGCTCAGGCCAACAGTCAGGGACTTCATTAACTGGTGGCAGGCCTTTCATCTGGTCACCATGAACCCTCTTCCAACTTAATCCATGTTCCCCTAGCATGGAATGTCCAGATAGGCGGTGGGTTGGCATGCGGAGTACATTTCCAAGTGAAATTGAAGTGAATAGTATGGCAATCAAGTACACACTATGACCATATGATTATTGTGTATGAAGGCAGTTCAAATTTCGGTAAATGGAATGGGATTACAACCGGTGATCCAACAGAGAAAATTAGTTGGCTAAGTAAATGTGTCACAACTCTATCCTCACTTTATGATCGAATGAATCATGTCTATCTAAACTACTCATCATTATACAGAGATCGATAATGAGAACATTTAGTATCACACGTAATTTCGTGATACGATTCATACAACCCACGGAATAATATGAGAAGGTCGTCACTTGTGAAAATAAAAAGATGTGGTCAAAATGCTTGATGTTAAAACAGATGACTACATAGGCCTACTTAGTTAGAAGTGGTAGCAAGTTAGGAAAGGAAAAATCTAAATACATATTCGACACTAGAACACAGAGCAGCAAAGTATTTTGTCACCTATTTTATTGGCCGTATAGCCAAATGTAACAGTGGAATTTGATCACGACTAAAGATCGGACAGCTACATCGGTAATCACCTGGTGTATAGAAGTTCACTCAGCAACCTTGTACACATCCATGCAGTAAGCAATGAGCCACATCTATTGTGTGAAGGCTGATGATACCACTTGGCTACCTAAACCTTGGTCGTAGGTGGAAGACTGTTCGAATACATCGCCCGCTGGTTGTAGTCAACTTCTTAAACCAATGGATTTACAACTCCACCTTTTGTGCGGTTCGTACATACATAATTTGAAAAATCACCATGCTTTGGCAGATTTGACTGTTTTACTCTGTCATTTCAATGCTTCAACTAATGACGAAACAGGATATAACGACATTTGTTCAGTTCAAGTTGATGTGGTAACAAAAAAGCAAATAAAATATTGGGACTATATAGAGCCCACAAAAGAGTAGAGGTGGATAGATAAAGATACAAAGTAAGCTGGTCAATCGATACAAGAAAATAGGCTGAATGTTACCGAACAGTACGGAATAAATTTTAAGTTACAGTTTTGAACTTCCGTGTTTGTGTATTTATTTCGGCCACTGAGGAAACCAACTGACAAATTTGTATCTGCCTTAAATGGCTCAAACTAAAGTCAATAAAATTGATGATTTCATAGCGAGTGCAAGTAAGCAATAGTTGAAGATGGACACTAGACATTTCAGCAAAAGCAGTTGGAAACAGATTTACAATCTTTGTGTCTCACAGCTATGAAAAAGAACACAGAGGCTTTGCCAAGTCGTAAATTAATCCATAATTTGATAGCAACCATTATTTTAAATAACTTTGAGAGCCTGAGTATTTTAGCTCAAGCATACGGATGAATTGTAAGACAAGGCTGACTGACACCTACTATCACCGATGATCTTCATGATTGTGGTCGACTGCATCATGCAACAAACTATGAGGAACGAGAAGAGGTGCATACACTGCCTCACCAATGAAAACACCTCAGGAGAAGATTTGGATTTCACCGATGACTTGTATCTAATGTCGCACAAACTCGAAGATCTTCAGACAAAAACTAACAAGTTGACAGAAGAGGCAGTGAATACGGGATTTCATTCAAGTGAACGAAGAGAAAACAGAGGTAATGAAGACACCCAACGAATAACAGCATCAACAACAAGCATCAGTCAGCTTCAACGGGAGAAACCTAAAGGAAGTAGTCTCTTTCATCTACCTCCCTAACTACCTACCTACCTACCTACCTAGGCACCATCGTTTCAATCACAGGTGACACAGATGAGGACATCAAAGCCAGGATCAGAAAAGCAAGACAGACTTCCATTAATCTGAAATCAGTGTGCAGATCTACTGCACTCAGCACAAAGCGTGAACAACATCCGGATTCTCAACACTAATTCAGTCAAGTCAGTGCTGATATATGGTTCAGAAACATGGCGTGTCACGAAAAGTATTCCCAACAGACTACACACATTCATCAATAGCTGCCGCCTACGCCCACTCGATACTGAAGATCAGATCAGATCAGATGGCCAGGAAGAATAAGCAACAAGAAACTCACTCTGGCAACGAACCAACCAACAACCTATCACCCAACAAATACTCAGAAGAAAGTGGAGATGGATTGGGCATGCACTGAGAAGGCCGACTCGGGACATCATGAATCAAGCCCCCGAGTGGAATCCAAAGGGGAAATCACGAGTTGGGTGTCCGAGACAAGGGTGATATGGAGATCAAGTGAGGAAGAAATGAAAGCTTGTGGGGAGTGGTGGAGCCAGGTTGAAAAGACTGTAGAGAAAAGAGTGCAATGGAGGCGTGCTACTGAAGCCCTATGTTCCACTAGGAACCCAAGGGAAAAGAAATAATAACGCAGATGAATTTGTTCAAACACTACTTATAATACAATGAGACAATGTGACAAGACGTATTCACTAACAATAATCTGTTTTGATAAGTTAAATGGTAAAATTATTGTAGAGTGCCGTTTAGAAAACCTGTACTCTAGGATCTGGAGAAGAACTCAAACCATGTCAATAAAAATTCCCTTCATACGATATGGACATAACCAAATTGATTCTCTGACGAATATCACTTTCATGCAATAGTCAGTGCTGAATAAGTATGGATCGCACTAGTTGATATACTAAAACCTACAGTGTGATAATAACTATCACGAAATTCAGTAACTAAATCTGACACAAATTTCTTGCTAGAGGTTTTATTCATCTCAAACACAAAGGTGTAATTAAGTGATTAACACTTCTGTTACGGTTATACGAAGGGTATTTCTAATGATAATCTTTAAAAACAATAGTAATGAATGTATATAATCTAACAATCATGGGCAACCTCTTGCATTACGCAACAAGTTACACCTATTATTTGGATCCCCAAACTTCAGTATGTAGAAGGAAACATAAGTTAGCTGAGTTAATGATTAGGTAGTAAAAAAAACACCTTTAGAACACCAAACAAGATTGAACATGTTAAAGCTATCGTCATAACTTGTCAAAATGACTAAACGTACACCAGATTCTAAAGCTCGTTTGAGCTTACTACGATCCTTTTCTTCACTTTTACCCTCCGATTCTTTAGAAGTTATCCGATTTGATAATACAGATTCAATATTACGACTAACTTGTGCATAGGAACGAGCAGATGATGACAGACTGGATAAGCGTACACCGCCTATAGAATTACTTGTTCCACTGGAACCATGTACACCTAATGCTGTAGATTTATGCCCAACACCATCAGTTCCAGTGACTTCATCTTCATCATCTTCACTGCTCACTTCTTCATCGGAACTTAAAAGCTCTGGATTTGAAAGAACACGATTTTGAAGATCAAATATTCGTTGACATTCTTCTTTGTAACAACGAATTTGTTCACTCATTGATAAACGATTACCACGTGCAAATTTAGCAGAGCCTTCTTCTTCACCTTGCTTAGCACGTTCAGTTGATGTGAAACGGACCATGTCAATAATTTCCCAACTATAATATATCAAAATTGTACTAAAATATTTCATTTATCAAGAGTGAATAGAAGTTATGAACGTGATTATGTCTAGAATAAGATAAATGTCAATACACGAATCAACAAATTTTTAAGACGAGAGAAATTTGTACACAGTTATCATAGATACAACATTGATATGAAGGTAGACAGTATGAACTGTTGAGAATGTTCCTTCGGATAAGCGAACGTTAACCTTTAGAAAAAAGACTGATTCGGCAAAGAAATATGTTCCTTTTCAATTAGGTCTTCTTGTTTGACCATACACTAATATATAGATTATCATTTCGACCATCTGAGATAGGCACGATTTGGCAGACTAGTATTGATACTAGGTGATAATTGAAGGTGAAATGAGAATTTGGACTGCGGCGGGATTTAAACCAGACCACTGGGTTTGCGGCCAGGTGCTCTACCAACTGAGATGCGACGCCTGACTGCTAACCAGATTTCTATTTCACTTCGATCATAAAGGGTTTTGCCTGACCACCATGTGAGCTCGTGACGCGTTACTACCACTTGATCGTACTCACTCACACTGGCTGTCCAGTCAGGACTTCTCATCCTTCAATCATCACCCATAATCAATACTATTATATAGTATAATTGATTGTATTATACTGTCGTTGATTGGACCCGATTGATCGGTCTCCATTGGCATATGGGCTCCTGTGCGGATGCCTCGATATTACCTGTGTTCTAATTATGGTAAAGATGGATAGTAGTTAGCAGTGGAATCCAGAATGCGTATTTCGTCCTATTTGGGACTCGTCAGCTGGATGTAACTGCCTCCCAGTGAGTGGCGTTGTTCCCACCGGTGGTGTAGTGGAAAACGCTCTGGCGTTTGAAGCGATCGCTCCTGAGTCCGAATCAAGGTAGTGTTATTTATTAGTTTACGTTCCGGACAAAACTTATTGTCCAGTCATATTAAGATAACTACACAACTCTGAGACATGGTTTATATAGTTTTAATTTTCTCACCTCCTTTGAGATATAGGTTAAAGGATTTTGCATACATTCAGAAAAGGTCATTCCTATTGCGCGTATTTTTTTGTCGTTGATTTGATAAACAAAGATTCGGTTATCGGTTTCTCCCTCTGCTCTAGCAAGTTAGCTTTGAGGATTGTTGCTTTGTCCCATCCCATTGTATGGTTGTGTGTAACTGCATGCACAGCTATGACCGAGTATTTTTCTAAATTCATTATCTTATTAGGATCTACTAATTTTGATCTAGCTAGGTTTTTGTGCTCGGTAGCCTTATTGACCTTGGTCAATCGCTTTGACCTCGAAACCTCTACAGTACTACCATACAAAGAAGGCACCTCAGAAACACTACGCAGAATTCTCAGTAAGGCTGGGGTTAGAATGGGGTTTAAACCTACAAAATCATTTAGAAATAAACTGTTTGGGTTAAAAGATTCCACTGATCAGATTACCAAATCCATTGCAACGACTGCAAGCTCGAATGCATAGGCCAAAGTAGTCGGCCTAAGTCAATTAGGCTATCCGAGCACAAAAACCTAGCTAGATCAAAATTAGTAGATCCTAATAAGATAATGAATTTAGAAAAATACTCGGTCATAGCTGTGCATGCAGTTACACACAACCATACAATGGGATGGGACAAAGCAACAATCCTCAAAGCTAACTTGCTAGAGCAGAGGGAGAAACCGATAACCGAATCTTTGTTTATCAAATCAACGACAAAAAAATACGCGCAATAGGAATGACCTTTTCTGAATGTATGCAAAATCCTTTAACCTATATCTCAAAGGAGGTGAGAAAATTAAAACTATATAAACCATGTCTCAGAGTTGTGTAGTTATCTTAATATGACTGGACAATAAGTTTTGTCCGGAAAGTAAACCACTAAATAGTACTGTTCCATTGTGTGATGCACCTAATCAATCAACTCAAATGGAATAAACTATGATAAGGAAATAGTAGTTTAATCTTACACTACATGAATGAAAGTCTACAAAAGCAAACTTATTTACAGTAATACAGCATGTTTAATTCCAAATAACTACTAATTTGCACAATAAGGGAGATTTCTGCTGTACATACGACTTTGTAAGGTGGAAATACACAGGTGATGTGTGGGTGAATAAATTCCAGGCTGAAAAAGATCAAATGGATATTCTGATAAAAAATTTGATAACTACACTAATTTGTCACTGGAGGGCAACCAATTTCATATTGTGTTGTGCTCCTGAGTGCTAACCAAATTCTGTCGATCATATTGTAATGTGACCACAAAACTAGGAGGTTCACTATCATGGATGTTAGATGGTTGGCGGGAATCGATAAAAAGCCCTGAACCTGGGTCTCCTGCTTGTTGGCACTAGTCAGTCAGCTGAATATCATCGTCATAATTTACCGAGGGACGATGCTGATTGTTTTTAAACAGCCTTATAGTTAAGGAGATAATTTAAAGGTCACTCGTAGCTGTAGGTTATTCATAATCTACTTTAATGAACTCATAAACATTGAAACATAACCTTTATTGACATCTTAACAGAAAACAGTAACTAGCTAGATAGACAAGATTTAAATACATTCGAAAAACTATTCTTTCTCATAACAGTTCTTTCATAAACGGTAAATGGTTATATATAAGTAGCTTGCTGAGTTTCAGTAAAATTCCTATACAAACAACCAGGAGTGCATTTTACACGTATATAAATAAATAAATAAATATTCAAAGGAACTTGGTATATTGAAAACTTTCTCATATATTTACCGCTTAAATGTTTTTAAATCAGCTTCACTAATTCCAAATGATCGTAACAAGGCACGCGCATCACGTAAATGTAATTTACGCAGATCTGCATCAGTCCCAGTTACAGTACGCTTGCCTTTTAGCAAACCCCGAGCAACTTCTCCACCGGCTTGTCTAAATAATGCGCCAGGTTTGGCAGATGTCTTAGAATATGAAAATGCTTCACCACAACCAGTTGGATCAGCTACACCATGTAATTCAAGAAAACAACCTCCACGCTGTGAAGCCAAATAAGCCCGTGTTGTATTCCATGGTGCAGCTCTTACTTCATCTTCCATTTTAGGCTTGAAAAACAATTGGATAGTTAGAAATAAATTAATTTTTTAAAAAAGAAATGAATAAACTGTGCACGAGTATGAAAATTAATAACGGCTGAATGGATACAGTAGGAGAAACAGAAGTTAATAGATGATCTTGGGAATAAGTACTGATCTAAGTAGAATGTGTTGCTATCTAAAAGTCATAGCTTCAAGCTAACTATTGCCACTATATTCCTAGCATAACTCATCCAATTATGAGATGGGTTTCTTCTCAACAAGGAATCATTAGGGCTTGATAAAAATGTGGTGTGAACTGACCTACCAATTTTCTCGATTCAAAGATTATTTGTACGAAAAATTGCAGACAGACAGAATCAATGTCGGTTCAAGTTGGCACACTTCACAGTAGCATACAAGGAATAAGTGGATAGAATAAGAGTGCGAATATTCAAGCCTTAGAAGATGTCAAAGAGTGAATACACCTGCGCTATTGTGACCGATTCCCAGAGATATCACTAAGAGTTGTCAACCATTGATTCTTATCGTCTCATGGACCCCAACCAGATAGTCTACATCTCCTGACATGGCTCAGACCAGTAGTAAGAGACTTCATTGACTGGTGGCAGGTATTGGTCTAGCCACTCTGAACCCTCATCCAACATAATACAACCTCCCCTAGCATAGCACGTTAAGGTAAGCAGTGACTTGGCATGCGTAATACATGTCCAAGCCATCTCAGCTTATGACGGTTAACAACATTACCAATTAACTTGCCTGTCTTACCTGGTACCCTTCACCTCCAACATACGTGAGCAATGCTACGAAGACACCTATGATCAAACCCTTCAATCTCTTCTACTTTTAACGGCCACGTCTCACAGCCGTATGACGGGAAAGAACGGGATGCAATGTAGTATACTTATCCCTTGACTGACAGTTGGATATCTCGCCAGTCGGTCCCACAGATAACGCAGGTTGGCAAATGCCAATGGGCGTTTTCTATCCAAGCCGAGATTTCGTCAGCAACCACCTTGTTTGGGCTGATGCGGCTCCCCAAGTAAGTGAAGTGATCAACATATTCCACCACTTCACCTCCTATAATTAGATTAAGAATGGTTGCACACAAGTTCTGGAGCATTATACATTTGGGAAGTACCAGAGAAATGCATGCCAAACACACCCAGATTTCTGTACAACGCATCCAGAAGATCCTGTGTTTTGTTAGCGTCTTCACCCAGGAGGATAATATTATCTGCATACTCCAAATCAACCAGATACCCTCCAAGGAGTAGGTTGATCCCTGTGAAGTCAGACGTCCCAGTAGTACGTCTATAACGAAGTCAAATAGGAGCGGTGACAGAGTGCATACCTGCTGGACACCACTAGTTGTCGTCAACTCATATAAAAACTATCCATAAGCCCTTACACACCAACTTATTATCCTAAAGCGCATGTAGCGAACAAAATGATCAAGGAAATAGTTCTCGTAATGTTTTACGATACATAGTGCGACTGGCTTATAAGCAGTTAACTTACAAGTGTCAATTTTCCAGTAGAATAGACAGTTAAAATAAAACCACTAATATGAGAAATGTGATCCATTAGAGCTGAAAAAAAACATGATGGTTAAGCGAATTTACTGTGCATCACAACCAGAATTATAAGTGTGAAGCATTAGGGTCACAAAACAGACAGACAAGCGTGAACTTGTATCATAGAGAGACAGTGCTTACCGGATAACCTGTTTCAACCTCAACAGAAAAAATAAGTGGTAATTGTTGTAAATAGCATGATAATATGAAAAATTGTATTCGTGAATCAATTATGAGGAAGACTACGCGTGTAGACAAAATAACAGTATGTAAATAATCTTATCTAAAGAAGATTCAATGATCCAAGCGATGATAATGGTTTGGTTTTCCTTGAGCTTTTGTCGTAAAAATTTCAACATCATAATTGATAAAATCATCAGCACTAACTTTAAAATACTTAATAGGTTGAAATTACCCTAATTGGTTTTAAGTATTATTTGAAGAAAATGGTGATAATCTTGAAGAAAAAACATTGACTATGAGCAATAGATGGCAATTTCATTATGGTACAAGACACTTGAAAAAAAATCATTCTCGACGACAAACTCCACTCATCCTTATCATTGAAGCAATGGATAATGATCAAATAGTTTACATTTATAAACCCCTAGAGCAGTTTGTTAAATAATGAAACAGTTTTAAATTTTCACTGTTGACTGTTTAATTAGGAGCCCTAAACAGTAAAACTTATCAATCCCAAGTTTTCCCAATAGTTAATTGACTGATATCGATTCAGAGAAAATATCTTTGGTTTATAGACCGGAATGCATTAGACAAGTTTGTGAAACTATACACAAGGGTGATTAGTGCAACTCTTCAGTATCTGCGATGTACTAACACGTAAAAAGATTAAATTAAGCAACATAAGGCCTGGTATTGAACGAATGGAGTCCATCCATCCATCTAGATCAACCTACGACCAGGCACTACTGCGTAATGGTCCGAGCTGCCACAGCTCATCACCACGTCAAGTAAAAAAACAGTGAGGTGTAAGATGAAGATAAAAGTCAGAAGAAATATAAAGTACAAAAAGAGAGAAACGGAGAATGAGAAAGTGGTGAGATTCGGTGCAGCGTCGTTAAGATGAGGATAATGTATATATACATCTGCGTTACTGACATCGGTTCTGAGCCATATCATCTAGAGTCTCCAACCACAGATTCCTCTTGTCCCGTGGGCCCCAACCACCTAGTCCACATCGCCCCACATGGCTCAAATCAACAGTCAGAGACTTCATACATTGGCGCCATGTTTTTTTAACACCACAGTTGGGCAATTGAAAACCTAACCAGCTGTGAGAAACATTAATATGGACCATGCAGTTTGTAAATCATTTGAAAATTGATATGAGATTTAGTCAGAATTTCATGGCTGACGTGATGTAACACACACAACAAATAGAAATCACATAACTGCTTACTTGGCCTTCTTTATCTTCTTCTTCTTCAGCTTGATTTTCATCCAAAACAAATATATATTTTTCTCCGTAACCAGCATCTTTAAGTCGTAATTCAGCAGCCAGCATACTATAATGTGCACAACAGTCCTCAGGTGAAACTAGATAGCGAACTTCTTCCTCTGATGGTAATCGATAATCAGAACGTAGAACCCACCAACTTGCATCTGAGCCTATTTTATAAACGGAAAAATAAAGCTTTTTGTGAAAAAGAAATACACTGGACTTTCTATTTTAATTAATATTTTTTTAAGCAATGTGCTGATACTTGTAATTTCCCGTTGTTATACTGAGTTGAACTGTTCGACCTCTGTTGGTGGATAGGCTTCTGTGCGAATGCCTCGATACTACCGGATATTCTGATGTTGTATTCATCTCGGTGACTAGCAGTGGGATCAGGGACGCGCGTTCCATTCATTCATGAGCTGGATGTCCCTACAATCCAGTGATTCTTCCCACTGAAAATCGAACCCAGTACCCATCGCTTCAAATGCCAAAGCGTTACCTACTAGGCCACTGGGGAATAAGAGCCAGCACTTGTGCAATGGGTATCACTTGTTGTTGTTTGGTACTTGTAATTTCCTGTTGCCACACAGGGTCAAATTGGCCGACTTTTCAATTCTTCTGGTAGTTTATGGTTACATGGAACGATTTAAGCATTAGTTGGATCACCCTGAGGGATTCGTTTCGTCTAACCATAACACATCACGGCACGTAAATACACCACAAATCTGAAACAAGATAAGTTTGAACATTATGCCCAATAACCTGCCCCGTTAATACATGAAATGGACCAAGAAAGCGATTATGCAGGCGTGCGGAGAGGAGTAAACACAAGGTATCGTTAATCTGTTTCATGAATACTAGCGGTACACATGCGCTTTTATATATATATATATATATATATATATATATATATATATATATATATATATATATATATATATATGGAGAGAGGGAGAGAAAGACGGGCATATCAGGACAATTACGTGAAAGTCAATGAGAGAGAAGGAAGTCAAAAGAAAATCATAATATAAGCAACCGTAAAACGCTAAAAAATAAAGAGACAGAAGTGGGCAAAACAAGACAAAAACTTGTACAGTAGTTCATCAGTTAAAACTGCTGCACTTAGCAACAGTACAAAGACACAGTGACTGGAAATAGAAAGATATTAACATAACATTGGTATGAGATGAAAGAGAGCAATTAATTCAAGAAGAATAAGATGTTCGATATTCTTTAAAAAAATGAAAGCGAATATCTCTATGCCACTATGATTCATTTTAAGTCGAGTTACCGAGTTTCCTATCAACAATATCGAGCATTTTATGAACCCTGGTTAAAAAAAACCTTCACTTCCCTAAATAGTTCCAACAGTTTTGATCTGACCAACCTTAACCGCCATATAGTAACTTATCTTAGTTCAGTCAACATAACATGCTAGCAAAGACTATGGCCTTAGCATGAATGGCATTCTCGCTTTTCACCTTAAATGATAAAGGTTTACAAACTCATCAATTAACTTGCCTTTCCACCCCCACCCCCCCTACCTAAAACTTAACACCTAGTCTTCTTATTTATTATATCGTAGTTATATACCAGCTGCATTTCATAGTCATTTAGTAGGGGCTATAAGTGGTGTCAGTTATTAAAAACCAATGACATCTGTGAGATACACAAATATCATGCAATTGTATTTTATTTGTAACTGTATTCACTTAAAATAAGACAACCATGTTTTGACATAAAGTTGGTTATAAAGATGATGAAACAAAGTTATGAAATGTACAACATACCAGTACGTTTGAAATCTGCACAAATTTTTAATCGTTTTCTTACACTGCTTTCTGAGTGATTAGGAAAGGCTTTACGAATCTCTTCCATTTTAATCCGTTTCGGTTCATCAGTACTACGTAGGAACAGACGCAGGATAAATACTTGTAAAAAATCTCTGACAAAATTATTTGTACGTTTTGAATTCGGTCCAGGTACCTCCATGAGCGGCACCTCTTGTCCTACAGTGAAGGCATTCGGTATACGGCGTATACTTATCCCATTACGATTACGAATTAATAGAAAATCAGTATTGGCAACAGTGTGCGGATAAATTGGAGCACGATACATACTATTTTCAACGGTCTGAAGATAAATTGGTAAAACAATGAACAAAAAATCATTATAGTTGGCATACACAACTCAGAGACGACAGCATGTTTAAAAACGTGTAATGTGGACGAAAAAATGTCAGTAAGCGATCATTTAAATTTATGTGACATAGATCACATGAGAGTCAATGTTACCATTCACCTGCCTGCAAAACAGCATTGGTTATATATAATCTTGAAAGAAATGTCAGTTATATCAGGTGTGCCTTCTTAGACTATTCTTCAGTATTTGATCCTGACCACAGATATCCTATGCTGGACAAGCTAGCTGGGACATATACTGAGTCATGGACAATCAACTGGCTGTATTCTTATCCCCTTGAGAGAAAACAGTATACTATTCACAAAGGGAGCGCTCCACCTCATTGTTTACTCAGGCTGGCGTTCCTTCTTTTTCCCCCTGCCTTTCCTAATTCTTTCTATATGACTTACCATCTGTAGCTAGTATCAATTTTATCAAATGTGCTGATGAACTGACAGTCTCAATACTCATCTCCTCTTAAACAGATTGCCCCCAATTCAACGATTTCCTATCTACTCTTAGACCATGGTCCTCCATGAATGGTCTTTTGCTTAATTCTTCACAATGTCAGACTATAAACTTTAGTTTCAGACGCAAACATAACCTATGTAAACCACTTAAGTCTTACGCTTCTTGTTCACTTGATGGTTGTGTACCATAGAATGCTACAAGTAAGGTTTATCTCAGGGTGCGTTTTTCTTCCCACCTTTCCTGGTCTTCTCATATCTTACTAATTTCTGAAAGAATCTCCCACCTAACTTACCATTCTAGGAAGCTGAGAGTATCTCGTATAACACAAACTCTTCTCCTGTCTTTATAAATTCCTGCATCTTGCCTATTATTCTCCATTCTTCCTCTTTATTCTTTCCACGCTTACTGAAAAACGACTACGTTGTATTGCGTAGAACTTTGAAGATTGTCAGCAGAACTAGGAGTGTACCTTCAAATCTTCTAATTTGAAACTGTTATAGACAAACATCGTAACTCATGTAAACATCTAACAGGAGTTATTTTATCAGATGACCAGCATCGTCTTCACTGAAGGCTCTCTACGTGTGAGTCGTCAGATAAGACCAGGGCAAGTATATAAGACTTTATACACGTACTACTAAATATAGAAGCTCTACAATACCGTGTTTAGCTCGTATCCTGTGGGAGTAAGAAAGTGTTAGAAATGAACTAACTCATCAACTTTTATGTTTTTAAAGCAAGCTGGTTGATGAGTACACCATTTACCGTTATTTATATGCTGGGAACCTAATTGCTAATGTGACTGTTCATCAAAGTTCACTTTAGATTTTCAAGAAAGTTGTAAATGGAGTAAATATTCTTAACCCTCATATATGTAATTTCTATTTACTCCTTTTTATTGAGTATACATGTATACTGTTTCTGTCTAGTTGATGCAATATGGTATACTGAAAATTCTATACAGTATTTGTGAAATATCCTTTCAGAATAAAGCTATTATTATTATTATTATCATAGTTTGGTGGGGTGCATACAACTAAAAGCGATGAGGGTGAATTAGTTTGCATCTTATGATCAGGTGTCGAGAAATATTTCCACTTTTACTCAAATCCTTTGGGTTAGCCTACAACATAGAACTATACAGTATATCATATATTTCGCAGAAGATCATAAATCATTCGATTGTCCTTTTAACGACTGTATATTTTAGTAGTTATGATCTTATATAGATGCATATGCAGGTTACAGATTACATATTCATAAGCTTTCGGTCCGTACTTGCTTCTGGTGAAGATAAGATAAGCAAGGTACGTTGAACGTTCCTCAAGCTTAATAGATAGACACCTTTAAGGTAATTATTAATTACTTTGCACAACAATGAAGAACTTTGTGAAGGATGTTTGGAATGGGTCAACGGCAAGGACCGTTTGATATAAGTTATGTGGTTGCTAATATTCATCGGCAAAGCAGATCTAAGAACTTCAAGAAACTCGAATTATCTTGGAGATCCGAATCTGTACCACAAAATTCTGAAATCAGAATCAATGGTCGGCGGCTCTTGATGACATGGCTTAAAATGCACTAGTTTTGTGCAGACATACCCACATTCTTAGTCTTTTTTTTTAAATATCATTGTATTTCCGTCTATGTATTCTATCTACTTGCTTCGTCAGAAAATGTGATAGCTGGAACTAGTGCACTTCTGTCATTCAAAAGAAAGTGAGTCAGGTCAAGCAAAGAAATTGTCCTATTTATATATGGGAATAAATGTTGTTGATCTTTCGGATTGTAAGTTACTACATAGTGAAAAGCATTGATTGTCTAGCGATAACTAGTTCAAATTACCTGTAAACATCCACCAGGTCGAATAACACCAAGAAATGGGCTATCAGAACCTCCAACGTAGACAAGTGAACCATAGGGAAGTTCAGGTGGTTCATTGTAAGCATGCGGAGATGGTGAAAGTGATCTATCTCTCGGTACTAATGGACGATAGTAGTTTATTATTCTTGTAGCCATACCAATCTATATCAAGTGAATAAATAATAATAATAATAATAATAATAATAATAATAATAATAAAGGGAAATTATCAGTGAAGAAGAGAAATTAACTTTAAAACTGGACCAATCTGAATGACAGTCAACATCTGATAGAGTATAAAGCATATTGTTAATATTGAAAAACCGATTTCGCTACTGGCACATTAAGTAATCACTGAAATTGCAGTGATAGTTTAATTCAATTAAGCAAGGTTGGAAATAGGTACATTTTTGACTCTAATAACAATTAAAGCATGATTGTGGTTGCCAAATGTGATAAGTACAGAGCATTTTTCAGTAGCACCTAAGCTTTAAATTTTCAATTTGTTCAAAATTTTCACTTTGTAATTTAAAAGTAATCTTTACAGTAAGAGTAGGCTGTTTGGGTGATTCGAATTGAACGAAAACACTGACTTTCTAAAGTCTTCAAAATCTGTTAGCTGGTTGGAGGCAACCAGCAGAAAGCTTTATGGACCTGAGTTTTGTGCTCTTTGGAACTCGTCAGCGAGGCATTTCTGCAACCTCGAGAGAACTGACATCCTTATGCAGTGTGACCACATTGCAAAATGATCGATACAACTCGATCTGCACCAAAGACTAGACAATGTGAGATTGGTTGCTCTCTCGTGAGAGCAGTGTCAGTGTTCCCAAACCATGCTTTGCACTCTTTTTCTAGGATATGTTTATCTGCATGTGTGCAACGCTGTGTCAAAACGGAATTTAAAATAATGAGTAGTTTTTCAATGGGATAGAAACTATCAGAGTTACATAATTACCAATTAAACAAACCAGTGTACTAGGGTGGGTAGAAGCGCCTTCACTTTTCGTCTTACATATTAAACATACATAAGTTTTTTTATTGCATCAATCTGTCTAAAGAGTTGTCTTCAGCCAAATATTCGACAGATAACATGTACACATTAGCTAGTAAAGGCTTTTTAGTTTATCCTATGAAAAAATTGGTAATTTTGGTAAGACAAGTATTATCTGTATATGTCTTGTAGCTTCTTTAGAAATGCTACCAGAAAAGATAAATGAAACTTATTCACATGCAGACAAATCAAAAGGGATGTTTCATGTTACTGTTTATAAGCAAGAGGATTGGAAAACCGTTCATAAGCAAAGAGATACGTCTTCTTGTAACAACAACATGGGGATCAGTATGCTTAACATCCTGTGTAAGTTCCTAGAGTATATAGTCATCCGATGAATAACAGTACAACAAGAAAAACACAACACTAAGGTGGCATTAAACTCCGTTGATGAAAAGCTCTTGTGACTGTGGATTACCGAGTAAATATATGATGCTAATCAAGGTTCACTACTGAAACTCGCATAGACATGTACGGGTTTATGGAGAGTTGTCGTCTGAAGTAGCGACAACCAGTTGTGTCCAGCAAAGGTATCCAATATCACCATCACTATTCACATTTGTCATAGATGTACTGATGAAGATAACCCTAAACTTCTGTGACTTATCAAGAATTGATTTACTCATCGAAAGGTACCTGGATAAACTAAAGTACGCAGATGATATAGTTCTCTCTCTTTACCCACTTCCGGTTTCCATAGTGATGTGAAGTGTGTCGCCTTGAACTGAAGCACTTTTGGACCAGGTTCTACATTAATTTGCCTGCTGTAACGAAATTAAAATGATGGTACCAGGGATAATAACCAAACGTATGAAGAATGAACTCCTACAGCAAATAATGTTATGATAAAACTCCCTAACAGTAATTATTACTCGCTTAACAAAATCCGACTATTTGAATCAGCTTAATAATTCAATGGCTTGAACTGTTTACTCTACAGCTCAAGTAGAGACAGTTTTTCAGAGATAAAGGATTATTCTACTTTCAAATTAGAATAGGAGGAAATGCACGTCCCGGATTTTCTGTCCCTCTCTACAGCTGTAACTCACCTAGGAATCCGACCGCTAGCTATCATATGATGAATTCAAACCAATCCAATTTACTTCAACTTGAAAAGTTAGGTAGCAGTATCTAAACTCAAGTATAATTAGGTGTAGTTCATGGTTGTAACCAACAGGTGTTACCTTGACGTGGCGGTCAGGCTTGCTTATCACAATGACCCAGTGCACTATGCTGGCTGAAGCGATTGCTCCTTGAGCTCTTAGTATACTAATAAGGTTTGTTCGGTAGTGGTAGGAAAATAGCAGTTACTGTTAGAGTGTAAAAAGCTTACGGTATAATGGAGTCTGAGGGTGAAGTCGTAATGCCGACTGCACGCGGGGGGGGGCAGAAGTAGTGTTTCCTGTGGATAACCAGCAGTCCAAGATAATGCATTCCTGCAGACTTAATCCACAAGAGAGTGTCAGAAGAGTTCGACCGCGAAAATACCACGCTTTTACGTTTTTCCTACGCCAGTCGCGTGGGTTTTTCTTATTCGGTGATAAGAAATCAAGTCTCTTAAATGCGCTGTGTTTGACTGGTTTCAAGCAGATGTCCTTTGGGCTCTGCGGTCACGTACCACTATTACTAATTCAATTTATTTTTTCAATACACATAAACTTCCAAAGTACAAGAAGTTGAAAATTATCAACCATCTGCATGTTACCAGCAATACCAGAAAAACCATTTCACCGTAGCGCACCTTCCCCTGGCCTTCAAAAACGTGTACTTGCTTTCAGATTTGCATTTATTATCTTATAAATAGCATTTTACGTTGAGTATCTCCTTCAAAAATCGGTAAGATGAATAAGAAAATGTTTGAGTTATATATGAGCAGGTCAAAACAAGTTAACCAATACACCCACCTAAGAGTACAGTAAAAGAATGATGACTGTAAATTATGGCTACTTCCAAGAGGGAAATATTCTAATACAAAATATTCCCATTGATCAATTGAGTTATACCCTATCAACTCATGAAAACCCTTTTCCATAAACTCACTTTCACAGCCATATATATATATATATATATATATATATATATATATATATATATATATATTGCAAAAATTCCCATTTAGACATTTAGTAAAACAAACAATGTGAGCGAAGAAATATTTCTTTTCAATTAGTTCCTCATCAATGGCTCTACACTAATATAGCATTTTCAAACGTAAAATTACATACCAATCTAGTGGTGAGAGTTGTTCAGTGAAAGGTTATCAATCTCAAAGTTTCAAGAAGGTGATAATTGGTCAGGTAATTAAGACAGTTAACTAAAGCAAAGATTAATTATCGCAGAAAGATTTTGCGAACAGGTTCTTACATAATTGATATTTTATATAATGATAACTAAAGAGCAAAAATGAACTGTTACGTAAAATGGTAAATTGTTGACGGTAATTAGAGACAGTAGGGGGAGAGAAAGATGATTAAGTCTGTAATAATAATAATAATAATAATAATAATAATAATAATAATAATAATAATAATAATAATAATAATGGAGCTATTGAAATACTACTTATAGTGAATTGTGTGGTGGATGAAATGAAGAGTCTTGTTGTAATAAATGAGCTATACAGATGGCCAAGGCAAAGAAAGAGGCTGTACGAATCTCTTCTGAACACACAGACTTGGCTTGTGTAGGTGGATTCCTATGGCTTCTGCTGTATGTAATTTTACGTTTGAAAATGCTATATTAGTGTAGAGCCATTGATGAGGAACTAATTGAAAAGAAATATTTCTTCGCTCACATTGTTTGTTTTAGTATATATATATATATATATATATATATATATATATATATATATATATACGTTCAAGTATAGTGGGAAGTTAAAAAGTCCCAAAGAAATTTTCAACTAACTAAACTATAGTAGGTGAAAAGGCATAAGATAATATTCAACTGGTCATGTTATATATTGGATCTGCGATATACGAAAATCAGCTGAACAGAAGAATGTGATTAGAGGCTCAAATGGTGATGATGGCAGAATGGTTTGCTCATATTTTCATATCTTTTCTAATTTTTCTTCTCAGTGGTGACGGGATAATGTGACTTAAGTTCTGCTCATTGGGATTGAAGTGATTGACAAAAAAAACACGAAGTACGAGAACACTGCTAATGCAATGAGACGGGCTGGATATGAACAGCAACTATTCTCCCTTAGACCTCGCACTTCACTGAGTCGTGAATATCAGAAGACAAACACCGACCAGTGACTGGAAGGAAGAGTTGTTATTCGACAAAAAATATATCATTTATAAGCAGTTTTCACCTACATATAAAACCGTAAGGTCAGATGTTGGATACTTATTTTGAGTGATCAACAGTAGGAGAAAATTGTCCAATAAGGTTTTTCCTGACCACACCGTGACATGGAACAAGCTTGAAGTCCAAAACTTCTATTTTAGCGGTTGGTGACCTAGAATGTTGGTTTCGATTTTGACCGCTTCCTATCAAGCAGATTGTATCCTTTCCAAAACTTTAACATCACATGACTTCTCCTATCAAAACATTTACCTTTCTGAAACCTAAATAAAAAATCTCTCTTGATGTAGTTAGAATGAGCCAACCTGGTCGTTGAATTCGACCACTGCATCATGAGGTCACCTACAAGACTAGGAGATCTGCATGATTCTGTACAGTTTCGCGTGACGAGCACGAAGTCACTAACACTCAGCTACTCAAATCATAGCTGGAGAGTTACTTTGAAGTACTTAAACACTATAATCCCTAAGCTGATGAAATGATTATTTTATTGCTACTTTATAGCGAATCCGCAACCTTAACACAGCAGAGGCTTTGGGAATCCAATGGTTCAAGCATGGTCTTTACGTTCAAATTAGATACATTCAATCTTTAATTTCACCTTGGTCGTAATTTCCTTAAGATATTTGATTCATTTCTTTCTTTGTTGTTTTTATTTATTTATTGTAATCCTATAAGCAACTTTTGATGATCCTGAGTTGACCTTCTAGCCGTTATCACCTTATGACTTTATTGACCGTTTTGATCACTTTATATTGACTCATTAGATATGGATGGATATATATTTTGTTGTAACTATGATTACAATTGTACAAGTTATGGAGATGACTCATGGAGAAGAAAATTTTCTTCACTGAATTGACTTTCATTATTTAATGGGGCTGTTTATATGCGTTCCACATCCTACATTTAGCAGCGAATGGCGCATTGAAGTAATACAACTCAAAGTGTATTAAAAAGAGAGATATAACTATGGGTTGGAGGATTTTAACGACAAGGTGGTTCTGTGATTCTCCAGCGATGTGAAATACGAGTTCAGTATTCGGTAAAAATCTCAGTAGTTAACCAACTTTAATTGATATGTCGTATAATCTGTGACGCTTACTGGTTAGATATCTGATTGTCTAATAAAAGACGAGTATACTGCGCTGCAGTCTACTCAATCCTGTTATACGGGTGGGATGGGGCCGTTAAAAATAGAAGACATGAGGCGGTTACAGGGTTTGATCATAGGTATCTTCGTAACATTGCACGCATTTCGTGGAATCATTGTGTGAGCCACTTTGAGGTCAGGGGAAGGGTAATAGGTAGGACAGGCAAGTTGGTTGATGACGTTGTGAAACTTCATCGACTGAGGTGGCTTGGACACGTGTTGTGCATGCCGTAGCCGCCTACTTCAACGTGTCACGCTAGGAGAAGTTTGATTACTTTCGAAGAGGGTTCAAAGTGGCCAGACCAAAATATGGCATCAGTCCATGAAGTCTCTGAATATTGATCCGAACCACGTGGGGAGGTGTAGACTGCCTACCCGGGGTCCCCCATGACTAAAAAGAATCAGTGTATAGCAACTGTTGGCGACATGGCTGAAAATCGGTCACACTAATTGTTTGTTATCTCCAGATTGTTTCTGGTATCACACAGCTTTGTTTACTTTGATGGTATCACTCCTTTTGTATCTACTAGTTCTTTGTATACTAATACTTTGTATACTAATGTTGAGGTGTGGCAACTTGAACCGATGCACTTCTGTGCGGGGTTCTACATTGATTTTGTTTGTTTGTCTGAATCAAATTGGAAGAGTTCTTGGCTTCATATACATAAATATATATCATTTTGACTATCTAAGATAGCCGTGGTTTGGCAGACTAGTATTTATACTGGGTGATGATTGAAGGTGAAATGAAAGTATGAACTGCGAACGGATTCTAACCAGGGACCACTCAGTTTAAATATATATCACTATCCACCGTCACTGAATATATACAACCCTGGGAAGATGTATACTTCATAAAATCTTATCTGCTGCTGTTTATTGGTAGATACTACAGCCAATAACTAGGATCTGGTTATTACTTAGTTCAAGGGAATGATTTTATTCAAATATATCTATTATAATAAGCAGACTCAATATAAATTCAGTTCGGCTGAATGCTATACAGTACCTGTGCCATTAAAGGTGGATATTCTTCAGAAAATTCGAATAAAACTATTTCTCCATCAGTGCCAGATAAATCACCAGGATTTCTCATGAAGAAAATTTCACCCCACCGGTAGCAGCTCGTTCATCTTCACGTTCACGCATTTTACGGTGAATATGACGAGTTAGATTAGTCACAGGAAATGGTGTATTATACTGCGACATTGGGCCACGAAGATATCTGGAAAAAAAAAGAGAAAAACAATAACAAATTTTCACAAGAAGTTGAATAATTTATCGTACACACTGATGAGAGTACGTCATTGTACAAAGCATACAAGTACCTTCATTCCAACTGTGGAAACTACTGATATTCAAGACTTTTCTATGTGAAATACAAGAGTGAGGGATAATCACATAATCTAAACTGATACTAAAAGAAGTAATTTCAATAAAATATTTTCTAATTTGGAAGAATATTTGTCAATATGAATCATATAAGGATCTCATCATTTTTGAGATAAGACGTACTACTGAAATAACTGTAAGTTGAAGATGTATCTTCAAGATTACGTTGTTTTAGCAACACATTTTACCGCAAAGATACAGCTCTTGTGGAATCTCTCTGTTAGGTTCGTTTTCAATAAACATTTTCACATATATTACTCAATTCCGGCAGATGTAGATGGACAAATCAATGTAGAATTTTGCATAGAAACACCTCTAATTGATACGCTCCGTGAACAGAACTAGAATGATAGTCAAATTGAGGAAAAGAATATCCGGAGAGAGGAAATAATTCAATGAATGATAGAAAAATGCTTAAGTTTTTATGGAAATTTGCCCTACACAGCTTGGTGTTGAGCCATATCACTGATAGCTTCTAACCATCGACTCCTAGTATGTCGATAACTTCAGCTCAAGTTCCAAACATTCAAAGCAACCTACAGTCAAATAAACAGCCAAACAGTTTGTTTATAAATAGCATCGATAAGTTGTCGCAGAAACAAGTCTCTAAGATAGACTCCCCCTTTAATAATCCAACTTAATCAGTGATTATCCGATTAACCATGTAGCAACTTGCTTCATCAGACAAGACTATGCCGTCAATATTGTATGCAAATACTCTATTCTACTAGAAAAGTTGTGAGTTGTGCAGTGAAACGTTAGGAAAAAGCATGTTTTGCTTTTCCAAACACACTGAGACTATATTCAGTAATTTAATAGTGATTTCCCATGTAAAGACTGTGAAATAAATTTCTGTTAGCACTAATGAAGTATTTATTTCGTATTCAGCAGTTGGAAGCACGTAGATTAGTGGAGCTGTCTGTCACATATTGGTCTAGGCAGTATCATTAACCTTTACATATTAGTCATAGATTATTGCCTAGTGTATAGAAATGAACATATGCCGGGTCACTGACTTCCTCGATGTGCCATATTAGGGGAAGTTGGATTACATTCAGAGAGGGTTCAAAGTGGCCAGACCAAGACATGGCACCAGTCCATGAAGTCTCTGAATGTTGATCTGAAGAATGTGGGGAGGTGTAGACCGCCTACCCTGGGTTCCCATGACAAAAAGAATCAGTGTATGGGAACTGTTGGTGACATGGCTGGAAATCAGTCACAGTGGCGCATCTTCAAAAGCATAGTTACTTGCATCAACTGTTCGTTATCTTCAGACTGCTTATTCTCTCATACAAATTTGTCTACTTTGATGATATCAGTGTTTTCTTATCCACTTGTTCTTTGTATACTAATGTGAAGTGTGGCAACTTGAACCGAAGTACTTGTGTGCGAGGTTCCACGTTGATTTTGTCGGTCAGCCAGTCAGCAAATAAATGCGTAATTGCTGAGGTTATTTTGAAATTATTAGATTAGTACTCATAATACAAAAAAGATACAATTTTGAGAAAACTTTTAATTTCTCTGAGGTTTGGATACCTATAATAATTGAATTTTGTGGATATTTTTTTGGCACTGAAATATTCAAGTCACAATTAATCATTTGAATTATTCACAAGAAAGTAAACAAATTCACGTTTTAGTTCGTATTATTGACCAGAACCGGTTGACGAACTTGTGTAATACAGACGTTCAGCTAAATGATTCAATAGGAATCAGAGCATTAAGTATATACAAAAGGGTCTTCCATAGAAATAGTGTTCACTTGACCTTTTGGCCATAATAGACAACATGATCAAAAGATTTAGTTCTATGTTGAGAACTAAATCATGAAGTTTGTGTTGATGTCGGTTGTCTAGAACGACAATAAAAGCTTCACCATTAAACCATCCAGTTCAAAGAACACAACAACATAAAGTCTATGAAACGGTTATTTAATACTTGATAACACGTTTAGATATTAATTTTCTATACGTAGGTAGAGGATTTTTGAGTGCTTACCAGAGGAAAGCTTGGTATTTAGAAATACTACAAGATTATAAGATGGAGAGTATTTCAAGCGTTTAGATATTGTAAAATATGAAGTGACTATATATATATATATATATATATATATATATATATATATATATATATATATATATATATATATATATAGAGAGAGAGAGAGAGAGAGAGAGAGAGAGAGAGAGAGAGAGAGAGAAAAATACCAGTCACTACTAACCTTTTGAGTGGAATCCTATGAAATTGACGTAAACGCAATGGACTCATATAAGTAGGAAAAAATGGTGGCCATAATTCCATTGTAGGAGTACTATGCTGAAGTGGACCACAACGTGCTAAGCCACCTAATGCAAGAGCTCCACTTCGAATTGCGTAATATTCATCATTTGATAAATTCAATGGATCTTTTGGTGGAATACCAGAAACAGCCGCTGCAGCTGATGCTAAAGCATTACCATCTGAATTAAATTCATTTAATTCTTGAAGATTATCTGTTTTTTCATCTGTATTCATGAGTTTTTCTGTTTGACTTGATTGCCAATCATCTTCAGCTAAGAGGCCGTGCTGAGAATGTAAAATAATAGTTTACAGATTAGGGTTAAGCATAATTGAGGGTCAAGGAGATAAGGGAATAAATTCTAGGTGCGAAAACGGTTTTCTTCAATAAATGGAGTTCATGATTTTATAGACTGCTGACCTTGGCTGTAGGACCTGAAAGTCTTGTATCCGATCTTGTAGGACAGCATGAAAATTAGGTAGCAGTATATGGAGTTGTGGCTAGTGAGGGTCCTGGATTCAAATTCTCTCCCACCTAAAAAGATTGAATAGCCAGGTAGTATAATTGGCAGTTGTGAGCAGCAAACTGTCTATCGTCTCAACATTGCTCATTATTAGATGAAGTGAAATTAAGACCTGGTCAGCAGTCGCCCTCCTTAGCTCGGTGAGTAAATCATCGGACAGTAATCCAGAGGTAGTTGGTTAGAATCCTGCCATAACCAAGAATTTTATTTCACCTTTAATCACTTCCTACTATCGATAACTTATTCATCTGATGATAAATAATAAAAATTCATTTCTAAATTCAACACGAATCATCAGTTCATTAGGCTGAAGTTTGTTTACAAAATTAAATAATTGAGTAATTTAGTGAAATCTCAACCTTTCAAGTCAAATAAAATAGACTGAAGTTGTATAACAACAAAGAATAGTTTAGAAAACATCACATGTTAGCTACTGAAATTCAAAGTTGTAATAATAAAAATCATTTCTATTTCAGCAAAAGTTAACATATTAGCCACGAGGCTTAACGCTTTTGAAGTCAAACTCAAGAATATAACATGCGTGTATACCGTTCAAAAGTGGCCAATATTTCATGACTTCCAATGATCGCTCAACTGATAAGAAATCAAAAATGATATTTATCACGCACTGACATTAGAACCAATGGCTAAATGGTTCTTCCTAGTTTAAAGAATTTTAGCGTTTTCTAACTTCAAACTCATAAAATTGATTCATGTGGTCAACCAGACCCAAGGAGTTATGGCGATCATGCATCAGCAACAATGAACTGGAGTTAGAATATTTAGTCTTTAGATTCTAACGACAATTCACTGGTCTCTAAGCCTGAAGATACTGAACGCAATGTCGTATGAAGTCGATTGTGAACATTACTTAAGACTCCATATCTGTAGACGGTACATCCAATGAAATCTTAGCAATTCGCGGTGATGATGCTCTAGCTGATTTCGCTTCATAACAAAAACTAATTGAACAAAATAAAGCTACTTGATTTATATACATCTGGTATGAAAACAACATTCACATTTCGGTGATGTTACATTCTAGAATGAAAGAAATGAACTCGGCCACTTTGTGCACATTCGTGCAGTAGACAATGACCCACACATATTGTGTGAGGGCTAGTGATGTTACTGTCTGGCTGCTCAAACTTCGGTAGATGGAGCGGGGCTCAGATCCGTGACCCAATGGTTGATAGTCATCTTCCTAAACCACTGCGTCACAGCTCCAATGACGTTATGTTCTATAAGAAGCTGGGTGGTTTAAATCATTCAAAAACATACATCATTTACTATCTTGACATGCAGATCAAAGAAAAATACCTGATTTATAAACCGGAAATTTTAAATGCATCACTAGCAATAAACAACTAAGCGAACAAGATTGATAATGCATCAAAAGAAAAACAAAAACGGAAAATTATTCTCACTACTCACTTTGCCCAAAATCATTTTAACCTTTTCAGCACCTTTTTCAGCCTTAGCCAAAGCACCTGTGAACATGCCACGTGTAGATGCTAAACCAAAGTTAACCTGAAGACTGGTGCGATTCACTGTACCATTATTAGATTTATTATGGGATAAAGAATTATCTATATCATTCAGTGAATTTAAGTTAGACCAGTTGCCGTCTTGACCATTGGCAATATTGCCACGTATATTATTGCCTGTTGTTGTAGAATTTGCGTAATCCCCTGTGACAGTATCTGATTCTCCTTCTAAACCTCTATTCATTAAAAGTTTCTGTCGCTGATTACGTATAGATGATAATGCTGAAGCAATGGTTGCATCATCTATCGGTTCTAGGATACATGTCTCATCATTTTGGTCCAGTGTAAGTAAAAATGGAGGTGGTTGTTGATTGACTGGCAAGTCAGAATCGTAGATAATATCATGTACCCAGGTATCTTTTAATATACCCTCATTTTCAACTGGAAATATTGAATACGGTGGATTGGAATGTGTTTTATTCTTGGATGGATTATTCAGTAAACTTTCCATTATCATACCAATTGTTGATGAAGAGAATGTTGCAAGGCCATTGATAATTTTAGAGCTCAAAATAAATGGAAATTTTCCTTGATATGCATCCTAAGGTAAAGAAAACAAGTCACGATGACTGATGCTGAGAGAAAATGACAGATTTCATGATAAAGATGCAGGCAAAGATAACCCAGCAACAAAAACAACAAATCCCTCTTTTAAGATTGAAATATATAAAGTCGATGCGATTTAATTGCCGCCAAAAGATTTGGTTGATGCCCAACTAAAGACAATAAACACACAAGCATAATTATAAAAATGTAGTACATTTGGTAGCTAGCAGTGGATGCGCGTTTCATCCTATTTCAGATTCGTCAGCTGGACCCTAGTGAGTGATGTTGATCCCATTGGGACTCGAATTCAGTACCCATCACTCCAAACGTCAAAGTCTTATTCACCAGGCCACTGGGGCATGAGAGTTCTTAGATTAGTGGGTTGTATTAAGCTGGATATATATATATATATATATATATATATATATATATATATATATGTTACCATAGATAAAAGCAATGCCCAAGTGTTTCTACTTCTCAAGTAAGTGTCATTCCTCATTCCAAAATCCTCTTTGAATTTATCGTCGTAAGACTAATTGACAGCTAACATAATTATCTTCAACAAAACGTTTTACAGATTTGTTTGAGTAAATGCATGTTCTGTAAAGCATCACGACCATCTACTGCGGCGGCTGAGACAAGTGTTATACATGCCGATCGACCGTCTACCCCTTTGTGCAACGCTAGCTCAGGTAAATTGAGGCCGCAAAATAATTAAAGTTGACCAGAGACTGAGACATGATACCAATCTATGAGCTGTCGATCTATTTTAGCTGCATGAGGAAATGTTGGCTACTAGATTGGGGTCCTTGAGGCAGACAAAATCAACCCAGAACCTCACGCACAGGTGTGGCGCCTCAAGTTGCCACACCTTAACATTTTTTGTGGTTGATAACGGAGTAGGTAATCACACAATAATAAGACAGATATTTAAAACTTACAAGCAGTCATAATCACGTAATATCAAAAACAGCCTATTGGGTGGAATACAATAATACAGTACTGGTCAGTTAACATATAGGACCAAATAACTAGATGCATGGTTGATTAGCGGTTAGGTTTACTTAAGCCCCAAATAACAGAGTATTATTCGACAAACAGTAACCTGTTACATCAATGTTAACAAACTAGAATTTGTCATAAGTTTCGAACAGTTTTTTAGGCTGGTTGTTAAATTAAAAAATCACCTCGTTCATCAATTTACAGACTGCTATCAGTATTTATAACCAAAGCACAGAGCTGGAATATCGTTCACTAGCTTATTCGTCCACACATTAAAAATTAACGATGCAACTTGGCCTGGTATACGTTTATTTGCTAGGCTATGGATCACACTTATTGCATAAGCGTTTGTGGTACTAACCGATTGTCTAGTTCAAAGCAGGTGGAGCGGAGTTCGAACCCGGAGATTGTTGCTGGAGACAATGAATCACGTCACTATATGTGAAGGTGAAATATGATTTACCTGCATAAATAATCCGGTAGTAATAATACCTGGAACCGGTTGCGATTTTAACAGATTAGCGGTGTTTCTGACCTCAGTACTGTACTGAATGATAGAGATCTCATGCTCCGAGGTGCACAAATCCCTTAGAGATTGCAGACTGTATAAATAGGTGTTAAGAAGTACAAAAACACGAGTTAAAAGAGTTAGACGAATTACCATTGGCATGGGTTCGTCTAAAAGTTAACAGTTATTGTTAATGAAAACTTTTGCGTAACGTTATCACAAATCACCTACTTGAAATGAAGCCATAGTACGATAGTGTTGTGATGGTATCCAACCTGCATAGGCAGCATTTAACCGGGAATTAGTAGAAATCTTATTTGCACTCAGTTGAGGATCATAAATAATATCATCTTCCCAATTCAATAATTGATATGGATGGAAATGATCGGGTGCAGGTAAATCTTCAGAATACAATCCTCGCAGACTATTTTTACCTGTTAGGGAAAAAAATGAAGACAATTAGACAAACGGAAATTCAATAGGTTGAACTCTAAGAAACTTGATTACATTCAGTGATTCAACTGCAATCAGTTCATAAAACATCATAACTGTCTTCCATCATCATTGAAACGTAACAAAATATAGTACTTACTTCGCTAACCAGATTAAAGTGATCGGATTATCCGACGGCTATTTTGCTCATTTGCGGTCGAGCTCATCAGCAATGTGTCTGAACAAATTCAGCTCACAGAGACGAAACGTTTAGTCCAACTGGATCTGACCAGTTGACTTTGATGGACCGGGGTACCTTAAATAAGATGATCAATTTGCTCATAATTTAAAAATTGTGAGGTCTATGTTGACATTTCTCGCAGCTGAGAAGTTTTTCAACTGCCCAGTTGTAATGTCAACGAAGTTTCGGTTGGAAACCTGCAATCACAATTAAGAGTGTATGAATTTCAAATATTCTGAAGAAAATTTTAAGAAAAACTTCTTAATATTGTTGACACTTGTTCAACTACTCAGGTTCGAGTAGGGTGATGTATATTAAACGGGACTATATTGATCGGTCACTGGAAGAAAGGTAACCAATTTCATGTTACCTGGTCCGAGTTTTATCGATCACTTTTTAGTGTGGTCATCAAACTAGAAGGCTCAGCCTCCCGGTGCACCACGATTGATTTTAGATAGTTGGAGGCAATCGGTAGGAAGCCTTGAACCTAGGTTTCTTGCTTATTGGGACTAGCCAGCAGAGCATATTTGGTAACGTCTCTGACTGCAGGATTGGGTGACGCCGGTCCGAATGTCTTAGGGTATATCAGTCCTTTCGAGGCTGCAGATACGCCTTGCTGTCGAGTGCTAAGAAGCAAGAAACGTAGATCCAGGGCTTCCTGCTGATTGCCTCTAACTAAAGTTAAACGGTACTGTTTAATCGATAATGCTTTCACATCACCAGTCATCTTATCGCGGTTGATGCGAATTCTTGAATAAATGAGAAGGCCATTACACCTAACCAAAACAGTTCTAATAATTCAATTACTTTTTAAACTATCCTAGATTGATGGTAACTACTGAGCAGTACTGAAGTCGAAAGGAATAGAGCTTTTCTTTCTTGTACCTTTAAAGACTACTACTTTATGTGACTGTTGACACAATTCTATAAGATACTATTTTTTTCGAAAGTTATACAGGAGACTACCTGTTTCAAAAGTTTATCGCTCTTGTTTCTCTCTATATGATTACTTAAGAAGAGTTTACATCGAAATCCCGTTAGCCTATGCGTATGCGTCTTTGAACACAAAGGTTAATCAAATGGACTTCAGAAGAGTAACATTACTTGATTTGATAGATTTATTTGCAGCGATAATGATAAGTATTTCTAGCTCACGGCCTGGATACTCAGATGACGTTCTTCTCTGACCTCGACAGTTTTGTCTAGAAAATATATCACTGTCATGCTGTCAATCGTAGGCTCTGCAAGAGAATCCACAGTTAGCGTTGGCATTCAATCACATCCTAACAGATCATAAATGCATTAAATTATGATGATATTCATATACTTACTTAAGTCTTAAGAGTTATTTGAAAACAATCTTCATCTTTCCATAAAAGTTATCGATCAGTAATGGAAACGAACGTTAGGTTAAAGTAGATCAACGAACCGATCAACGCAAAGAATCAATCTTTCAGTTTAAAAGGGTATGGTCAATCATAATGTACACTCCTGCACGTGATCCCATGCAAACAAAGAAAGCCGGCTAGTGGTATCATTGGTATATATATATATATATATATATATATATATATATATATATATATATATATATATATATATATATAGGTTGGCTGAGCAAAAAGGGTACAAACTAATCACTTTCAGCGTATGCTCATGTGACTGTAGGTGGATCAATCAGTTTAGAATCTATAAAATCATCAACCATATGCATTACCAAGGCATTTCACTCCTTCATGAGATTTTACACAAGATGATGCTGAGTATAAAATTGAAACAATTTTTAATCAAAGCTCCAGGTCAAATACCAAGTCAATCTGAATACATTTGGTTTCCTCAATGAGTGGAAATCAACTTGATATGTTAAAATGACAAGGGAAATACGATATGAATTGAAAAGTAGTATCTTTTTGAAGGTGATAAACAGTATTCAATTAAAAACTATCTTGATATTAAATGAAAAAGTAAATATTGTAATAAACCACTAACGATGAGAACAAACATCATATTAAGGTAATTAGGGAGCTCAACCAACATGTTATATGCTTCTTCGTACTAAAATGTAGGTATAGCTGCCGACCACCACCAATCAACTCACAAATTTGAGTGTCATTCAACAAATTTTAGTGTGAAAAACTGGTTGCTAACATAGTTATTGAGACTATCTGAGATAGTCGTGGTTTGGCAGACTGGTAGAGCGCTGGACGGATAACCCGGAGGTCACTGGTGCGAATCTTACCATAACTCAGGTTTTCATTTCTTCGCTTTCAATCATCACTCAGTATTATTAATATAATTCCTCACATTTCACATCCGACCGTAGTCTACAGATATCAAATAACTATGCTGTATTACATTATCGTATATTATGTAGGCTCTAATAAAGTTTAAGCTCCCTGCATCGTTCAGTGTTGCGGATACAGAATTTACCACTAACCCACTCAGAGGGCGGTGAAGACCATAGATACACAGACTGACACAGAAATACATCAGCATCACCTCACAACACCATAGGAAATGAACCAAAACACATAGGTATTCAATTAAATAATAGAAATAAGAATGGAAGGGGAACGATGAACGAAGAATTACAAAACAAAGAACGAATACATTTATAATCGATTCCAAAATATATATCATCTACTTGCTCATCATTACTAACCAAAAACCAGTCAGTAAACTTTTGTTTTCTCTACCGAGTCTGTTTTAGAGAAATTACTTAGTGGTACGGAGATGAATGATTGAAAATGCAAAGATACTGTAGCGGCAAATAATTCCCTAAAATCAATAGCCTAGAGTTCGACCAGATTCAACAATGATACTGATCTTCATAGTTTTGTCAGACTGCCTAAACTGAAGACATATGGTCAAGCATCCACACCATTTAGCACACTATCGTGTTACGTTGCGTTGGTTGAACGCGATCCCCTAGCCAGTAAGTCGAAATGGATCGGTATTTTGACACGGTCTATCAAATATACCATTCCATCTCGCTACTCTATTGTGTTTTTTCTTCATCTAGCACTCGTAGATATACTAAAAGTATGAATAACTAGTGACTGGTTTCTGTGTCAGTCAAGTTCGCGTAAGACAGATTCTTAAAACACCAAAGTTTTCGTCTGGATTGAAATGGTGATCACATACAATCGCTTTACACCTAAGTGTAACAAATTAGTTTGTAGATGACAGCTGATCAGTTGGAAAATATCTTTTCAGTATGAAATAAATTCAATTGATACTTCAAAAGTAATAGTAGAAAGAACTATATTTTTGAGATGAATGGGGATTTTTAATTTACAAGTAGTATTCATCACGAACTGACATCAGTTGGGGAACCATTGAAAATCTGGAAGCACTGAACAGCTGTTTCGTCCTAGTGTGGGACTCCTCAGCAGCACGCACCCACAACCCGGATAGGGACCGAACTCAGGACCTTCAGGTTCCACAGTGAACGCGCTAACCATTCAGCCACTGGGTCGGTTTCCAGTGGTTCACAATTTCCAACTTCTGTCAATTCACAACACAGCGCGACTACCAAAGTCTTCAGTTAGCATCGGCTTTACTTATGACTGGTTGGCTGTCCAGAGCTCCCAGATTTTCAATGGTACCCCAACTGATGTCAGTCTATGATGAATGCTACTAAAATAAATATATGCTAAATACACAATGAAGCATAAATACTTACGCATAGTTGAAGATGAATGAACTGAAGAATCAGCCGGTAATCGTTGTTGACAATCATCGGGATCTTGTTTACTACAAACAACGTTTGAAGCATCTTCCTTAAACGATTCATCATCAATATGTTCCTTTTTAATTGTTGGACAGTTTAAGTCTTTATTGACAGTTTCAATGACTGATTCGTGTGTACCTACAGGATCAGTATTGTTGTGATTATTATGCTCATCTCTTTCAGTGGTTGCTGTGGTAAGTGGAGGTGGCGGAGGAGGAGGTAGGACAGAATTTGTACAGTTACTGATGCTAGTAACAGTAGTTGTTATTGTTCGACGCCATTCCGTCCATTCACAGACATTTATATCCAAAGGTAAGCCTAATTGATCATACCAATATTTTGCAGGTCCTAATCGCCAGCCTAAATAACTGTTGTTTTGAAACAAATGATAATTTGACGAAATGTATCAACAAAGATAAGGTTTATTATTATATTAGTTATACAAAGAATTATAAGTAACCTTTTGAATAAATATTACGAAAACAAAAACTAAAAAAAATATGCGGAAGTAATCCTCATTTTAATAGAGAATTCTTTTCTGTAACGTTACAACAGATTAAACGAACTATTAAAAATCAGAGGGGTCAGTGAAAAACGGTCACTTCATACGTTGGTATTGGTGGCTAGCAGTGGTGCTCGTCAATTAGATGTCTCCGCATTTCAGTGAGTGATGGTGATCCAATTGAGACCCTAAATCAGCACCCATCACTTCAAATATCAGAGCACTATTCACTAGGCTACAGAGTCATAAGAATCACCTCTTGTACAATACAGGTGTCAAAATTTTTATTCGTGTTTATGTTTATGTCGACAAAGATGGACCCTTTTAGTCCGATAAACTAAACAGGATGTCCGTTTCAACCTATTTGGGACTCATGAGCTTAGTGTATCTGCACCACACTGAGTGGTATTGTTCCCAGTGAAAACTCAAACCCAGTAACACATTGCTTAAAACGCCAAAGCGTTTTCTACTATACCATTAGATTCCACTGCTAGTCACCAAGATGAATACAACATCATGACTATCCGGCAGTATCGAGACATCTGCCAACAGAGACCGAGCAATTTGCCCTGTATAGTAATGGGAAATTACAACTATCGAAATAATAAACATCGGGGAGTTACATCATCATCAAGTTGCACCATATTTTTCAACTGTAAAAAAATCAACAGCTTTCTAGTAGAGGGAGATACTTTCAGCGAAACAGGTGTACAGAGACGAACAGACAATTTCGCGTTGATCCCAAATAATCTTTAGGTGGTGGAGATATCATATCTATTATGGATTGAAGGTTATAAATGATTACCTTAGCAACCCAAATAGGTGTCAATAAGTAAGAACCATGGTGTTTGAAGTTAGGTTGTGTATTTAACTTATAGGCAAAACTAAGAAAATATTCAACAGTTCTGTATCACTGAAGCTAGACTGTAACCCAGCTTAGAAAATGTACCCTCAATACATCAGTTGTAAAGTATGACAGCAATTCCATGTTAAGCGGATAAACCATATTTATGTAGTAACAAAAAATATCAAAAGAGTGTTCATAAAGGTAAGAAGAGAAATATGCTTTATTTAAAGTGTCTGACGGTGACAAGCACTCAATAGCTCACAATATTCCGAGTACTTCAGGTAGCATCAGTTGGGTGAGAAGCTCTTTCAGACAAATTCATATATCATGGATAATGTTTATTTTAAGACAGTTTTTGTAACTACTAACCGATATTAACAGGGCTACCAAAAGGGTAGAGGACAATAGACGGTAGTTCAGTCAGATATTATGATCTGTAAATCACTCAATCGAATAATACTTCAGTGCTTATTCGTAAAAAGCTTCAGAGTGAATTTTAGTTTTAGTGTTAAGCTATCACATGTACGGTCAACCAAGGTATGTGAGAATGGACGCCCATTAATTATATTAGTAAATGTACTATGAACTCAATGATTGAGTGGCAAAGTATCCACCATGAAACCCGATATTGTTTTACTCGACCTTTTATAAGGTTTTGAATGCATAGTGATAAGGGGTTCTAAACTAGGATGAGACATTCACAAAAAACAATTTAGCGGAGAAAATTTTCTTTTTGACGGATCATTTTCAGAAGCTGTACAATCGTAATTGTACCTACAACAAAATATATATCCATCGGTCGCTGAGGGGTCAATACGAAGTGGTCAAAAACCGTCAATAAAGTCGCAAGGTGATAACGCCTAGAAGGTCAACTCGTCATTAAAAACTGCTTATAGGATTACAATAAGAAAACAGTAGGGAAAGAAATGAATAAAATGTCTGAGGGATCAAGGTAAAATTAGAGATTGAATTTATCTAATTTGAAAGCAAAGATCAAGCTTGAATCACTGGGTTCCCAAAGCCTCTGCTGTGTTGAGGTGGCGTGTCCGTACTCTCTTCGAAATATTTGACTTTATAAATGACTTTGAAAGACGCTTGCGGACCAAAGTGACCGGAGTTAACCAAATGCTCAAGAATCAAGCTGTTGACGGCTTTACACTCTCATTTAGACAGTCATGCAGTAGTTTTTGGAGATGCGTTTGGGTAGAATACACTTTATGTGACCTATGTAACTAGCTCCACAAGAGCAAATGAACTGGTAAATATACATGGAGGTGGCTCAAAGCAGTAGTTTATCCCATATATACCCTCAAATCAGTTTTTGAGACTGGAAAAAACAATCCGAAGCCATACGGAAAAGGTCTTCTTCAGTGCTTTGCAAAATCAATTCTTCAGTATCTCCCTAGAATCCAATATTCATAAATAGAGTTTTCTTTGGAACCGTTTCTTCTTTGAAATGCTTAGGTTTCATGTTTGAAGGATAACTGTTTTCTATGAATACCTTCCGAAGTACTTCCGGCTCATCATTCACTGCACCATGTGTACAAATTCTTGTGCATAGTAACTGAATTAGATTTCTTTTCTTGACGAATAGAAACCCAGTTTTGGAAATTGGTATATTGTCCATTCCAGGTTTCCTTTTCCTGTAAATCGATCTCCTTCGAAACCATCATGTCTTCTTCTCAGTAGAAAGCCTAGAAAGTGAAATTTTGAGTCATTTCATTTCTCGTGGTAAATTCAATTAACTTGTGACATTCGTTGAACTTTCGTAGTGTGTGTTCAAAATTACTATTCTCCTCACAGATGATGAAACAGATAGTTTGTGCTTTTCATTGATTCTCTAACTGAGATGTCAGTTCATGGGAAAAACTACCTTAAACTCAATCATCCAAGCAAATGAATATTTCTTCTTTTTTTATTTTGTCGAGGTTTATGCATAACTTTGAAGTTCTTAGTGACAATATGTGCGAAATTTATTCACTGTATCCAATAGAAAACTTACATATCCTATTAATAAGTTTAAAATGCATTCCTTATTCGTGAACTGTAATTTGTTTGAGAAAGGAATCTAGAGACTATGTTTTCAAAAGTTCACTGATAGTGTAATGGGAGTTGCTGATAAGAATGGATCTAAGTAGTATATTTTTTTGTGAGGGAGTTTTGGAGATTTGGAAATATTTCAAGTTGTTATTCATTGCAGACTGACATCAGTTGGAGGAACAAAGGAAACCTGGGAGCACTGGACAGCTGTTTCCTCCTAGTATGGGACTCCTCAGCAGTGCGCACCCATGACCCCGCCAGGGACCGAACCCGTGGCCTTCGGGTTCCACGGCCAGCGCGTTACCATTGAGCCACTGGGTCAGAATCCAATGGTCCATATTTCCAACTTCTGTGACCGGTGGAGCCAAAGTCTGATGGTTGTGAGGATAGTTACTCAACAATGACATTGGGTGGCGGTTGCGCTATATAGTGAGCTAACAGAATATGGACCATTGGATTCTGACCCAGTGGCTCAATGGTAACGCGCTGGCCGTGGAACCTGAAGGTCGCGGGTTCGGTCCCTGGCGGGGTCATGGGTGCGCACTGCTGAGGAGTCCCATACTAGGAGGAAACAGCTGTCCAGTGCTCCCAGGTTTCCTTTGTTCCTCCAACTCCTGTCAGTCTGCAATGAATAACAACTTGAAATAAGTAGTACATGTTGAGAGGGCGGCAGGAATTATAGGGAATTACCAACAATGGGTAAGAATTCTGCCTAGAGCAACGCAAGGGATAAGGCAGGCGTATTACAGTGGATGCTGCTGACGAGAATGTATGAAGAGCAAATCAAGAGAGAAACAGAAGAGGAAACGAAGCACATTTTGCAAATGACGGGTTTAGTGGCCAGGTGTACCATATGTAACGACTACCGTTCCAATTGTTGATAATAAACATTCTTTCCATCGTGTCTGTCTTCTGTCTCTTTACTAGAAAAATAACAATAGGACACAGGAAACCAATAAACACATGAAAACAGATTAATCAGACAAAAACTGTCAAAATATTTGCAAACAAGCCGTACTAATCATTTCGATTATTAATTATGGTTCTTTTTCAGTTGAGCAGAATACAGTAGACTACGAATAAGCTAAAGAAAAGTTAATGGCAAAAAGTAGTAAAAGAGTGGAAAGAGGAACGAGAAAATACTGAATTCAGTATCATGAATAAGATAAAGATAATGTGTGGACGATCAAGAAATATACATATCTGTTTATCGTCCGCATTCAATATAAATTGAATAGCTAGAGTAAGAGAAAATCGACAGAAACACCTGTGCAATTAGATCAAGATATAGTTATTTCATGAAATCAGTGATTAAGGACTTTAATTGTAAGCGAACGTTTATATTTGATAACAGGTTCATTTGCACGAAATATTAGAAGTCGGTGACTGGAGATCCTAGGTGGTATGATTCAAAATATATATATCAGTGGTGCAATAGATTTTGCTCCTTATCCCATTCCAATTACCAAATTTTTCATTACTCTAGTATTATTTATATTTTGAAGGCTTATTAATATAAGAGTGAAACTTGTGCGCTGTGGTAGAATGTAATTCCATTTTTATTGGTTTATTAGAGAAAGAGAGACGAGGAAATTAGGACTATATGAAGGATATCTCAAAGTTGTGTAGTTATCTTGATATGACTGTGGACAATAAATTATGTCCGAAAACGTAATCCAGTAGACAATACTGTTACACTGTGTGATAAATCTAATAAATCATTTAAAATGGAATTTCGAAGGCTTTTTATGAGGAGGGTTTTGACCATGTTCTGGCATAGATTGAAGAAATATTGAGAAGAAACGAGCACTACATAATTAACTTTTTCCAGTTCTGAGCACCTTAGTAATGTACATTTCGAAGTAGAGCTGTGATTCAGTGGTTTAGGGAGTTGACTATCAGCCATTGGGTCATAGGTTCGAGCCCTGCTCCACCTATCGAGGTTTGGGCAGACAAGCAGTATCACTAGTTGGTGTGGCTCATCGCCTACTGCCTGGATGTGCACAAAGTGGGAGAGTGTACTACTGTCTATATAGAATTGAACCCAGGAACTTCAATCCTTACAGAGTTTACATTATTATTCATCGTTAAGCTAGAAGCTGTGGTTTATTGACATGGTCAACTGATTGTCAGAGTTACCAGTTCAAGTCCTGTAGAAAAGTATACACTATTGTCAGTGTCATTATAAATAAGTGATGTGAACAGTTAAGAGAAAAATAATACAACGTGAGGTCTATAACAGTGAAATCAATAATAAGAACAACTTACTTATTGCCATCAACGTCAGCTTCATATTTTGAACCGTTTTTTTTGTGATTCTCATCTATGCATACCTGTTGTTGTCGAATTGAAGATTTAACACTGAGATAAGGATCCTTTTTGTTGTTAATATCATCCTGGTCAGATTTTTCATTCTTAGGATTCATCAATTCATCTAGAGCGGCTTTGAATGCTCTACGCCACCATGAATTCTCACTACCAGCAAGATAATCTAATCCTGGCATAGGTGGAGTATTCAGTTCTACCACTTCATCATCATAAATAATATCTTCTGGCAGAGGTATTTCTCCAAGATCTAGAATTCCATCATATACAAGGTGTTGGCTGTTTCATAGAAAAAAAATATTTTTCAGGGAAAAAAGATAATTTGTAAATTTGTTCAGGAAAAAATGTACACTGGTTCAAAATTTAATGTTGGATAATAAGTCACGCACAAACTCTTCTGACATATCGTAAACTGCTGCACTCTCTATTAGGTTGGATAGATATAGTGATGTTTCGACCACAAGGGAATTGTCTTGATGATAAATGTTACGGAAATTCCAGCATCACTTGAAATTTACTGGAGTTCAATAACAATGTATCTAGAAAAACCAAGTTAGTTCTAAATACTGCTGAGGATTTGTTGGTCAGGTTTTCACTCTGCTGTACATCCGACAACAGTTGTATTTCTTACTATATGCTCATTTATGTCCACATCTCTTGGTAGGAAGATGGTATCTGATTCGATCAAGTGAGTTTCATCTGATATGACTCAATGTTCTGTGTTTAAAATTTTGCAATCTTAATGTTTACCTTCATTATCAATGTGACAGGAATTTTAGAGGTTCTAAGAAATGTAAGTATGCAAGCTACATAAGCATGACTGCACTAATTACTTTATTTTAAGACTTCATCCAGACACTTTTTTATAGTATAATTACATAGCCTACCACTTCATAAATTACTTATTGGTCCCTCATTTGCTACTGTACGATTTACAATTCTGCCTTTTGATAAAAGCTATTTAATTTAAGTAGTTTCATTTCCTGAGTACAAAGTTAGTGGTTTCAATTATGGTACGCTGCGAATCGCTTATTCACATAAATATGTGGAAATTAGATAATTAACCTTATAATGTTATTGAGTGGTAATTTTACCTTCTGTTGAATGACAATTTGGAAGGGAAATCAAGTAAGTATTTTGTAGATAATGCATAAGGTAAGTCCAAACCATAGGTGACGATGATTAAATGTTCGGGCATAATTAGAGAGGAATTGAAATCATGTGACTAATTCATGTCATAACAACCGAAACAATCATAAACACTCAATAAATCGACAAATTAGTAAGTCATACAAGCATTTCCAAAATAACATGAGCTAGACAACTCACCGATCACTTCGTGATGGTCTTTGTGTTAGAATCTCTTCAATGTAATCATAACGTTCAACAAATTCTCGGTAAACACCCAGTTGATGTGGTAATCGAAATAAACGTCCCCATAAAGGTGTCTTCCCTGGATCATAAGAAGGGAAAAGTTCTTTAATATCCACATTTGCATATTCTGCTGGCATAAGACTACCCAAGGGAGTATTTAGTATGTTTTCATTATATTGTGGACTTCTAACTGACTCTGAATGATATCCAGTAGCTATAGGACTACTAATAGGTGAATCAGCATTCCTTGAATAGACAGGCTAAAAACAGATTAAATCGGCTTTTATCAAATGAAGTTTGCAAAGTTTACCAAGACATGTATCGGAAAATATAAGGTAACACACGTTGGTATATATTTTCAAAAGGATACATCAATAACTTGCATGATAACAAATAGTATGACTTAGCAAATTTATACAAAAGAAGGTGAAATGGTTTTGACAACAAAACTTCAGACAGGTTTACATGGATGAGTCATTTTACAGGAAGCAATATTAATCCTTCCAAGTGAATACCAAAGCTTGAATATTTAGTAGAACTTGAGTTTCAAGTGACTTCACTCACTTAGCATAACACTAATAATTCGAAGGGAGAAGAAATTTCCTTGTTTAGAAGAAGTGTCGAAAACCTGGAAGCATTAGGTAGTTTGTTTCGCCGCAGCATGCGAAACCTCATCATGGCACACCAATGAACCCCAGACCCTCAGGTGTCACGTCAACCCAGTGACTTAATGGCAACGTGCTCATTGCTAAACATAGATAGTCCTAAGTTTGATCCCCGGAGGGGTCATGGGTGTGGAGTGCTGAGGAGTCTAACACTGGGACAAAACAGCTGTCTGGTGCGCCCAGGTTTTCAACGGTTCTCCAATTGATATCGTTTCGTGATGAATACTGAATTATAACAATTGACCATATCATATGACTACGGAGGAGTGTAGATTTCTTTAAGACGAAATTAGTTTCAGCATTATGAAAAAGTATAATTTCATATCATTTTGTTGAACAGGTTCTTCATATAGTGGGATTGCATTTTTCAATGAATAGCCTTTCAGATACCTTTTTGACGATATTAATATCGACACAACTGTAAGACATGCGAAAGGATCGCATCTAAAATCTGTGTAGTTACTTTAATATACTATACTCATAGACAGAAAACTGGGTTTGAAACGTTATCCTGTAAATAATACTGTTTCACTGTGCACTTTACCTAACAAATAAACAAACACTGGAAGCACAGATTTTCGTTTTATCAAGTATACAAAATGATAAGTGTCAGAATTAGCTAAAAGAAAGTATCAGTTCGAATGTTCATTAATTGTTAATTTATGCTTAATGGGAACACTACTGCCGATGAGAAATTCAGTTGACAGCTTATTCTCATAAAAAGCATGACATATTGTTTCGATACTTGTAATTTCCTGGTGCTATACAGGACTGATTTGCTCGATCTCTGTTGGCAGATGGGCTCCTATGCTTCAATACTGTTGGATATTCATGATGTTATACTCAGGTTGGTGACTACCAATGGATGTACCTACACTCCAGTGAGTGATGTTGTTCCTATTGATAACTCGAACCCAGTATACATTGCTTAAAATGCCGAAGCGTTATCCACTAGGCCACTGGGTTCCAGTGCTAGCCACTAAGACGAATATAACATCATGACTACCTAGCAGTATCGAGGCATCCGCATAGGAACCCATCGGTCAACAGAGGTCGAGCAATTCGGCCCTACATAGTAACGAGAAGTTACAAGTATTCATAAATAACTGGTACCCGTTGCATAAAAGGTGGGTCTCGTGTCCCAGTGAACAACACTTTTGTGTTTGAAGCGATGTGTACAGGACTCGAGTTTCAGCTGAGGAGTCCCAAATAGGACGAAGCACGCGTCCTGGATTCCACTGCTAGTTACCAAGATGAATATAAGTATGATATATGCATATATCATAGAAGTTTTGGTTAATACTATGATAAATTAACTGATACAGTGTTTTGTGCAAATATACTTCCAGATAAAAAGATGATGAAACATAAAATGCGTGAGTCCGAATTTTTTTAAATGGTAGGACGCGAAAAATTCATATAGACACACATACACACAACTAGGATTTCAGTGTTTGTTTTGGCTAATTCATCGGCAAACAAAAAACCATGATAAATGTATTCTGTTACCTTGGCTTGATTTGAACGTGAGGCTGAGAGAGGCGCAGGATGCAACGGAGGTGGCATGATAAGCGTTGTATCCTCAGACACACTAATTTGAGCATAATTTGTGTGTTTGTTTGAATAAATTGACTCAGCATTTGATGACGGCGACAATGATTCCTGAGTTTTTCTGTCGATATTACTTTCGTCTAATTTAATTTCATCTTGTGGTCTTGTAGGCGACAGTTCATTAGTTGCTTTCTTTTCAGGCAGTGTACATCCATCCTCCGTCAGTGTTGTTTTCGAATCACATTTACCTTTTACAGTTGAGCTGGTTTCTTGTTCAGAATCAGATGAGTCATAATCATCCTAAAGGAAAACATGATTCAATTAGCTTTCATAATTGACTAACTGATGTAACCACTAATAATCTATTAGTGTTGTCGATAGAACCTTATAGTGAATTATTTACTAACCCATCAAAATCACAACTATGCACAATAAAAATTAAGGAAGATCATGTATTGAAATGATAAGCTTTTTCAGGAAGTGAGTTAACTAAATACAAATTTTATCATCACGTCATATTGGTTGAACAAGCGAAGGTGAGAAACATAGGATACTTGATTTTGTCAATACAATAAAATCCACAAAAAACACTTGAAAAGAAAACTGTCGGTCATTCACTGAAGGTCCAAGTCAACTGAATCAGGCATGAAGATAGATTTCAATAAATAATATAGAATGACTATCCCATAAATTATAAACTATTTCATGTTGAAATATAAATATTCAATATGCTGTAACAGTCAAGTTGAGTAGTAATAAATGCTATTTTTAATCAGAACCGAAAGTCCTTGACTAGTTTTATCTGAATCGATTGAAAGCGAATCAATCAACCAGGAATAACCGCACAACAGTACAAGTTGCTACATCTCATATCAGCACACTAAGTAACAAAGTAGTAAGGTGAAAGATGAAGAAAGAAGGAAAATTCAGTAAAAGAGAGGAAGGAAGAATAAGATCCCGAATTCAGTACTGAGGTTAAGATGAAGAAAAAGTGTGAAGGCATCTGCGCCAGTGACATCGATTCTGAGTCACATCACCTAGAGTCTCTAACTATTGGTTTCCTTTATCACGTGGACTCCGACCGGCTGGTCTGAATCTCCCATGACTCAATGCAACAGTCAAGGACTTCATGCACTGATTTTATGTTTTTGTCTGAATGCCTCTAGAGCTTTTCCAACCAGAATGTACTTCAACCAACACTGAGCGACGAGGCAGACGGTGACTAGGTATGTGTAGCACATGTCCCAGCCACCTCAGTCTATGAAGTTTCATCACCGTATCAATTGACTTTCATCTCCCCACTAAAACTCTAAGCCTGACTTCTGCATTACTCATGTGGTGACATCATGACACACGGCAGCGGTGGTCAAACACTAGAAGTCATTTCATCTCCTCTACGTTTAATCGCCATAGTTGACAGCCATATAGAACAGAGCAAGCTGTAGCATAGTACGCTTGACCCTTCATAGGTAATCGGATATCGTGGAGGCGACACAGATGGCGTGAGTTGGTGAAAGTCAAGTTAGCCCATTTTACCCGCGCAGAGATGCCATCGACCACTGATCCACCAGGGCCAATCCGACTTCCCAGGTAAGTGAAGTGGTTAAAGCACTCAACGCTTCACTCTATTTTTATCCAGGGTATCGTTGAAGACCATTCCCCTAGAGCAACAGTTTGTATTTGGGTGGCGAGAAACGCATCCCAAACATTCTCAAATAGCTACCCAAGGCGTCCGGAAGACTTTGGATCTTGTCAGTCTTCATCTAACAGGAGTTTGTCATCTGTGTATAGAGAGAGTGAGCATTCTTGACGACACCACTTGATGTACACAGCTCAGCTGACAACTCACCCATAGGCTCTAACACGCCTACAAGTGTTCTAGTAAGGAGCCTTCAACAGGATGATGTACTTATTTGATACTCCTTTATTGAAAATGAATAACGGTAGGAGTCCCAAGGACTGAAATAGCACAAAGTACAAATAATCTATCATTTCAAATGCTGATAAATTTGTAACGAAAATTGTCCTTCACATCTTAACTGAAAAAGAGATTATAGCTTTTACAACAATAACAAAATGAAACCAGTATATGTGGTAATTTACAACTTCTTTTGAAACTTGCAATTTTTTGGCAGATATTTCCCGTTTCCTATGGTTCTGGAATGACTAATGTAATGCAACTCATTCTGACACACGTTTAACTACTAGGTTGTAAGCCACACCTTTTTTGTGTAAAGATTATGACACTATCCGGTTGGCCAGACAAAATTGGGTGGGACTAAAATTTAGTTAGTTTCTTTAAGTTTACTTGTTCTTCAGCCAGAGTTAGTCGTTGGATGGTTAAGGATGTTAAAATTTTGAGAACAACTGTGATCAATCCAATTTCATAGTGGCTAACATATAGGGGTACATATATTTCCTTATAAATTCAAAGTCCACAATGTCGATCAGTTCAAACGGCCTGTGTTTGACTAACCCACAGAAAGGAATGTGTTAATCGAGGCCCCAACTACTGAGGTTCGGGCGGCGAGGTATTATTACCAGCCCTCACATAACAGATTGGGCTCATTTTCAACTGCACAGATGTGCACAAGATGACTGAGTGCGTTTCAGTCGTAATCGGTGTAACTAGTAATTCCGAATCATTCACATAAATGATTTCTTGAGACCTACTTTACTACTATCAAGATTTGTCACCATTTTCGTAAAATTTCCTGCAAGTTTCTACTATTTCTACAACTAAGGAGGGGAGGAAACTATATACAAAAATCTCCAAGTTATTGAGTTGCCATTTCATGACTTTGGACAATAAATTACTTGCGAAAAGTTATCTGGTAAATACTGTTTCGCTGTCTGACACATTTGATATCAAACTAAAATGGAACAGCTATCATTACATGGTGAGTTGAAATAATATATTCATTTTTCAAGACGAATCGTCTTTGGAAGAAACTACTAAAACCCGCAGGTCTTCTGTAATCTTTATGTTTTGTTTGCGGACTACACCTCTATACACAAAGCGTACTAAATATTATCCTACACTACATCATAATGAGTAGCCGTAGCATATTCCGATACCCATTAAGCTAGTTGTTGCTCAAATACACGCTTGACACTCCTTGACGTCTAAAAGCGTGCTCTACAAAGAAAGGAAATCCTTCACTGATCCTATCCAATAATAATCAATAGAGATATAATCACTATGTATGCCATCTAAGACTTTTCCAAATCGAGCTTTCTAGTAGTGAACGCGATTACTTAGAGAACAAGAGAATCTAGCCAGTTTGTGAAGTGATTTCGCTACTTTTATGTACTGCGTTATGAGCCACGCTAACTGTAAGGGCTTGTGGTACTATCCGGTGATCCAGACTGAAGTAGATGCGGTGGAGTTGAAACCCGGGACCGGTAACTTGTAAGTCAAGCTCCCAGGCGAAAGAGTTACATCTTCACTTGGAGAAAACTAGAAGTGTTCCAAAGAAAACAATCGCTCAGATAAGGTTCAGGATCATAGTCAATGAAAATAGAGTCGATATATTCTTGTCTTTCTTCACAAACAGTAACACAAGTGATGACTGAACCTTCGAACACCTGTTATTTTTAAGCGGTAACATCCTTCTTTTCTATTTTTATTTTTGTGAAGAGTATTCCCCTACATACTGAGTATGCTTCCAATAGATAATACTATCTCGTTATGGTTTGCAGACACTATGGCTAATACCACTCTAATCAATCAGTTTTATAGTTCACCTGACAAAGCTCTTACCTAATGAAAAGTGTAAGAGATGACTTTTACAAACTTAACAGAGAGATAGAGGTATATGAATTGGCTAGACATCCAATAGTCTATAGTGTTTACAGACTCCAGAGGAGTTTTATAGCCATTTTCACTAGATGCTTTGTTGAAAACTTATTACTTCATGTCAAAAAGGATTTTCTGCATTAACTATGCATTTCAATAAACCAACTATTACCAATCACCAAAATATAAAAATTTTGAATACAAAATACCGTTTTAATCTTCTCAGGTTTCATGCTATACAAGACTTCTTCAACAAGTTCATCTGCGATTATTTCTTCTTCGTTGTAGTAATCCGTCGAATTTAAATTTGTAGTTAGTTGGTTATTATCATCTTTTGGTGATAAGAAAAGTACAGGATGGTTATTATTATCAGATAGAACATCTGAAGCAGCTTCTTCTACTTCTCTTATACGACATCGATCCAAGTTATTAATTGACTTCAACTCATCATCATGTTGATATTCTTCGATTTGCCCCTCTTTGTTAACATTCCCGAAAAGAAAACTGGACACTTTATATTTTGGTCCATCTCCATTCGGTGAGTTATCTTCATTAGACATGACAAGGAAACCTTAAATGATAAAATTAAGATAAGATCAATAGAAATGAATCTATTCATGAATAAATAAACATATATGGTTATCCAAGAAAAAACCAAAACAAAGCAGGACATATGAATACAGTTCAGCTTATTCCATGTTTATATGCAGGTTTGAAATACACCATTTGTTAAAGCTGATGAAACTAACCGCTGAACCAAACTAAACGAACTGGAGAGGACTTGAATTCATGATCCAGTAACTTATAATTGAATGTTCAAACCGTTTAGTCATAATGCAGACTTATATCATACAGTGCGATCATCTAAAAAAAAATACTGCTCTACTACCCAAGAGTTGTTAGGTGAAGTGGAATTCGAAGACATTATCATGTGATCGGAAAATATTTGGAACCTACTGTATAAACAACATAGGACCTAGAATGGCTTCGTAATGGTTTAAGTTGTCACATCTCATTACATCAAGGTGAAAGTAAACGGTTTTTAGACATAAGGAAACTGTGAGGTAAGAAGGAAACGTAATCCAATAAGTAAAGGTGTATAATAGTAGTCTATAAAATATTTCGAGGAAGATTGACTTTTTGACGTACTATTTACAATCTTAAACCAGCAATTATGGTGGCCTCACTTACCCCAAACAGAATTTTTATGAAATCTTGACTGTAATAGAGGGTTACCACAATATCTATTGACAATCTGTTTTTTCCTCTTCATCTTTGAAGTAACTGACAGAATAGCACGCTACTAACGCAGTGAGACACTTAGAGTGAATATGAATAGCGACTGTTGTCCCTAAGAACCTCATACTTCAATGAGCGGAGAAAAACAGAAGACAAATACCGGCCTGTGACTGCAAGGTAGACAACTTTATTTGACAAAAAACACATCATTTGTATACACTTTTTCCTCAGAAACTAAAGCCACTAGGTCAGAAGTTGGGTACTTATTTTCCCTGGTCAGCTGAAGGACAAGGTTGTTCAATAAGGTTTTCCCTCCCACACAGTAACATGAAACAAAGTTGAAATAAGAAAAATTCTACCCTAGCGACTGATAACTTAGAATGTTGGTTTCCATTAAGGCCGCTTTCTATCAAGCTCTGAGTAAGAAAACTATTACATCACTAAAATCTCTTTGTTTACATGGTTTTTATGTCTTTAATCCAGTATTTTTAGTGAATGGTTAAAACTAATCAACCAATTACTCCGCAAACATTCAGGCGATTAAAGGAGTTAGAATGTAGTGCTTTCAAAAATATGGTATACTTATTCCACCCTTTTACTACATCATTTCAAAACCAAACACAAGTTAACAACAAAATTACAAAAGAATATCACGGGTGCTTTCTTATTCATCCCCCCCCATGCCCTCCCCGTTGCAACAACTTACCAACAAACTAGACAATAACCTAAGAACAAAAGGTTATTGTGTATTATTGCTTATCATACTGTTACTATTAACATTAGTTATATGCAATGGTCATTTGATTTAAAAATACCGTACACAAGGATTAAATTTATTGAAATAACACACTGAGAATCCCATAGTGTATTAAAAATTGTTGTCTGGAATAAAGTGATCATTGTTGTTGTTATAAATAATCCACCCATAGTGACATTCATATGAAACGGCAATCAAAGTGAAACAATCGAAATTGGAGGAAGCTGTAAAGCTTTCAATTCAACAAAATCCACTGATTATTTTAGTTATTTAGCTGGACCAAATGCAGATCAATGGTTATAGTTCTGTGAAAACCATTGCCAGAAGATACTGAATACAAAAAATCTCCGATAGTAAATAATTTACTTCCTATACTTTTAAACTGAATTAAAGCAATGAAGTATGCTGGTCACTATTTCCTTGAAAACTGACCTAAGTTTACCAAGGTTGGATGGTTTCATTTCATCCCTTTAAGACTGTTTATCCAAAGAAAAATGTTCAAATTTACCGCATCAAAGATAGTATTCCTAGAAGCTTGTCCTTTAGATTACAGATAAACTTATGAATACACAGACATTTCTAACTATCATCATTGATTAGCTCGCTAGCGAACATTTCCCTAGGTTAATCTTTTATCTACTCTGATTTACTTTATATCACAGACAAGAGATTAAAATGTAAATGGAATTTCATTTTGTAACCAATCCCAGAGTAAGCAAACGGTAAGCGGTGCGGCAGCCAGTAAGATGGAATGTGTAACACATCTGCAAGCAAGAGAAACCAATGTTTCAGTGGATGACAAAATTCATCATGCTCGAACACACTTTACTTCATCTCAGAATTAATTACATGATCTTTCCACTAAATCTTTCCATTCACTTATCTTCATCCTTCAACTCACTACCTTTTTACTTGATGTGCTGATATGAGGTGTGGCAACTCAGACCGTTACGCAGTAATGCCTGGTCCTATGTTGATAATGATGATGATGATGAAATCTTTCCAGTAAACTTGCAGAGGCAATGGTGACCGAAAACGCAGAGTCATCGAACATACTCAGCTCGTACACCTCAGGTTTCCTAAGGAAAAGGCAGAACTGCCTGCACTGAAATTGTATACTAGATATTTTACGGAAAGATTGACTTTACGGTTATACCAAACGTGCTCCAGATTGGTGTATACCGCTGGCTTTCGATACACAGTTGGAAACCTTATCAAACACCACCACCAAGCATTCAACGAACTAGGCACACAAACTTTTTGAACTGACCGAGTGAATGATAAGGAATATGCGAATGACACTAACATAATGAAACAATCGGGCTGGATACGAATAGCGACTGTTCTCCCTCAGCATCTTATACTTCACTCAGACAAAGAATAGCCCGTGAATGTAAGGAAGACTTTTTGTTCAGTACAAATAAATCATCTATACACAGTTTTCATGAACATATAAAACCACTAGATCAAAGGATAAATAGCTTATTCTGACTGGTCAACTTTAGGGTAAAACCGTTCAACATGGTTTTCTTGACTACACAGAAATAAAAATCGAAATACAAAAACTTTTAGCATGGTGGCTAATGACTTGAAATGTTGATTTCCATTTAGGCCGCTTCCTATCACTTTTGACTACTCCCAACAATTTATCACCAAGGATAAGTGCAGGCACGTGCTCCTGCAAATCTTGCGCAATTATTTTACTCAATGACGATGTAAAGTACACAATACACCTACGGACGCTCACTGCCAATGACACACTTCATAGTAGTACACAAAAAATAAGTGGATAGAAAAGAAGTGATATAAAACTCGATACAGTTATGTGAAAGAACAAACAATCTGAAGATGAAGGTTAGTGAGAATATTCAAGCTTTAGACGTCACGAAGTGAATACATCTACGCCATTGTGACTGGTTTTTAGTCCTGAACCACTGATTCCTTTCGTCTCAGTAATCCAAACTAGACAGCCTATATCTCTCTCATATGGCGTAAACTAGGAGTAAGGGAATTCAACAACTGGTGCCAGGTCATGGTTTGGCCATTCTGAACCCTCTTCCAACCTAATCCAACTTTCCTTTTAAATTTTTGAGGGGGTTGTGGAGATTTGGAAATATTTCAAGTTGTTATTCATCGAAGACTGACATCAGTTGGAGGAACAAAGGAAACCTGGGAGCACTGGACAGCTGCTTCGTCATAGTATGGGACTTCTCAGCAGTGCGCACCCACGACCCCACCAGCAGGGATTGAACCCGCGACCTTCAGGTTCCGCGGCCAGCGAGTTGGAAATATGGAGCATTGGATTCTGACCCAGTGGCTCAATGGTAACGCGCTGGCCGCGGAACCTGAAGGTCGTGGGTTCAATCCCTGCTGGTGGGGTCGTGGGTGCGCACTGCTGAGGAGTCCCATACTGGTCGGACGAAACAGCTGTCCAGTGCTCCCAGGTTTCCTTTGTTCCTCCAACTGATGTCAGTCTTCGATGAATAACAACTTGAAATATTTCCAAATCTCCACAACCCCCTCAAAAATTTAATTGAACTGATGCTCATTGGTGACTAGCTTCGAGAAGTATTCCCGAAGTTCCAATGACAAGTCGTGACCGGTGGAGTCAAAGCCTGATGGCCGTGAGGACAGATACTCAACGATGACATTGGGTGGCGGTTTGCGCTATATCGTAATCCAACTTTCCCTAGGATGGCACGTCGAGGTAGGTGGTGGCTTCATATGCGCAGTACATGTCGAAGCCACTCCAATCGATGAAGGTTCATAACCTCATAGATCGACTTTCCTGTCTTGCCTAGTAACCTTTGCCTAACCTCAGCATTGCTCACACATATTGCCAGTTAACCGAGTGCGAGTCGAGTAGCCAGTATATTATCAAAAATTAAAAAGATATTGTCCGCATATTGGGGATCGAAAAGTGTTTCATTTAGTAGCACGTCTACACTACCACCACACACATTCTTCAGGGTTATCTCAAGAATGTGACCAATGACAAAAGTTAGAAAAGAGTGGAGAAATTGCGCAGCCCTGTACAACACCACTAATAGTTTGGAACAAGGGACATGTAACTCTAAGCCCTCAATCTACCTAATCCGTTGAAGTATATGGCCTACATGATATCAAAGCACTTTTCAGGGACACCCATTTATAATAGTCAACTTCAGATAGCAGCCAATCCATCAAAGGTAGCTCTAATTTTGAGAAATACAACAATCGTTGGTCACCAATACATGTGGCGATGTTCAAGCATTTGGTGGAAGATGAACACGTGATCAAAGCGTCCATGACCTGAAAGAAACACAGTCCGCTCATTGTAATCAGATTTTCATGGGTTTTGCACAACCTGCTAGGTATGGTAGCAGTAAACATTTTAGATGTTACTTGCAACAAGCTGATATCCCCATGATTATCATACACATTACGCAAACTTATTAAAGCTGGGTACAATAATGACTTTATTCCAGAGCGATGAAACACTCCTAGTCTGGCACAGCTTCCCAAACAATGACTACAGTCACACCTGTGTCCTTAAAGAAGCAGAAGGTAGGTTGTAGGCCGGTCGCCTAATAGTGCTTTGTAACTTGGAATTATTTACAGAGCCCTACTGTGTTAGGTGAGTCGGTGTTTACTGACCATGGAATACACGATATTGAGGTTAGGTTAACTGCTTTTCAAAATGGTCCACTCTGTGATACAAGCGTCTAGCGTACCGTTTACTTCATAGACCATATTACTAACATCAAAATTCTTGCTGCTGATGACTCAGACGAACTTGAATAGCCTCCGATTGATGCCGGATGCAGTTACTACCTGTTTCAGTCACACGTTCTGATCGGCAGGTCTTCAGTCCTTATGTAAATGCTGTAAGATCTGTAACATAAGCGATTTACGCAAACTACAACTCATTGTCTCCCAGAATATACCGACGAGCGTCAAGGACTTGCAGAGACCAAGTATTTAGTGATGGGACATTCTTCAAAACCAAAAACAGTCCTGTTCACTATTTTTCAAGGAATCCAGCTAACGCTCACTTTTCTGGAGGTTCGAAAACTAGCCTTGAGTCCAGCTCGGTTTGGCATTTAGTTGCAATAATGGGTGGGTTTAGTTTCCTAATGTCAATCTGTTTAGAGAGACGATTTTGATGATCATCAAAATACAAGATGAACTTCACATATATTAAAGCGTGATCACAGTCAGAACAGGTGCCTTAAAAGGAGCAGTAATCCTCAATAGACCCTCGACATCGTTAGATGATTGTAATATGATTTATTTGAGTTCAGGGTTGAGTGGTAGATATAAGATAAAAGGTAGCCCAACGATGATGGCTGTGAGTGACGTTGGTGCTAACTAGAAATAGGCTGTGATATGAGCAGAGCTGTAGAAGGCGTTTCCTACTATCTGACCTGGAACCGATTAATCCCAATTGACCCTTTAAACGGTCATTTTCTGGACCTTGACACCTAACTTGTCCATTGTATGATTGCATCATTTTACATGGGTAGTAGGAAGAATGCACGCGAACCACATGCCTGACAAATTACATGAGTATGTATCAAAAAATTATTAAGCAATTCAAAAAAACACATACAGGTTTGTGCACTCGGTTGTGAACTACGTGAATCGCAGAACAGCGAATGATGCTACTTGAATGTTCAAGCCTCAGCTGTTTGACTTGAGTTTGAACCAGATAACTACAGCAAAATTCAAGCTTCAGGAACTGAATGAAACAGCTTTACACAAACACTGCATTTATAACCAGGTAGTCGTTATCAGACTACAGATGACTACTCAGACTCCAGAATCGGGCGCTGACATTTGGAAGTTGAAACCTTTATCTTAAGTACATAAACAAATAATGAGAATGACCACCTGCAGTGCGAAACATGGTTAAATAATTCAACGATATCAAAACATAAGACTAAGACAATGATTATCTTGGGAAACGCATAGCTGACTGGCTGACAATCAACGTAGAACCTAGTACACGAGTGCATCGACTCAAGTTGCAACACCGCAGTAGAATTTAACGAACAGGTGAGTAGAAAAACGTTGATCGAAGTCTACTAATTTATGCGATAGAAAACAAATTTGGAGGTAATAATCAGTGTAAACATTGAGGCTTTAGGTGTCAAGGAGTGGATATATCTGCCCCGTTGTGATCAGTTTTCAGCCACGTCACCAAGAGTCGTCAACCACTGATTTCTATCGTCTCAGGGACCCAAAGCAAGCAGTCTACATCGTCCTGTACCAACAGCCAGAGATTTCAGCAACTGGTGCCACGTCTACGTAGGAACACGCTGAACTTTCCTTAATGATGTGAGATCTCTCTCCAGAAATCAAAGGGTAGTTCAGTTTAGCAAATCTCAAATAGGCGTTTTGTATGTGTGCCAAAATGCTGTCAACAAGTAACCTATCAAAGCTGGTGCAAATTCCAAAGTGAACTGATCAATGCTTCTACTACTTCACTCCCTAGACTAGAAGTCGGCGTAGACCAGTAAAGAAGCATTATTATACATTAGACAAGTACGAAGCGCATGACAGAAGTGCTAAAATATTTATTCAGGGCGTTCAGAAGATTCCGTATTTTACTAATGTCTTCGTCCAATAAAACTCGTTTGCATACTTTAGGTTGATCAGGTACCCTCCTAGGGGTGATCCAATCCCCATGAAGTTCGTGCTACCTAGAGTTTTATTCACTAGCATGTGTACAGCGAAGTAAAATAAGAATAGTGATGGTAGACATTCTTGGCCTACACCTAGTTCTCTTCGCCTCAGATAATAAGTCTGCGTGAACCCACTCAACTATGTGAGCTGAAGCAGATAATCTTAGCACTATGTACTTCCTCAATACCCACTTCATGGTCAGACAATAACACAATGCCATCTTCACATCCAGAAATATTGTAAATGTCAGTTGCCTTTAAGTAGGTCTATGCTCCAAAATCTTTCGATGGGTAGAATTCTGATTCATGCACTCTTTTGAAGGCTGGTAGCTCACCTATTTTTTCCGAGTTTGTTCTCCTCCTAGGTGAAAAATGACTACTCACCCTAAAACCTTAGGCAATGTTTGTCAAATTGATTTTCCTGTGGTTTTTGCATGAAAGTTTCTATCCTTTTTTATATACTGAAATGATCAACGATGTATGCCACCTAGGTAGAGTTACTTCTTCTTGCCATTATTCTACTTAGTGTTTCAGATGTCCTAGCCACTCTCAAAGAATTTGTGGGGTGAATCACCAGGTTCTGGTGTTTTTGGAGTCTTGCATGTGAAAAAAACTTGACTTTCATGAGACCCGAAGGATCGATAACTAACTTCCTTTCGAACTGATCATCGGTGGCGAGTAACTAGAGTATGGCTATAGGTCACTTGAAGTGTTCTGTTCAGCGTTCTAGCCGCATGTTTTGAGAGATTCCTGCAAATCCATTTTTCTGGGAGATAATCAAATTAATCATCTCATCCAGACAAGTCAATTATACAAACCTAGACAATATCTGAGAATTACCTTGCGTATATACTTTCTCACGTTTGCCACCCACTGCCGTCAGTAGTTATTACGAAGACTTAGTCTGTTCACATCTAAGCTTACTCTGCTCTTTTCGTGTTCACAGGCAGTTGGAATGAGTCTTCTCCCAACTTTCAGATCAGATAAGGCTGCAGGAATCCACTGACTTTTGCCAACGTTTTGTCGTAGGTCACTATCTGTTTACCACTGCTTTTACAGAAAACTAAATATTACACCAGAATACATCAGAATGAAAATCACTTTCATATTCACATAAGTAACAGTTGCCTAGATGCCAACTTTATATTCTCATGATGGAGAATATTTGTAACTCAAGAGGATAATTTTAATGGTGTGATCTTTGAGCTAGATGATTTAGTTGTGAAGCCTTCATCGTCATTCTAGACAACGTCACCAGCCGAAACCTCAGACTTCTTCCTGAAGTATGTCCTGATGTCTACAATGACCATGAAGCCTTCACGATTGAACCATCTGTCTCAGAGAACAAAACGTCATCAAAATTGATTCCTCATCTTTAAACCGAGGATAGAGGACTTATAACTTCGTAATTCTTGGGCTCATTCAGACGTAAAAACACTTGACCGACTAATTTATGATCAAAGACTAAGAAAATGCTACGAAAAACAGACATGCCAAATTATCGTAGAACCTTGCACACAAGTGCATCGGTTCCTGTTACCACATTTCACAGTGGTACTGAGGGAACAAGCGCATTGATAAAGACTAACAGCAAAGTTGTATGAGAATAAACAACTTGAGAATAAAATTTAGTGCGAACACTAGAACTTTACAAGACATCAAAGAGTGAATACACCTTCCCCATTGTGATCGATTTTCTACCATATCACCAAGAGTCCTCAACCACTGATTCCTTTCGTCTCGAGGACCCCAACCAGATGGCCTACATCTTCCCACACGACTTAGACCAACAGTGAGGGGCTTCCTCAACTAATGTCACGTTTTGATCTGGCCACCCTGAACTCTCTTCCAATCTAATCCAACTTTCCCTAGCATAGCACACCGAGGTAGGTGGTGACTCAGTATGCGCAGTACATATCCAAGCCACCTCAGTCAATGAAGGTTCACAGCCTCGTCAATCAAATTGCCTGTTTTACCTAGTACCCTTCGCCTGACCTCAACATTTTCCATACAGTGATTCCACTAAACGCGAGCAATGCTATGAAAACATCTGTGGTCAAAAACCTGTAGCCGCTTCATGTATTCTACTTCTAACGGCCAAGTCTCACAGACGTATAACAGGGTAGGACTAACTGCAGCGCAGCACAGTGGTCCTTTGATAGATGGTCAGATATCCTGCTGGTCGGCGCCACACAACCCAAGTTGGTAAATGCCAAACAGGCTTTCTGTATCCAAACTGAGATTTCGTCAGCAACCACCCCATTTCCGGCTGATGAAGCTCCGCAAGTAAGTGAAGTGGTCGGCACATTCCACCACTTTACTCCCATTGATTAAACTGGGAGCATGTGCAACAAACGATTCCTGGGGCATCATACATTTGGCAGGTGTCTGCGAAACGCATGCCAAACATACTCAGGTTTCTGGACAACGATTTCAGAACCCTGGATTTTGTCAACGTGTTCACCTAACACAGCAACATCGTTGGCGTGTTCCAAGTCAACCAGATGATCTTCAGGGAGTAGACCAATCCCAGTGAAGTCAGACGTACCTAAGGTTATGTCCATTAGTACGTCTATGACGAAGTTAAATGGAGACGGTGATAGTGGGGATCGCTGACGGACAACACTAGTTGTCGTTGATTCACTCAACAACTCTTCATAAGCCTTTACACGGTTGTGCGAGTTCGAGTCAAGAGCACTAATTATCTTTATATACTTGTTCAGTACTCCCTTCACAGTCAGGCACTACCAAAATACCTCACGGTCGACAGAGTCCAATGCCGCCTTTATGTCAGCAAATATGGCAAGTATCGGTCACTGGTAGGTTGGTATGCCTGTGTTTCAGAACCTGTCAGAGGCTGAAAATATGATTGATGTACCCTCGTCCAGCTCAGTCTGAAACCTGCCTGCTTGGTTTTCGCGAGCTCCAGTTAGGCATCGCATAACTATAGACCCCAGCATTTCGGATGCAATATTAGTCAAACATATTTCCCTATTGTTATCTCGAAAAAGATTTCGTTCCCTTCTTACAGATTGGGATGATCAGTGAAGTATGCCAGTCTGACAGGACTACATTTGATTCCAATACATTACGTAGTACCTCCATCACTCTAATCAGCAATTTCCTACCTCCATTCTTGAAAAATTCGGGTGACAATCTGCCAGGTCCTGCAGCCTGGTATCGTTTCACGTTCGATACAGCTTTCTCAACTTCAAGGAGGATCGGAGGACCGAAATCTACGTGCCATTCACGTTTAGGCAGCATGTTGAGCAACTGAAGCGTTGCTGAGAGCTAGTTAAACTATGCTTTAAAGTGTTCTACCCAACGTTCTAACCACCTGTCCTTGGAGGTTATCAGGGACCCATTCTTTCCTGCGATGGTTTTACTCACCGTCGGTTTCTTCTTCCCAGTCTCCTTAATAAGCCTAAATAGTTATCGAGCGTTACCCAACGCTGATGCCTTCTCCGTCTTTCTCACTTTTGCCACCCACCACTTCCCGCAATCGATGCTAAAATTCTTGGTTGAATTACGTTTAAGTTTCTTTCGCTCTTCATCGTGGTTAGTCAGCTGGAATCACTCTTCCTAAATCAATCAGTTCGGATGACGTCGGGGAAATCCAATGACGTTCGCTAACCTTTGGAGGCAGGCTACTGACTGTCTTAACCGCTGTTTCTACAGTAGACTTGATATCACGCCAGGTTTCATCAGGATGAGCATTACTATCATGTTCAGATAAATGCTTAGCCATCTTTTACCCAAGTAAATATTTGACGTTTTCATCTTCCAATCGACCATAGACAGGCTTTACTACCGCCTGTCTCCTGCGAACCAATAAGGCACAGAGATATACAAGCCCGTACTAGTGTGTGGTCAGAGTCAAAATTGGCACTCCAAAAACAGCAGCAATCCGCCACCGATCCTCTCCAATAACGGCTTATAATGATATGGTCTCTCCTTGGTTTGAAGTCGACGGACGCCATATGGGATAGTCTCTCCTTACGTCTAAAGTTAGTGCTGGCCAGAAATAGGTGATTGTTGGGACAAAATAGCAACAGATGATTACCGTTGTCGGTTCGTCGGCATGGCATCTGTAAGTACCACCAGGATACCTTTCTGATTGGCTCAGCTTCCCTAGCATTATGATTACATCTGAACGTTTTGCTTTCTGTAGCAAAGTTGACAGCTCATAGAGCTCATCCTTTGCATCAACCGAACTACAGTCGGTCGGTGAGTAGGTGGAGATTACGAATAGGTACCACCTAGTCTCACGATCCTTCTCACTCCTCATAGATCCATTCAGTCGAATAGCACAGTGACGGCTGTCTACTGGTATTCAGTCGAGAAGCGCGTCGACCACCCCACAGCTCAATGGTGTGTCTACATCAGCGAGTCCACAAGGGCTAGCCACTGAGTCTTCGGACACTAAGGTTGAATTTTAAAGATTCACTACTATGGTCAGATGAGGTCAACTTAATAACCACACTTGGATCCTGTATGTATCTGAGACACAGCATACATCCATGGCTAGAGATTTCAGAGTTCTGGCGAGCGATGCTTGCTGTCAGATTAGGTAAAGAGCTCCGACGTTGAAAGCTACTACATGAAATCGATGACGGGGTCTTAAAAGACTTTGATCATTCGCAATTGTTGCAGAGTGAGAGGGTGGGTGGGATATGAGAGGTTTAATATTAGTTTCAAGAGGCGAAGGCAAAGGAGACGGACTTGAGGAGAAAAGGTTATTTTTTATTGTCTTGTGTACTATGCTAGAATATTGCTAGAGGTTGACACTTCCCGACTGCCCATATCGTGGAAGTTTATTTCTTCTTAAGACAACTGAAATAAAAAGATTTGTGACTACAAAGCTATCTGCTTCAGGCCTATCATACACGGCCTTTTGCAGCATGTCGTTTCGAGGTTTGGTTGTTCTAAAGCCGGAGAGGAAAAACCCATATCACCGGCTCCGGAAGACCGTGAGGCAAAGGGAGTGTTATTTTTGGAACCGATCTTTCCTAACCTTCCCCCTTCCAGAAAAGAAGGCAGTGTCAGCGTGACACTGTTGCTTACCCAAGGGAAACACCTTACTGCTATCACACCCCATTCAGCTAGCAGCAGTACGACTTTGACCTCAAACCGTCATCATAGTGCAGAAATTTACTTTTCGTTTTACCACTATCCAACAGACCTTTCTGGCATGGTGGGACGTCGAGAGAACAAGCGTTCCACCAGCATAGCTCGTTGGGTCATCGTGATATGCAAGCCCAACCACCACGTTAAAGTAGCAGCTATCAGTCGGGTGTGAGACGCATACCTGTTTATCGAATAACATTTCCTGATTCTGACATAAGCTCGAAAGAATAGACTGACAAAATCAACTTAGAATACCACACAGAAGTGCATTAGTTCAACTAGCCACAATTCACAGTAGTATACAAAAAAAAGGAGAGAAAAAGACTGATAACAAAGTAGACAAAGGTGCATAGGAGGAGAGGGAATTTGAAAACAGGTTAGTCAAAGCCTTCAAGCTTTAGAAGACATCAAAGAGTGAATACACTTACGCTATAGTGGTCAATTTTCAGCTGTCACTAACAATTCTCAACCACTGATTCCTTCCGTCTCGGGGACTCCAGTCAGGCAGTCTGCACCTTCACACGGCCCACACCAACAGTAACATACTTCATAGACTGGTACAACTTGGTCTGGCCACCCTGAACCCTCTGCCGACGTAATACAGGCTCCCCTAGCCTGACACGTCGAGATAGGCGGTGACTCGGCATGTGCAGCACATGTTTAAGCCACATCGGCCGATGAAGATTAAAAAACTTATCAGTCGGCTTGCGCGTCTTGCCTAGTACCCTTGGTCTGACCTCAACATTGCTCACACAGTGATCCCACCAAACGAAGCACGGCTTACATTTGACAGATGCTAAATGCATACCAAACATGCCCAGATTTGTGTTCGGTTATCCCTTCATAGTCAGACACTGCTGCAACATTTCACAGTCAACAAAGTCAAATGGTACCTTCAGGCCAGGAAATATGGCAAGTAACAGGTGCGAGTGAGTACTTCTGTTCCGAGGCCTATCGAAGAGTGAAGATCTGATAAATCAACACTCGTCCAGGTTTGAAATCTACCTGGTTCTCTCGAACTCCAGTTAGACGTCGGACAACTTTGGACCCCAGGATCTTGAATACGATGTCAGTCAGACAAATTTACTTATAGCTGTCACAAGATTTCTCCCTTTTTCTTTAAACTATGATTACCAACCTGATGGGAATACTTCTGATTTTTACACGCTACCTGATGTTACAACTACCCTGTAGTTATTTTTCAAATCTACGCTTAAAATTTCTGATGGTAAACCGTTGAGTCCAGTAGCTTTGGGTCGTTTCAAGTTCAAGCGGAGTTGAAGCATTAAAATGCAGACCCAGTTTAGGTTCAGGTCCCTAAACCTCTTACCCTGTTACCATTACCAAAGATCCACATCGGCGAAATGTCATTCTTATACTCCTAAACCCCCCTCTGTCAAATTCACGTTGGAGGATTCAACATCCGAAATTTACCCCAGATCGAACATTAGAAGTCTTTTTCCAGAACTCTGGAATCTCCAGTCATAGGTGTATGGTGTGTTTCTGAGACATGTACACAGGATCCGAGTGTGGTTGTTCACTTGATCTCACCAAGTTAATGCAGTGAACCTTTGAAATCTACCTTGCAGGTTTTCGGATATTCAGTGAATGTCCCCCGCGAACTCACTGGTGTACGCGAAGCACTGAGTTCTCGAGCACAAAGTGCACTTCTCGACGATGTACTACTTAACAAACGTCTATGGGCTATCCGACCTAGTGGATATGTAAGAAATAGAAAAGATATAGATCGATGACTACTCGGAATCTCTGCCTGCGCACCCACCATCTGCAGTTTGGAAAATAAAAAAAAAAGGATGAACTCTAAACCCTGACTTTTCCTATCAAGTCAGCAACAAAATGTGTAAACAACCCAGATCAAGTAATTAGTAACGCTAGAGGACATATATTAAGATAGAAGGCGGTAAGACAGTTGCACATATGAATCATTTTCATCTAGACCTGATATCATTATATATATATATATATATATATATATATATATATATATATAGTGGCCTTTAAAATTGCTGGTTAGCAACTGCTGAGATAACTAGTTAGCTTCCTATATTTGACGATAAAAATAGAGAAGGTTATTTGGCTATTTCACCAGTTGCCAGAGTGGTCTTTAGGGTTACCGGATTTTTCTCAGGTAATTCAAACGAAGTACAACACTACTCACCAGCCAAAATGACCTTGGATTTGAAAAGAGTCCCGACTTATAACATCTAATACCAATAGTGCAATTACAAGAAACCTTTGGTTTCTCAGCTCTCACTCTTAGGTCTTGAGACTCGGCTCTAGGTCTTTTGTAGAATTTAATACAGTAGGTCTACCCACTAGCTTGCTTCAGCTATAGTTACCTCAACTGGAGTTTGGGTGTTGATTAGGTTTGTAGAGGTTACAGGATTTTTTCAAGGACTGTGGTGTTAATGGGTCCCTCATATGTCGTGTCACTAGAAGGTTGTTTGAGATGGTCGTAGAAACAAAATGGAAAGGACAGGTAGACCTATGTGTGTGAAATATTTGGCAACTCATTTACAGTTAGTTTTCTGGAACCTACAAGGTTTTCGTGTGATACTAATACGGTTTGCAATATTAAAAGCTATTCTTCCCCTCCACAAACGACGATAGATGCGGTTGACTTCACATATCCTAATGTTGATCAAGCCAGTAGGAAGCTAAAATGCTCCAGAAGCGCTGGCACGGGCGGAACATCACATTTCTTCGAATTTGGTGGCCCTGATACCCCGTTATTATTACTTAAAATATTTTCTCTGTCTTTAGAATCTTTCGCATACCCTGATATCTGCACCCAAGTGGTGAAGGTAGACTCAGACGCTTCAGATCCTGGGCCAATCACCCCTGGTGTGGTGCAAGGTAGTGCACTAGGTCCCCTTCTCTTTACTCTACACGTCGACGACATTTACAGCAGCTTTACACACGGCAAACCATTCGTGTTTGCCGATGACCTAAGGGTTGCATACACACTCATCCATAATGATTTGTTTCACTTCCAAACACTAATAAAAAGGGAGTTGGATGTAATATGCATGTGGCCTGCTGCTTCAGCTGAATACAAGCAAATGTGACGAGATACGTTTTGGTGCTCCGTTTGTAGATTTCCGAATGCGTCTTCAGTCTGTAAAATTGCCTATTCTCCAAAGTGTTCTCAAAGTTACGATCACAAACAGGACTACAGCTGCAGACGCAGAACCCTCAGTCTAAAACCATTTTGGGTGAAACTACTCAGAATTGACATGACGCTTCTTCAATGTGGCGCATAAATTCACTTTACAGCCAGTGATGAACTTCAGTTCAAACATAATGGTTGGTACGACCTACGCAACCACACCTACAACATCACAATGAAGCCGTTTAAATCCTGCCTGCTTGGAAACTTCTTCATTATCAGATTCGCTCATTTGTGGAACAAACTTCCTGCTGAAATGAAGGCCTAAAAATCAACCTCGGAATTTAGTCAGTTGGCAGTTAACTTCTTATCATCTGGCAAGGTTTCCGGCTTACCGAATACACCCGTAGTATCCTTCCTGACATTTTGTGGACTGGGATCTCTTAATGTATATTGAGACATCGACCACACCTGCGCTTACCTTTCATGAGAAGCGCCGAGGAGACCTCTATAAGTTGTCACCTCAAACTAACGGTAAATTCTGCCCTACATGACGTAGTAATCAAAAACAGAAGTTTCAAACTACACGATAGCATGGCATTTATGTTATTAAGTATTCAATGGAGAAAGGACATACAATGAATGCAGTTGCAAAGAGAGGTAATTAAGGAGAAATATATGGAAATAGAAAACACACCCCTTGCTGGAATTCTAGCTCCGTTCCCTGCCTCCTACTTTGTTTCTGTTTTTTCTCCTTGTGGAAAAGCAATTGGGCTCTAAATGCTGGCTTGGTCGTCATCGAAAATTGATTATTTAAGGAAGAGACCTTGGCCGAAACTATCCTACACGGAGGGTAGCCAGTGTTACTACGTCCACAATACCTAACTTCAACCAGCAGAAAAAAGAATTTTCACTGGATTAAAACTTCATAATTGTCAAAACCCAATATTTATTCATTATAAAAGCTACCAGGAAAGTCCAACACTGGGTCATCACGAACCGTGGAAACGGCGGACAAGATGTCCTGGAAGTCCAGTTGACGGATTCAAACAAGCCTATTGCCTCTGGATGCTGGGGCTGAAAAAGTGAAGATATTCGGCTCTCACTCGTGACATTCATCAAGGTTGTGAATCTTTGTTATCAATAGATAATAAGGTACGTGAATTATGCACTTCCAGAGTCGTCAACGAAGCACAGTAAATAAACAACTTGTGTATACATTCCCTTGTACACTTTTCATCATTATCCCAAGCAAAAAGAACAAACTGTTACAATGAAAGCATTGGCTACATGCATTATTTTCTCCAGGTGATACATGTAGTGTCGTGATACAAACCTGGTTCTTTTGTTAGTGCTTAGACAATGCTTCCACTTGACCAACCTGTAAGTTTCTGCACACTTATTCTGCTGGGATGTTCCATTATATGGACACTTGGGACTCACATCTTCTGCTGACAGAATAGCTGAGGATTGAAACTACCTGTCACAGAGATACTTGTAATTTATATAGTAGCTTATTCATACCTGTAAAAATGGTGTGTGTTTGTATGTCCAGGAATAAATATTGTCGTTATTATCGCAGTCATTTCGTTTGCTGTAACCCCTTTCAAATATTTAGTGTCCAGCGAACAAGAAGCAGAGAATTACCTGAAGTTATGTTGTGAAGTTGAGGCGCGTATTTCAGAATGCCTGTGAAGTATGAGTTGTTGAGTCAAAGTAGGACCATCCTCGGCCGTGGTTGTGCATGATTATGGTTATGCGTATTGTAAAGACCATGAACTGTAATTTTTGTGCGCTTCCTGACTTTTACACACCGTTTTCCGTGAATCCCTATTTATAAATCCATTTCATGAGGCACAACTGGTGGTACAGTGGTTGTGGTCTCTTCAGAAATATCCCATTAATGAAGTCCACCATTCACTAATGCGCCTAGCCCAGTGCGCAGAATTTACCTCTATATAATGAGCATAATAGTACGAAGACACGTACTTTTCGACTGGCAGGAGCGGTTTTGTGACTGGCCACTTTCACTGCAAAAATCAGTAGCAGAAAGTAGGAAGTGCGCTTGCCCGTTACCATCTAAAGTTATGAAATTCCTCACACCACCATGTGTACTTCAGTGGGCGCGTGACAACCTTCAACCATATATTGTTTATGACGAACCTAAGCCGCAACTGCCTCTCCTTTTCGGAGGAGACAAAAATACTTCTTTTCAGATAGCATGCAAGACGACGGGATACACTCCGACGTACAGCTTTAATGTTAATTTTCAACCAAGTGGAGTAGGGTAACGCTTGGCGACTGGAGGAACGTGATAACTGTTCCATGTTTCCTC